GCGGCAGCCACCCGACTTCTGGCCACGCTTAAGCCACACGCCGGTAGGTTAGTAGTATGGTGGGTGACCACATGCGAATCCCTACTGTTGTATGTCTTTTTTTTTGTGATTTTTTTACTGAAAATATATAGCTAACAGCTGCTTTAACTTCAGTGCTTCACCCGAAGGCCTCACGTGCCACCCTCTCCATCCAACCAGGAAAAAATCAACGTACTTGGCGGATAAGTACAGTAACCAAGAGGTTGGGAAACACTACGTCCACTTGAAAGATCCTGATACTAATGAATTAAGTAGCAAACATCCAAGGCTGAGGTTTCTATTTTCCCAATATGGTGTGGCTGGTGGCTGATCTTCCGTGGCTTTGATGACAAGCTGTGAACCATGGTACTATGGTGAGCTGTCATCTTTGCGAAAGGCCCGCGAAGATTTGCCACAGGACTAATCAACGGCAGAAAGGTCCAGAGATTTCTCTTTGCACCTGAGCCTGGGAGTATGCAGACGCTTCAGCACTTGCTTATGGGAATTCAAAGGGCTTTTCATTTGCAAGATAAGGAGTGCAAGATATGGAAGAGCAAGGCACGTAAAAGGAGGAAGATGATGGTTACTTTTCAGCTCGTTGGAACTAGAATAGGTCACTAATCTAGCTAATGCCACGCGCGAGAAATCTGCTTACCCACGCGGAACTACAAAGCTTGAGCTAAAATGCATACCATCATATCACCGCCGTCATAGTATGCAGAGCGAAAGTCAACCACTCAACGATTTTTGCATGCCAAGAGACTCACGACCGGCTTGCCAGCTGCTTCAACGCCCAGACGCCACATGACATCAGAATGTCTTATCTTGACTGTCATTGTGTGAGCCTTTCGATGACTAGAAACCGTCTTCTGGAAAAGCGTTAAGCACCGGACAAACTCCGAAGCAATATCCTTATCTGTGTAAAACTACCCCAACTTCAAGAATCTTACTGATTTCCTCCTTGCTGAGCGCACTGCGTGCCGAAATGGCATTATTGAAATGAATCCACCATGCTGTCAGCGAATTTGGCCAGATTGGCTTCGTTCCTGGTGAGATAAATTCCTCCAAAAGTTGCTCAAGTTCTGATAAAAGGTCTTCCTCCTCATCATGAATCTCGCATATCTCCTCTAGACAGATCTCTCCATCTTCGTATTCTCCATGCCTGCATGTGTGAGTAATCTCCACTTCTTGGCATGCAATATAACGGAGGACACAAGGATAAAGGCGTTCCTGGGCAACTGGCTCCGATAACGGCGTGATAGCTTCCAGCACAACCTCAAGGATTGGTAGAAGGTTTTTCATACATCTTTCAGGCCATGTTCGAAAAAGACCATTTAGAAGTCTTGTAAGCCCAGAGCATCCATCCAAAGAGCAAGGGCAGCAGCAATCATCGCGGATATCATCGACCAGAATTTTGCGTATTAGGTCTTTGAATTCTGCGCTCAGTCGGTGCAGTTCGGAAGCAACACGCGAAACACTCTCCATGGAATGCAAAATTTTGCCCACGTCCTGTGACAGGTAATGTAGAGCGGTGGTGGAAGAGCCTGACTTCTGACGGCTAAGGTCAGCACCTTTTGTGATAAACCAATTTGATTTCATCAAAAAGGTGTTGAGGCTGCAAGGTGGCGTGGTCGACCATAAGTCCATAAGGCGAGTCCTGTAATACTTGTTCGCTATCCACATTCTGGAAGCCGGTGTTCCATAGAAGTTCTGCTAAGTCCAAGTTGGCCCCGATGTGGTCATAGACGGTCCATCCAAATTGCATCTCCAGATCTTCGATACCAACAATTTTCTCTTTCAGAAGCTGATATACGTCGTAGGCTTCAATGTCTAAAAGACAATCTGACCGGGTAGCATGACGAGAGTTCATCTCATCTGGCAAGTAATTGTCTGCTAAGACCCGCAGCTGCCTTCTGCGGTCAGCGAGTGCTTGTACCACCAATTTTGAAATAGCTGGGTTATCCTGTTTTGCAGCGACTTCCAGCACTGAATGTCCGATTGCAAACCCGCCGGTGCTAATCAAGAGTTTGAGGCTTTCTTCACAATCTGCTTCGCATGCTCGCACGGCACACGTCTCTGTTGGTGTATAGCCATACTCAAGTAGTAAAGAGAGGCCAGGAGGCCATTGTGTATAAGATTCAACCCAGGTCTGAAAGTCACTGTCGTCTTTCAGCAGTGAGACTAGAAGATTCCTTGACCTATAGATGAGAGGTTGTAGCTCTTTCGGAAGGTCGATATCTGGGAAAAATTAGCTTTCGTTAGGCTTCTTTTATACTGAAACGTTTACCTTGGAGCTCATCTCTATCGCAAAGACTCCATACGAGTGGAATGCTGTAATCTCGCCAGAGAGTATCATTCCAACGGAGGTCGCCTCTAGTCAGATAGTAAGCTGCATTCAAAAGGTTAGGCTGATGCCTCCAGTCAAGAGCACGGTGCGTCATATAGCCTCCGTCATTCAGCAGATCTGAACAAATATCGAGTGCAGCTTGCTGCTGACAGGTATTATCAAAATAATAGACCATTAAGTCTGCTGGAGTTGCCCCATAAGAGTTGGTTTGGTTGGGCGATAGACCCGTCTGTAGCATGGTCTTGATCAAACCACGCCAAAGCACCCACGAGTTGTTATCCCAATGATGGCTGTATACTTGCCAACGAACTATTTCCTAGTTCATTAGTCAGAAATTAGAGTGGATTTTCACAATTAGTCCAACGGAAACAAACCCACATGCAAGATCGTATTGCCATCGGGTAAGTTATCCAAGTAGGCCCCTTCGCCATTCATAAACAGCCTCAATAGCTTCTGTTGGGCGCGCGCTATCTCGGTGCCAGCCATAGGTGACTTTAAACCTTTCTCTGCCCCTCGGAGAAGACAGAATACGGGTGAATCCCTCGGTACGATTGGCCGAAATTGAAGATTCGGTGTAATGCAAAAGCCTTCAGCTCCTATTTGGAAACTCAGTGATGCAGAAACTGATAACTTGAAGACTTTGTTGCTAATGATCCATCGTTTCGCAAACAGGACGGTTCTCTTCTGGTCGTTCTTGTGAAATGGACAGACGGGCTGACTGGCCGAGTTCGAAATTTCGCACGGTAAACAGGTAGGTTGCCTGCGATACAGACACGTGCATTTGTTCCAGTTTCTGCTGTTTTGGAAGGCTGGGATGACTGCGTCGTTACTTTCTCCTTACTCTCCTTGCTGTGTAGCAGACGCTGTTCTTAGCGAGGCCGTTATTAGATCTGGACGGAAGCGAACTCCACGGATACTCAATTCCTGAAATGTAAGTAGTTAGCATTGCTCTGATTATAGTACGGGGCTTCTGGGTAGAGTGGTTTTCATGCTACTTGTTTCAGGTGCCGCTCAAGCATATTTAATCTGTTATCAATGCCAATACTGCTCCGATTCAGGCCATTTGTGGCTTCCAAGATTTGCCTCATATTCGACGCGGTTGTTGTGAAACCCCTGGCCATTAGATCAATCTGGCTCTGGTTGCTGGTGATCATAGAACTGCATAAAATCCTGTGAGTCAAAGGCACGCCGAGAAAGGAATAGTGGGTTTTTTTTTCTCTTCTTCACTATCTACTTACATGATTAGCATTTGGAGGGAAATATTAAGGGTCGCCTGCAGCCTGTCTAACAACTCCATGAGTGCCACTAGAGTCTCTCGCCTGAACGGGTATAATGATCGGTTGACTTGGCGGTTAAGGCTGGTGCAAATCTTGGAGCCATTGGCTTGAGTACACTTTTGCAGAATGATCTGAAGTCTGTTTAGCCCATCCTGACAAGAACAAATAGTGCCAAGTGCGACTGTTGTGGATTGAGCTGTCGAAGCGCCAAATTGCGCAAAACCCTCATTGAGGACCCTTTGTAATACGTCCAATACTCCCTCTAATGCCGTTATCCGCGACTCAATATCGCTGATTTGCTCATGAAATGTCTTGAACGGTTCATAGTAAGCGAGTAAGCCCTGGCAGATTGTAAGACTGAGAGATATGACGCCCACTGCGCCAGATGTCACAGAAAATGCTTCGGCCATTGGGGAGCGACTGTGGTCCGTATACTCAGAGAGACTGTAAGTAATGATGAAGAGAGACTGAATGGCGAACTACGGGCGGAGATATGTTTTTAAGGAGGGCGTAGGGAGCTAAGCCACGCCAGGCTGAATTACAGAGCGGCGCAAGTCTGTTTCAGTTTGCAACAGTAACTGTGTCGCGTGCTACAGCAGTTTATTATTTGTCAGAAAGCCACCTATTGTGAAACTACGTCAACGCCTTGACAAGCCATAGGAAGGAAGTCTGAGGATCAATGGTTTGTTCATGAATTTGATCTCTCGGCAGCCTCCTCCTTGGTGGACGATTGATTGGCTGAGAACGCTCCCGTGACTGCTTGGCGAGGCAGACATCCATCTTAACTAAGTTCCAACCAGCTCTGCTTATTAACTTACCCTAGGGACCAATCCATTTCATCCTTAGAATGTTCGTTCGTCTAGTACTGCGTCATCATACAGATCAACAATAGCATGGGAGCTAGATCTAACAAATTTGAATCACTAACATGGGCCGTCTTATTTTCATGCCGCAAATAATAATATCCTACCACGCACGTAAAATACTGCGCAAAGACCTCCTTGAAAGCCCTGACGTCGCTCCGAATTTAACAAAAAAGTGATGAACTTATACATAGAAGTGTAAATCGAGGCGGCTGAATTTTGCCTGAGGATGGCAGAACGCGGGCGGCAACGCAGGGTGGGACAGACGCTGACAAGGGTGGACACTGACACGTATATGTTGTTGTATGTTTTTAGATATTTTTGATGATTTTTTGAGCTGGTCCAGAAGCAGTTGAGCAATATCAGTCAGAGAGGTAACCCGCCGCAGGGGTGGGGGTTGGAGTTCCAGAAAAGGATGTCCCAGGATATTAGTCTAGATTTTCCAGTCTATAAACATACTCTTGAGGAGGGCGAGATTAGAAACTAGAGATGCCAGTGTTATTATTAGTATTTAACACCGGGCCATTATCTACCATGCGCTTTCGGGCGAGGGAGAGTTTAGCGACGCTGAGCTGAGGAAGAGCTTGTTAGGGATATCCAGGGTGTCTGGCTAGATAAAAAAGCTAGTAAGGGCGATGATGGTGAATTACTAGATATATTCATTAGTTAGGTTATAAAAGAAGAGCAGGCAAACCCCTAAATTGAGATTCAATAACTGATCAAGCTTTAAACTAGACCAGAGAATGATTGGAAAAAGAGATCATCGTATCCGAATCCGAGTCCGAACCCGAGCCCGTGCCGCAATCGACGAGGGAGCTCGGGTTCTTATTCGGGTTCGGGTTGCCCTGGGCCAAGCCATGTAGATCTGCAAGATCAACCTTTTGTCCTTTTCACATTCCACGCTCTGGAAGTAAAGTTTCCACTTCTCGAAGGCAACTACATTTATTGTGGCTCTCTGCCCCAACCAAGTCGTCATCCTTTTGTCGCACGGCTGAGCACGACCTATCTGAGATCCCAACGATGATCGGAGCTTCAGATGCCATGGATCATGATACGCTTTACGCACAAGAGAGTGCCGAGGAATCCCTGGATGAGTATTATGATCGGCACTGTGAACATCCGAGTACGATTCCGAGAGCCCTTGGCAGGATGTTCTATTTGATATAAGCATGAGGGCCAGGGATTGCCTGGATTTGTATAAAAGCTCGATCGAGGACAACCAAATGAGGGAGTGACTACAATTCCGAATTCTCAATCCCATCCGGTGCCAAGGAAGTCAAGATGAAGGATCTCGTCGCATTTTCTATCTCGGCTCTAGCCATCGCAGAGAGGGCGATCGCAACTGCCCAAGTTGGTTCTTTGATCACTACTCCTCTGGGCTCTTTTGAGCTCACTAAGGGAGCTGTATGTGCTTGTTCAAAGCTCTCTCGAGCTTATTCGGGGATTATCAGCCCCAATGGTGCAAACTATACGGCCCAAGCTGCGGACGCTTATTGGGATGTTCGAGCCAATCTTTCTCCGGCCTGCATCTTTTTACCGAGTACGGCGGATGAAATCTCCAAGGCCCTTGATATTTTCCGGACCTGTGATGCACAGTTTGCAGTTCGTGGTGGTGGTCATATGAATGTGAGTAATTCAGCCAGTTGGGGTCAGTCAGTACATGGTCAACTAATAATCGGCCAGTATCCAGGATCGAACAGCATCGACGGTGGAGTTCTACTAGCCCTTGAGAAACTTGACACTATCAAAGTCAACGCTGAATCTGTGGAAGTCGGGCCCGGCCTGACTTGGTACGATGTCTATGAAGCCCTCGAGCCTTACGGTCGTGTCACCATTGGAGGACGTATGAAAACAATTGGTGTACCTGGCCTGAGCCTCATCGGAGGATTCCACTACTTTAACAATAAGTATGGTTACGCTATGGACAACGTCCTCAGCTACGATGTCATCCTTGGAAATGGAACACAGGTTGTGGCAAACAAAACATCACACCCAGATCTATTCTGGGCACTGAAGGGAGGAGCCAACAACTATGGCATTGTGACCAAGTTTACATTGAAGACCTACGCCATTCCTAAAATCAGCACCACTATTCAGGTGTTCAACGAGAGTGGTATTCCTGACTTCCTGGCTGCGGTTTGCAACATTGCTAAGCTCGACGAGGATGACCCTATCGCAGCTGGCATGGTTGCGACTGTGCAATATAATGCCACCACTAAAGTTGCATCGGCTTCGTTGCTCGGGGTTCAGGAAGGTATCAGCAAGCCTCCATCGCAGTTTGCGAACTTTTCTGCTATCCCTGCTACGACTCGCATCAACAACATCACAACTATGAGACAATGGGCGTCTAGTCTAGACACCCCTAAACAACTGTTCCGGTTAGTCACAGATGTTGTCCTGGCCCTTGAGCGAAATTTAGCCTCTAACACGTCATATAGTGTGATGTTCTCTCACAAGACGATGAAACCAGATCAAGAGGTCCTCATCTCAATCTACAAGGCATGGAAAGACGCCGTTGACGAAATTGCGGACGTGGAGGGGCTTTACCCAACCTTCGTAACGAATGTCGCCTCCGCAAGCGCTGCCCGGGTTGCTCTTACCAACGGCGTTGGGAATGTCTGGGGACTGGAAGCAGAGCCATATATTCGTATGTTCGCCATCAAAAGGCCAACTTGACGATAGCTGACCCGGAATTTAGTGTGGCAATTCAGCACAGGATGGGCCCTGGCGCAAGATGATCTTCGAATTGAGGCCTGGTCGCGCCAATTGATTGAACGGCTCGATGCGATTAATGTTGAGAAGGGAATTGCTTCGGACTTTATCTATATGGGCGATGCGGGTGAATGGCAGGATCCTTTTGCAGGTTTCCCTGCTGAGAATGTTGCGCGGATGAGGGCGATCAAGTCCTCGTATGATCCTCTGGGTGTTTTCTCCAGACTGAATTGGGGAGGGTTCAAGTTGGGTGCATAGAGGGGGCGAGAACAGTCAATGCTTTGGGTTCATTGATTAGTGGCTGGTTATACTAGCCCAGTGCAAATACTGCATGCAGTTGTTCTCAAGGCACGTGCCCTCGCCCTTCGCTTCTTCCATAGCTCGCACGCAGATAGCTCAATACAGAAGACATAGATTAATGCTTCATTATTCCTTCTTTCGGCATCGCTGGGAGTAGATCCTATTCGAAGCGTATTTTGAGTCGACCGACCTGCGTCTGTAGCTCAACCAAGGTTAAGACAAACAAAGAAGTGGATGTTTCACATCATCAACCATTACAGGAGAAACTGCGATAAGACAAGATATGTTTGTACACTAGAATGCTTGATTTTGATCTATATATATTACCTTTCCCCACTTTGCTTCCTAAGTGCCGAATGGAGAAGTGCAGACTAGACTCTACATGGAACTATGGTTCTTGGCCCTGGGCTTGTTCGACCCACAGAACAACCTCAGCCTCTCAGCGTCGCAGAATAAACTTCAGCCTGTTCTTCATCCCGCTACCCTGGTTCTGGTGGAGGCTGTGTAGTGATGAGCTTCACCCAAAATCAGCTACCCAACCATCGCGTCCTGGAGGCAACAGTCGGAAAAACTCTTTTTCCTCCGATGATCGACAACTTTCGCGTGGATTTATTCAGAACCGTCCCACTAACTTCTTCAATTGCGAGGTCGAATTTCCTACTCAGTGGATCATGCACAACCCGAGACTCAGGGGAGTGGCTTAATTTCACCATGGGACCCCGGCGAGTACACACGAAGTCCCGAACGGGGTGTCAGTCGTGCAAGTTACGCAAAGTAAAGGTTAGCAGTCCCTTCCTTCGCTTTTCCCTTACACCCCGCTAATCCAGACTTGAACCGAATCAAAAGTGTGATGAGACAAAGCCAAAATGCAAGAACTGCATTCGCCATGGAGTTGAGTGCGATTACAATTCTCTACCCCCTGCAGCAAGGACTCCAACTCCGCGCCCTCATACTGGACTTAGCCCCTTCATTAGCGAGGCTGCCAGACAGAATTGTGATGCCAACGCCCCATCCATGGGCATGGCGGAAATGGCCCTGCTGCATCATTATAGCATCTCGACTTGCTATACGATTTCACGACACCCGGTTTTGCAAACCGTATGGCAAACCACGGTTCCCGCATTTGGCTTCTCTTACCAGTTTGTTTTCCGCGGGATTCTGGCGCTGGCAGCGTTACATCTGGCCCATCTGAAGCCGGAACTTGAAGACCAGTACGTCGATGCGGCGGAATTCCACCATAATTTAGCGCTCCAGATGGTTTCGGGCACCATCCTTCAAATCAATGCGGAGAATGGTCCAGCGGTTTATCTCTTTTCCACAATCACTTCTATCATCGGCTGTGCTCTACCGCGGAAACGCCATGACTTATCGGTCAGTACCGATCGAATCATACAATGGCTATCCTTGTTTCGAGGCACGGTGTCCATTATAGCCTCTGTGAACGAAGCGCTTAAATCTAGTCCTCTTGCGCCCATGTTCACATTGGGACGACGAAGAAGCCTTGCTTGGGAAGCTAGGTCAACCGCCAATCAGACATTCCTCATCAACTTGCGGCGACTCATACAAGAGGCAGTTGAGGACCCGATCGAGTTGAAGTGCTACATAGATGCCGTGGATAACTTGGGCAAATCATTTGGGACAATATTCGAGGTCGGTCCTCAGAATTGCGAGACAGCCGACATCTTCATCTGGCTGCTCCGCATTACCGACCAGTTCTTGGATAAATTGCAGCAGCGAACTCCTGAAGCCTTGGTGATATTTGGATACTACTGTGTCATTCTCAAAGAGCTTGAGTGGGCGTGGTGGATGCAAGGCTTTAGTATCCATGTGATCCGTGCGATACATCACCATTTGGGTGAGGAGCATCGCTGCTGGCTGCAGTGGCCTATGCAACAGCTCGGCTGGGTTCCTTGATCGAGGCTTATCGAGGGACTATTGCGGGGATGTATAACACGTTGTGCAATGTGGTATAACATGAGATATATCGAACGCCGAAGATTGATAAATTGTATCTGATAGGGCTTCGTCTTCTCGACATCGGCCACATATGCTGCCCACAACTACCCATCTAACCACGGCGACTTGGACTGGCGACTCCCTCTTTTGGTTGCAGACGGTGTGCCCAGGACTAGTTTGCCTGGCCATCAATTTCTAGCCCGAGTCTCCTGGATGGTAAGCCCTGCCCGCGTATGCCTGTCCATGCGCTAATCCACAATTGCATATAGGCTCGTTTCCAACGACCGCCATGACGAGGCCAAAGCCATCGTCGCAAACTGTCACGCCAACGGCGACCATGACCATCCACTTGTCGCACTCCAGATGCGAGAGATGCTGGCCACCGTCGATCGCGAGCATCAGACCTCTTGGAAGGGCCTCTTTGATCTCCGGGTTCTTGTTGTATCCCGCTCCAGTCGCTACCGACTGATGCTCAACATCGCTTTCTCTTGGTTCGGCCGATTCAGCGGGAATAAGTAAGTCATAACTCTCAATCCCTGCAATATTCCGTGCTAACGTCTCCGGCATCGTAGCTTACTACCTACTCATCATGCTTAAGGGCATCGGGGTCACCGATACGAACATGAAACTCATCCTCAACATCGTCTACTTGAGGGGTGTGGTCATCTAGTGGGGTGGCTTTGAATTCAGAATATAAGCTTTGTAAATTATTCTAGCATAGCGCAGGATACTCGATAGTAGAATGGAGTATGTACAAAGGAAACACCTTAAGTACTAGCAAGCAAAATCTTATCTCTATTTTCCAGACCTTCCTAGACATAGTAGAGTACTAAACTTCGTGGCCCATCTATTGCCCCAGGTAGTTGCTGTCCACTGGGAGTGACAGCGCGAACAATATGAGCTCACCTCAAGCCACTTGTCTTAGCCTTGGCTCAAGAGCGTCTCAATCTGCCACAAAGACGAGGGCCAGGCCGTTCCCCAGAAATGGGCCAGGTGCGGAGATAAAGTTTCGATTGTGACTCGTGACGTTTGCTTCCAAACCCTATGCCAGGCTTTCGAGACACAATACCCCGTCAATGCCGCACTTGACTCCAACCACAGACTTAGACTGCAACGACATCTTATATCTCCAACACAATCCGCACACCCCATTTTTTCATGATGGATGTCCATGACGTGGAGAACTTCATCCGATACGAATTCAACGACAAAGCCCTCCTTGCAGCAGCCTTCATCCCATCCAAGAACGGACGCCTAGGCTTCCTTGGTGACAAAGTCATCGGATTAATACTGCTTGACGACTGGTACAGAACCAGAACTAACTGCTGTGGGTGCCCACCAAGACCCTGCGAGTTCCTTTTGCGTCGCTGACATGGTTTCTTTTTTCTATAGTAGAAGGCTCTCAGCAATTAGAGCGATATGCCAGTAATCTCACGATGGCTGCCGAAGCCCGACGAGCGCATTTCAACCAGGTTAATCCCCCTGGTTCACGCCGCCGCCAGCAACTTGGGACACATGGTCTTGCGACAGAGGTTGAAGCCGTTGTCGGTGCGGTTTGGGTTGATTCGAATAGGAATTGGGACGTGACCAAGCGGTGTTATGAGAGGATAAAGGCTTGAGCGAAGTCAGTGCTGTCAGAAATGTCTTGGAGTTGCCTACAGTGTCAACTGTAGATGCGCTAGGTACTGGGTCTGGAGTTGGGTACATTCAAGGGATCTCCAAGAGAGAGTCTAGCGCGTTCCGGCCACTTCCAAATTATGGAGTAAAAGTCTTCTTGTTTGCTTCTCAGCGTAGTGCAAGACCAGAATGAGCTATATCTGTATATTCAACATAATGCACAAAGCCCCAGCAACATGATCCAAGGTCCTCTTTTTGGTCTGTTGGTCCCGTACGCTGATCTCGCAGGCAGTGTATCACAACCCAAACCCAGAAGGAGCGATCTTCGTACTGGCTAGAATAACCCTCGTGAGCGGCAAGAGTCCCGACACATCCAATGTCCCCGCCGCCTCATCATTCAACAACTCCTGCAGGGTCTGCGTCAACCGTGGCGCGTGTCCCTCTTGCGGTGCCGGCGACATCCGCAGAGCATGTTTCCGCGCATCAAGCCACTCCCTTAAACTACAAGCCCGCCACATACATTCCGGAGCCGGAAGAGTGAGATTCAGAATGACGTCGTCGTCCAGCGGTTCAAAATACACCCCGTTGAGCTTGCCCGCGCGGGCACCGAGAATGTTGATGATGTTGGCGAAGAAGATATTGCGGCGGATGGACTCGCTGAACTTCCAGCGCTCCCAGTTAAGTTCGTCGTCGTGATTTGTTTCTACTGCGGCGCGGTAGTGTTTGTATAAGCGCCGGGTCATCTGCTTTGTCAATGAATGCCAAAAGAAGGGGGAGTGCATGGCCTACCTTGAGGAGAAACGAACTGTGCAACTCCGCCTGCCGCTCACAATCTGTCCGTCGCTGATCGAGGATACTCTTCATATTCGTGGTTGCCTTGATCGCCGCAGGCAGGAAGTTATCCCCGAAGAGTCCTAGAATCTGGTATATACATACCGCATGCACAGCGGCGAGGCAATTCTCCGGTGTATCGAGGTACGACTGGAATTCCCGAATCAACTGTTCGCGCTGTTGATTGATCAGGCCATCCACGAAGCCGTAATTCGATCCCGACGAACCCGCGTGAGCCGAGACGCACGCGAGTGCAACGCCCATCGGTTTCGCCATCCCGCCCATCGAACAGCGATACATTCGGTGGTGGACGAACGGAGACCAGTGGTCGCGCTGGAGGATGAGGCTGGGATACTCGCGGAGAACGTCCAGCATTTGTTGGTTGAGCTCCTGAATGTCGTACGGTGTGAGAGACCCGATTTTTGGAAGGAAGCGGCGCCCGAATATGAGCTGTGCTGAGCTGTCAAGGCTGAAGTCGACGTATGGTGAATCTGTGTAGCGCTGTTGCGTGGCATCGCCGATGGAACTTCCGGTGTTGAAGATTTCAGAGGGGACTGACTCTGGGGCTCGATTCGGGTCTGGCAGGGGAAACAGCGAGCCCGGTGAGCTGGTTGAGTTGCTGGTCATCGAGGCGAGGATTTCCTCATCTTGGCCAAGCGAATGCGACGAATTCGAGAACTCCTCGTTCCAAGAAATTCCAGGGTTCGCAAAGGATGCATCGGCAAAGGCCCCCGCCAAAGGATCGGCACTAGCAGGCGCAAATGGCGTCCAGGAATCGCCCAGCGTCTGTTCAAATGGATGTGATGGATTTTCCAAGAGAGAAGGCTGGATCGTCCCCGGATCGCCCGGAGTCGCAGATGGAGCCTCCCCGTCCTGGGGCTGTGGGACGGCGGAGGCCGGATACTGACAGTGGATGCCGATCTGGAGACACCGCGTACAAGCGGGGCGAGTCATGGAGCATCGAAGCTTCTTCTGGGCGCATGTTTCGCAGGACTTGCGCTTCGACAGGCGCTCTTGGCCGATGGATTTGATGCAGCGGCGGCGGTGGCGGTCGCGCAGGTCACCTACAGCAGTCAAACACAGTTCAGACACGAGGGAAATAAACCATACGTCTGCCGTACGTCTTGTGGCAAATTCCACAGCGGAACTCCCCGTTGGGAGTCGGTTCCTGTGGTGCGGGGGGAATTTGCGCCATTGTAGGTGCTGAAACTGACAGGTTGCAAAAGCGGAGCGAGAAATTTTGTTGTAAAGACTTGGTCAGGGACTAAATTAGCACACTTCGTCGAGTTGGGGGCGCAAATGTGGATAGCCTCTTGGGCCTGCACGAGTATACGAGGAGCCTTGCCTGCATCCATTCCCAGGAACACTTTATTCGACGATTCTGTACGAAATTAAGCAGAGATATTTACCCTTATCACATTTTCAGGAACGGAATAAGTCAATCCGCTTATAAATCATCAACCCAATTTATCCGACCAATAGTGGGCGTTGAAGTTATATATAGTCCACGATCGCAGAACCCAGCACTTCGAAATCTACTATTTCACTACTTGATAATACCAAACAAGCATCGAGCATCCATCTCGGTACAAAGCAGCGGATCAAATAACATTTAGCCGTCTATGACATCTCGCCGCTGTACACATTGCAGGGCAAGTTCGCCAGGAGTCTTTCCATAGATTTTCCAATAGGGCTGCTGGAGTGGCGCAGCATGCGTTTTGTAAAAAATGCTGCGCATTATCTGTGACTGCCTTTCTAGTCCAGGCATTGTTATCGTTCGCGTTTAGCTAGATAATATGTACAGATGGAATTAACACCTAGAGGTACGGTACTCCAAGCTCTTTGTAACCACAAGAGCACACTGGAACAGGGGGGTTTAGATATGCCAACCATAGCCTTCTCAGCGGTGAGGATTTTGAAAAGCTTGTCCAATTTGTGCCTAGTCATAGTACAAAATATTGTGTTCATTGCGTCCGTTCTGTAATTGTTCTAAAATTAGCTGTTGCTTGTATAACGTGGAGCGGACAGAGTATATCCAGGGGGGATGATCTGCACGTGGATATGAGCTTATCCGCTGGCTGTCATATTGCTGCGCGCTGTGATTGGCTGTTAAGACGCGACGATCACTTTGCTTAGTCCGTCAACTTGATATCAAAGAAATGGTAGGAAGATAATTATACCTCCTAAATAGTACGTAGTACACGCCAATCGAGACTTTTCTAAACAGACTAATTACTCTCCTATCCATAGGTCTCCCGGTGTGAGACCTGGAAGATGCCACTGCACCTCGGGTGCTACCTCGCGCAAACACTCAATGGGAACAGAACAACGTATCGCAATCGGTGGGCAGGGAGCTTACACCCTGTGGTATTGACGTCAAATCTACGTCTCTCATGAATTATCATTAGCTGACCTTGACGCTATTGTTCCATCAACTTTTGGGTTGTTGTCGCCACAATCCCATCACGTGACCCGATGGAAAGATGACGAAAATACCAGTAGAGCCTATTAGAAATCTCCAAGCTTATATTGCTGGATCCATGGTGAATCATCGACCATTTTCTGGAAGGTGGTGTGATATTCCAGAATACCAAACAACTAATATGATGGGAGTTTCTGGAATGTCAACTGCGTGGTATATAAGAGTGCTGGAGTCCGTGGCTCTGAACAACATTAACAAACAAACAAAACACTGAACCAGCTCAGCTTCTACCAAGCAAACCAACACTACACTCCAAGCCAACCTTCCAAAAGCTCATCAACCACAGCCAACAATGTCTCTCTTCCAAACCTTCCCCTTCTCAACCGGAGAGTGGTCTCCCCTGTTCACTCTCCTCGACGACTACGACAACCATCGATCCCGCAAGGGCCAGGGCCCGACACCCATCCGCTCTTTTGCCCCTCGCTTCGATGTCCGCGAGACCAAGGACGCCTACCATCTAGACGGCGAACTCCCCGGCATCCAACAAAAGGACATTGACATTGAATTCACGGACCCGCAGACCCTCGTCGTCAAGGGCCGTGTTGAGCGCGAATATTCCTCGGAGTCTGCCCCTTCTGGCGAGGAGCAACAGAAACAAGAGAAACAACCCGAGGGCCAGGGAGGCGAAGGAGGCGGCGGCAGCGAGGTCGCCAAGTCCGGCGACAAGCAAGTTTCCAAGACAGGTCCGAAGCCCCGCTACTGGGTGAGTGAGCGATCTGTCGGCGAGTTCCAGCGCGCCTTTAGCTTCCCTGAACGGGTTAACCAGGACGAGGTCAAGGCTTCGCTGAAGGATGGGATCCTTTCGCTCGTCGTCCCCAAGGCTGCGCCGCCTGCTTCGAAGAAGATCACTATCCAGTAATGGATGGATGCGAGAAGATGATGGGGAGTTGTTTATGAGAAATATTACATGGATGAATGCTCATTAAAGTCCTCCTATTAGCGCTGTTTTGTTGGTGTTTGTTTTATGTCTCTTTCTCCTACCTCTCAAGTTCACCTTTGTCACTGTCCTTACTGCTGCTCGGAAATTGTTTACCTACCATTTTCTCATTGTTATAAGCACTTAATTCAAAAAAAAGATTTATAACTATAAATCCTGGTTTTACGCTCCAATATGATGTAAGAGTTCTTCCAGCATCTTCATATCTCTCTTACGGCTGTTCCCCTTGAGCTGAACAGAAGGATCCGGATCATAGATAGGAGACAATCGATGTAAAGGAAGTCTTGAACTCTGTCTAGTTTGCTAAGTGGGTTGGGTATTTTACCCTTTGTCTCTGACTTGGGGGAATTGACTTATTGGTCACTTTCACTCGTTATAATTGTTGCCTATAGGCATTAATATTATTCGTATTATAATCACAGAGGTATCTCAAACAGAAATCCAACCACCCCAATAAATCAGCCCAATCTATCACAACTCCACACAAAGCCTCCCGGATAGCGCCATGCCCGCTGGTTTGACGAAAAAAAAGAGATAAATAAATCAAACACACACAGGCGGGGAAACACAATCCCCGCCTTTCCACCAAACTTCTTTTACCGCAGACAGGAGAGGCTTCTTAGCACTCGCGCTGCTCTTGAAACTGGCGGCGCGTCGCTTGGACACCGTCGGCGTAGGAAGAAGCCCACGTAGCGTCGAAGATTGTTTACTTGGTTTGGATGGATATATCGGATCCGATTCTGGCGGCGTAGCATCCTCTTCAGGAATTGGCTCCAAGGTGTGTGAGGCCACCTTATTTCGGCTGGTGGCAGGCTCCTCAAGAGTGGGAAGAGCGGGGTCCGGATCTGGATTCCGAACCGTCAAGACACGTGCTGGGGGTGAGGAAATAATCGGATCCTCATCGTCATCATCATCATCATCAGTCTCCCATTCCCCGTCTTCATCCTCCTCCTCGTCGTCGTCACTATCGTGTCGATACCGGCTGAAAACCGGATCCGTAGCCGGAAACCGCCAGGCGTAGTCTCGCGTTGTAGCCTCCCCCTGGATAGGATACGCCGGGAGAACGTCTGTATCCTGAGCCTTCGAGGCGTCATCAATACCGCACATTGCAGTAGCATTCGCATCGGCGTAGCTGTCGGATGGATCGACGTAGTTGTAGTAATCCGGGTTCCTGTTGAATTCGTCGACCAGCGCATCGAGCAGATTTGAGTGGCCGACGAGTTGGCGCAGATTTAGCCTTGACGATGCCATTTGGGCGTATAGTTTGTCGCGGCAGAGGTCGAGGAGGCCCAGGGCCATCTTTTGAATATCAATGTCGTGAATCAGGTACTCTTCTTGGGTGGGCGTGTGCGCAGCCGGGGGAGACTTGGAGAGGAAGCTTATTTGAAAGAAGAGCTAGTAGTTCTGAAGGATGAATTTTCCGCTGCAATAAAGGGGAGGAAGCGGATACATGAATACGAGTTTATGCAAAGGTTCTCCTTGCAACGAGAGTTCTTTTCTATTCTTTTTACAGCAAACACAACTTCTAGACATTTCCGTTCCGGCCGACACTGGCCCCGCTGGCGTGGTCGATGGCAGCGGCTCGCGCGGACAGAACGGGATGAAAACCTGATTTCAGGCAGAGAAACTGGGTTTTGTTCACGCAAAAGTACATCATGTGATGTGCCGTACTTTCCCCACATATTGCAAGATAAGGCCAGCTCTACAATTTGAATCCCCTGTAGAAGGAAAACGGTTTAAAGGGCAAGAGGATGTAGTCGTCTCGTAGAGGCCGCGACTTTTCAAGGAGTTGTGTTGGGTGGACCCTAATATGTCTCATCCTTCCCGAGTCTGCCAATGTGGTTGCAGTTTGAGACCGTCTCCGCCAGCTTCTTCGACATCCATTCTCTTAGTAATGTAGCTCACTAAAGGGTTTTCTGCAGCCAACTTTCACTTGATTTGGCCCCAGCACTCTCGTAGTTTGACGGCTTACTCCTGGCGCCAAGTCTTGCCGACGGAACGTGCTGGTTCTTGGCTGCTCCCGGTCGAATCCGGAAGAAGCCGATCGAATCCCGATCCAGCACCAATTGGGAGATCCAAGGACGAGGAGAGAACAATTCGCGACCATTTTATTGGCTTTGAATTTCCCTTTGATCACTTGATCCCAGCTCAAGGCATCAGGCTATGATTTGCTTGTCCGATCCGATATAAATTCCCTGCAGTCTTCATATCTCATGAGAAGTAGATATGCCTTATCTACAACGCCAAGCCAACTTCCTGATTCCAAGGATCTTGCAGTTAGTTAAAATGCGACCTGACTATAACTTTACTGATAATGCATGAAGGACAAGTGTATCATGATGATCAACAGGATTATAGATACTAGGGCTCTCATGATCCTAGTAAAGCCTAGGCTTATAAATGAAATGGACAATGTCTATAGGTGAGAGTCGGGTGACCTGGTATGCAGGCAAGCTCTGCCAAGAGTGCTTATCAGGTGGAAGGAACAATCAGCCAGAATAAGCAACCAATGCCTCATTGGTGAGGATAGATGTCGTGAGAAGAACCTTGAAGCGGGTATTGCTCACTTAAAATAGAAGCCTTGCTTTAGCGTTCAGGCAGGCTCGAGATAAACCAATAAAAGTCCATCCAAGGTAGATGGTAAACAACGAGCTTTCGAGAAATGGGTACTAACAGGCTGAAAAAACTAACTATATACACGAACATCAAAGTCACCTTAAAACACATATTGTCTGTATCCCTTGGACAGTAGCAGGAATGCATCACCACTTCTTCGGCATCCCATCCCCTTCCAACTCATTCAGCCGGTGGCTGTCACTCATCTCGACCATCATCACACTATCACCCGGAAGCTCCGCCATCATCCTCGCAGGCGGGCGATGCGAGACTGTCGCCGAGTCATCAAAGGGTGAAGGCCCCTGTTTGGTCGACGATATTGGCTGCTCTATGGGGCTCACCACCTGGTGTACAGGCGCGGAATCGAGTTCCGGCTTTCCTTCGATGAATGAGGGATCGTAGTGCGTGGAGGATCCTGCCGCGACGCCGCCGTACATGGGTGTCGCTTGCGATGGAGAGCTTGTGGTGGCGGCCGTGTCCGGGCGATCATCGTTCGGACCGGATTCCTGCGGTTCGAGTTGGCTGTGGTTTGAGCGGCGTCGACGGCCGAGGAAGAAGAACAGCCCGCCGATGGCTGCGAGACCGGCGACGCCGCCAACTACTCCACCTGCGATCGGGCCAGCTGAGGAAGAGGAGTTGTCTGAGTTGGATGGTTCGCTAGATGGGGTTTCGCTTGTCGATGGTGTCGGTGTAGTATCGGTGGTAGTTGTCGTCGTCGGTGATTCGGATGCTTCTGTCGAGGATGAGGTAGATGCGGTAGATGCGGTCGATGTCGATGTCGTTGTCGTTGTGCTCGTGGTAGCCGTCGAGGTATCATCACCACCGTCTCCATCCGCGACGCGAAAAGACAGCAAATCCCTCGACGAAACATGGTCCCAAACCGTAGGCGGCGAGTAACCCGCTTGACGTCCCTCGCACTTGCCGTTCTCATAGAGCCAAATCGATAGACCGTCCTCTTCAGGTACCCATCGAAACTTTTCCCCCTCGGCCTGTTGGATCTGCTTGCAGGAAACCGGATCGTCGCTGTGTTCAATGTAGGATTGGCCGTCTTTGTCTGTCCATGTGAATGTCCACGCGGATGCTGAGCATGCGATGGACAGGATCGCGAGGAGCCTCATCGTCGCGTGCTCTGCGCTAGAAGATGGATGAGGGAGCGGGAATGGAGAAAGAATTTCATGTTGATGTTTGATGGGTCCCCGCTTCTCTTAAGGGAGCATTGCGGCAGTCATATCATTGACGAGCGACTTGGCCCCTTCAAACTAACAAGAAGATCGCCCGCGTCTCAGCCTGTAACTGGAGGCGTACCATCCGCGTCCCACAGTAAGTAAAGTGATGTGCATGCCCCAGAAGTGGTAGCTCCATTATCAGCACTGCTCCCCGCGTTCGAAAATTTACGCTGTATGAGACCGAGGGCAAGTTGCTCACTTCATCCAGCAAACACATGCTTCACGGCTCTATTTTCAGATTGAGACTCGATTGCCAGTGGAAGGAGTGAAATGAAGGAGGGTTGAAAATGTCCACCGAGGATAGATCTGCAGCGGTATCATTGGCGGCGATCCATAGAATACGAGGATTTGTGGAGTTAGGGCGTGGAATTCAGTTTCGCGAAATTAGCATCGTCTGGAATCCAGGCAGTGTTCGTAAGTGTGGGGACCACTTGACGGATTATGCCGCTTTCGATCAATGCTGATTGATCCGAAACTGAGGCTCTTCAAATGTTGCCTACACTCTCATAGTTGGATGAGGCAATGGGTGGGTTTATCCTCCACATAGTATGAATTTCACAACAATAATAATCTACCGAGTGATCCGGCATGGACGCTAGTGTGAGCCCCCATCGCGCCTCCAGGGACGCAGAAACTGACGCTATGCATCAAAGAGGTGGTTGCATGCATGAATGGTGAGACGATGGCATTTCTTCCTAACGGGTTGTCGATGATTGGACGAAGTGACATCTAAGCCCTGTACCAACAGAATATTCAACACTATGTAGCTTCCCCCGCACAATCAACCGAGTCCAGAGCGTGCATGAGAGAGGGAATATGATCCACAATCTATAATGTAGAGATTAAGACGTCTTCTAAGTAGCTACTTCCCCGGCTAATGCTGGGACAACAGACCACGTCTCAGCCGCGAATACCAACTCCCCCCTCTCCTCCATAAGCGCCGGATTAACATATATCTTCATCCGAATCGAGTCGCGCCCTATATAGTACGGCCGGAAGATCATGTACACAGCCGCCCGATCAATCGGGTTGTCGGCTACATTTCGCATCGTTTGCATCTATCCGCGAGGAACATGGTCAGTTTGGTCAATTTGTAGGAGACTCCAGCACTAAGACGAGCGCACCCGGTCATACTGAGCCTTGCTCACGTAAAACGGCGTCTCGCACTGCGACGTCGTAGACTTCACTTCTAGAAAATAGTCCGGTTTTGCACCTGTCCAGCTATCATCCAGGTACCCGGTGGCAATGAGCAACGCGGTGAAGACGCCTTCGCTATCGGCGTAGGTGATATCAGTGGTCTCGCGACCATACCACGGTGTCAAGTCAGTGTAGTCCTCGTGGATGCTGACGTGTTTTCGGATGGTGCTCTGCCAGTTGTGGCGGGAGAAACGGGGTAGAGATGGGCTTAGACGGGATAGTGTCTCGAAGACCTGGGTTGTAGTGTCAGAGTAACGTTTGTCAATGTGAACCCCCCTTGATACTTACGAAGAGCTCGCCTGCTGCGCCGATCATCTGGTCTCGGGTAAGCTTATCGACACCGCCGAGTGCGAACGTCTCGCCGTCTGCACCGGCAGAGTTGGATAAGGTGACCACGTCGAGGGCATCTTTTCTTGGAAATGAGGAGGTTCTGGCCGCATTCACCACGCTGCGCAGGAGATTGAGGTACCGCATATCGAGTACATGGTCTGGTAGGGCGCGATTGGGAGTGACAAACTGTGCTGCACCGGGTGTTCGTCGGGGAGTGAACGGCAAGTGGCCGGAGGCCCGTGGGGTACTTGACGACACCGAATACTGGCCATAGGCTACATCGTCGGCGGCTAAGGTGACGGATGAATCGCTGCGAGCTGATCGACTTGATGCCTCGGCAGCCATGTCATCGTGGATAAAGACACGCCTCGTCGGCTGTTCAGCAAGATCACTTTCAACGCTATCGGCTGTCTCCTCAACTTGTATATCAACTGGCGTCTCAACTGTCATGATGCCGGCCCGGTCAAGAGTCACCCCCACGTACTTTGGCTCTGCTTGCAAGACCGTCAAGAGTACGCCAAGAAACCTCTCGCTGTACGGTTGGCAGATCCTAGTCACCGGCTCAGTCATGATCCATTCCATGAGGGCCCTTCACTCAGCCAAGCCAATGCGAAGAATGCCCTGTCTGACTCGATGAGGACGGTAGATGATCGGGATCATACGGAGGTAGATCGCCGCATATCCCTTCCGGCTGAGTCTCTCAGGACAGCACAAGATTTGCTCAGCCTTATAAGGGTTCTGTGAATGATTTGGACGTGGCAAGTCTATTAACCATGAGTGCACTGCATGATCGCGTAGAGCATAGTCCCATATTCATCCAAATTCTCCAACCAGCGATCGACTCGTGCACCTCTCCGTGCAACATCGCTCTCATTAAAATCCGCAGGCCTCGGCCATAGCTCGTCAATGGTCAAACTCCCCTCCATCCAATGTGCCAGGTGGATGTTGTACTCCCTCTCCCACTCGTATCGACTGCCCGCCTGCCATAGGAGCTTATTTGCCGGCGCCGGCAATCCGTGCAGTTCGACCCCGAGAAATGTCGGCAGTCCTTCTTCCGTTGCAAGGATGCTGTCAAATAGGTACATGACATACAACGTGCGCCGCTTTGCCTCGGCGACAATCCACTCTTCCCATCGTGGCCGCACGCGCTGCTGATCGGCCGCACAGATAAGTCCATCTCGTGCAGACGCGCATGCTAGCTCTTGCAGTTTCGTCACAATATCACGGAACTGGCGCTCGCTGTCCTGACTTAGTTGGAAGAACATGACCATGGTATATATGAGGTATGCCTGGAACGCGGCGAATAGTGCCTTTGGGTTGTACATGCTGCGAGACTCATACACGGCGTCCATCTCTCGCTGTAGGATCCCAGCTGTAGCGTTCTGGCTCCCAGGTATTTGATTCGCACATACACGCACAAGGCTCAGGCACGTCGTTAACGGCGAATCCGCCAGTCGTCCGGCCAGCTGCCTTGGGTGGAGGAAGGGAAGAATGCCTCGACCGTGCACCGCGGAGGCTGCATAGGACTTGAGTGTCCGGTAGATAAACTTCGCCACTCCCTTTGGATAGTTCTTGACAGTCTGCCCGGGGACTGGAATATAGGTCTGGATCCAGCGGTTCTGGATATCCTCAGCGTTGATTGGGCACAGGAGATTGAGGGTTGAAAAATCGAGATCTTCGGCGGCTTCACTACAAGTAGCCGGCAACGTAGCAATTGTCATACTCCTTGCCTGATCCGAGGAGAATGTTGTCGAGATTGTCGTGCTCGGAGAATTTGGGGCATGCGCTTGTGGCCGAGCCTCCCCGCCATAGTGCGCACTTTCCAGCAAACGTTCGGGACTTGGGAACGACAATTCCGTCATGGAGAACGGACTTGCTGGTATTGCTCCTGTATTGTCTAGACTTTGGTGTTCTGACTGCCTCGATGGCTGATAGAGAGCATAGGAGCAAGGCACGCCACGCTGCGCGCATCTAGCACAACGTACATTGTCTGGTCGGCGCTGGCAGCGCGCCTTGGCGGCGGAACATTGACGGCAGGCTTTTTGCCGCGAGGTTGAGTATCTCGGCGTATTTATCGTCGTCATTAACTAAGATGCTCGTGGAGTTCCAGGAAACTCTGATGTACCAAAATAGACTGGTGATTGAGTGAAGCCTGAACTCCGCGGACTTCGGAGATGAGAGTCCGTATTGGGTCTAGCGGTGTCGGCAACAGATGACGTCATACCGAGGCTCCCTGGATTGTACTTTAGAAATGTACTGGGCATGGGATTCCTTTGAGCTATTTGGTAGTCGTACAAGTATGCTCAGGTGCAAAGGTGTGGGTGAAATAGTTTTATGGAAATTTCATCATTTCTAGTGAGTTGGTGAGCCCTATGCTCCTTCGTCATCCGATATGTATGTCTATTAGCCTTTTCGCTAAAATATTAGCCAGCAAACAGTTATTATTGCCTATATTGAAGTGGAGAGCCCCTTATCTAGATCGCTGCTTTTAACTCGCTCCGCTGCCCACCGTCTCTCCCTCTCCTCCCTCCTCCACCGCGCCGCAAACCTCCACTGCACCCAAGGCCCAGCAAGCGCCATAATCTGAACAGCAACACAAATCGTAAAGGCAACACCCACTCCAACCCCCTGAATCATCGGCATGACAAAGCTCGTCCCCCCCGCGGCGAACAAACATCTTGCAAGATTCAGACTCGCGCTCGCAGCGGCGCTGCGGTCCGGGAAGACATCGATTAGATATGTCATGATCAGACTCTGCGTCGAGACGGCCGTCCAGCCCGTGATGAATGTTGAGATTATAGGGATAGCGAGGGGTACTGTGCTCGGGTATTGGATTGTCCAGCCGAAGAGGAGGATGGAGAGGCATTGGGCTAGGGAGAAGAAGGGGATTAGGCGGAGGCGCGCCCTTTCGAGGGGGAAGTTGTCCTCTCGGTCCCTATCTCTGTTGGGGTTGGACTGTTCAGGATCAGACGACGCTTCTGCATCATACTGAGCCTTGACCCGCCGAAAATCCGCGTCGAGTATCCTCCCCGTGATCAGCGTCCCAGTCGTAGACCCCACCCCGTTCGCGATAAACGTAAGTCCAATCTCGATCTCGGAGAGCCCATAGCGCGTCTTGAACAGCGAGGACATGGCCGTGATGCTCATCTGCCAGACTGCGTAGTATACCGCGAGGAAGATGATGATTGGCGCGGAGTGGCTGCTCAGAAGCATGCGAAGGGGGCCAAGGAGATCAATTCGTTTGCGCTCGGCGAGAGCAGAGGTAGACGGTGCATCTTGCCAAAGGATTGTAGTTGTATTTTGGTACGCGACGAGCGGATACTTGGTTACCGGATTGCTCGGTGTGCGACTTCCATTTCCAACGCGCGCCCTCAACGTCTCCGGCAAGAGAACAACCAACAGACCAAGAAATACCCCGCCATAGATCGCCAAGAACCAGAAAATCGCCCTCCACCCTAACCGCCCCGCAATCCCACCCCCAATAACCGGCCCGACGGCAACAGGAACAAGCAAACCCGCCTGAAAAACACCCATATACCCACCCCTCTCCGCCCGCGTCGTGATATCCCCGATAACCCCGGACCCAATGGCAATCGTACTCGCGCTGCCGGTACTCTGCAGACAGCGGAGCGTAATTAGCGCCGCGTAGTTTGGAGTCAGGGCTAGCCCGATGCAGGCGGCGATGAATATGAGGAATGTGCCGATATAAGCTGTGCGGCGCCCATACACGTCGGAGACGGGACCCCAGAGGCTTGGGGCAAGACCTTGAAAGATTAGGTAGGTTGTTACGGTCAAGTTGATGAGCTCGAGGGAGACGGAGAGATCGGAGGCGATTGTGGGGAGGGCGGGGAAGTAGATGTTCGAGGCGAAGCCGGAGACTGTAGTATGTTAGATATTATATAACTTCCTTCGTGGAAATGGCTTTGAAAGTTTATGGAAGAAACGTACATGTCGCCGCTGTTGAGACAATAGCGATGATCAGCCATTTCTGGTGTTTGTCGAAGATGCTAAAGGGGGGTTCTTGTTCTGGAGGAAAGGCTCTTGTTGCTTCCGCCTGGGTCTGGTTATGTTCTTCTTGTGAAGCCATGATGGATTGTAATTATTAAACTTAATTATCGACAAAGCTGCTGGAAGCATGAGATATAAGTAGTGACAGTCCAGGAATTAGCCTCGCTCAACTCCGGTGCCTTTCGGAGTTGAGATGTGGGTCTTCGCCTCCCTGCACTGTGACCCAAACTAACAACTCCGCCACGTACAGTTCCTAAATAACAGAAAAAAGGATTCCAAGGTGTGTTGGGAGAGACCATAATGCATTTCATTCGTCTTACCCATCTTCGTCCTTAGCACAATCCTAAACCTCGACCTAACGACCGTCCTAATCGACGCGGTACAAGACACACCCGAGGCCCAAGCATTCATTAACAATTGCAACACATGGATAAACGCCGTGCATGCTAAGACGCCGCGGCCCCTAACTTGAAGCGATCTTCTCAACCCTCACTTTTACACCAGGCCAATCCGAGGTTGCATCAGGCTCCCGTTTCGCGAACCTAATTGCGCCGTTCGGTGACCTTGCCAGGGGCACATGCTACACATATTGATGGGCGAATTACAGTTGATGAAGCATGCGGGAATATTATCTTGGGGAAGACAAGGTGGTCTAGGACGGAGGGAATACGATTGAGCAGATTCTGAGGGGAGGGAGGTGAAGACTGTTATCATCGTACGTATCCTGTGCTGCCATATTTGCTACCATTATAGGCGTGTCAGCGTCGAAGAGAAGCTAACTTAACCCTCACCGGCGTTATCATGGCCACAGTATACAGGCTCTTCGATCTGGACTTTGATGCATATGTCCTTCAAGATAATGTGATTGACATTCTTAGTGGGGATACGGAGGCTTCTTCGCGTGTCATGCTGGATGTTCTATTGGCCAAGATAGGGTTTTGGAGCTGTTTCTCTCGAAGAGACACTGGGGGTATTGCATCAATCATGAAGTGAGTCTGGGGCCTGATTGCGTGCATAGTATACAGTTGTCAAACTTCATCCTTGTCAAATGACAAAATTCAGTGCCAAACAAAAAGAAAAAGCCAAAAGGAAAGAACGTCAGTAACTCGATATCCACGGTCCCGGTCATCTACTACCCCCAAACAATGAACTTCGGCTCAAACCCCTTTCCTGCATTCACAGCCTTCTCTAACGTGTCCCCCTTCGACAATCTCACCACGTTCTCCGGATACAGCTTCCCCAGCACCGCTAAAGCAAGAATTCGCTCGTCCGCCGAAATAACATGGAATCCCCCTTTGTCCGCAGTGACAAGTCCAGATCCTGAAGCCAAGAGAACATCGTGGGCCGTGTGCACGATGCTCGGCACATCAAACTCCCCGGATTCACCGGCCTCATATGAGTACCTGTGTCCGCGGGCAACCTGGCCGACATCGACGGTTGCGTGCTGGCCGTTTTCGAAGGAGAGTCGGAGGTTCAGCTGGGCGACGGAGGGAGACGGTGTCTCGGACGATTGTACTTCGAGGGCCACCTCTTTCAACCCTGACGACGTGGTCCCAGGGAAGCTGGTCAAAGAAGGAACCACATCCCCAGCCGGAATCTCCGCCTTGGGCGCATCATAGTAATCCGGAAACTGATACTCAAACAAGATCTCCCCACGCGAGGGATCAACATGCGCAGGGACATACTGCAGGAGATGAAGTGGCCGAGCGTCATCAACGAAGACAGCCGGAATGACGAGCCCAGATGAATACTGGAACCCATATCCACCGGTCCCACTTCCCGTCTTCGAAAGCCCTGGCGCAAGGAGCGCCTTCGCCATATCATTTACAGACGCCTGCGTAACCTGCTTTGTGAAGAGCTTCGCCATGAACCCTTCCCTCGGACCTTCCATATGTCTTAACCCACGACCCGCACCGGTAACGGGGATTAGGACCTCCTCATAGTTGTAGAATGGGAGCAGCGCATCGCGGAGCAGGACCATCTGGTGCATATACTCGTTATACAGCTGCATGAGATGCGGCTTGCTGCGGCGCCCGAACATAAGGTCCACATTTTCCGGTGTGAGCAGGTGTCCTTCGCATCGACTTCGGAGGACAAGGTCGGGGTCAAAAAATGGCTTCTGGTTTTCTTCCGATGCCCATTTCACAAGATGTTTCCCAATCCGCCGTGCCTGGTCACGAATTTCGCGGCGGCTCGTATCCGGAACGTGTTCGGGGAATGGGAGGGATGACTCGCGGGTATCTGTCGAGAGGATTGCGGCAATGTTGTCGAGGAGCTGAGCGCGCGGCTTTTTCGAGTTGGATACTGGATCGGGGTCTGGGATTAGGTGGTGTAGGACTGTGTCGAGGAGCGGTGCGAAACCCTGGACGAGTTGGCGTGGGGTGTACACGCCTGGGTGGAGGGTCCATTCCTTTGTCGTAATCTTTGCGGCCGGGTAGGGAGGAGCGATGGGCATGATCGACTTTCCGATGATGATGTTGCCGAGGCGATAGATGGACGATTTTGTTGCTGTCATTGTGGTCGGTAGAGTATTCAGGTCGTGAGTGACGTCTTGGTGAGGCGTAATGCTTTGGACGAGAAGCACTTGAGCGAGCCTCAGCAGTACAAATAGTCAGGCTTTCAGAGGCATTATGACAAATGTCGGATTGATTTGAAATTCTGAGAAACCTGCGAGAAACCCGGAGATGATGTTGGAATAAAGGCATCTCGGAGCAAATTGGACATGTCCATCCAACTCCGACGGCGGGTTCGGACCGCCAATCGGACTTGTATGGCCCTTATAAATGCCAAATCACCAATCCTGCTTCGCCTATATTTCGATATTATTTATCGACAGTATTCTCCCAACGATCTGCGTTCCAAAGTTTACGGTTCCCCGGCGTTTGGCTAATCCGATGCCGGCGGGGAGCGATATGCGATCAGCCATGAACGTCCTAGCCGAATCAGCAGATCTCAAATCGACAAACACCGTGAATCACCTTGATGTCTTGGCTGTTAACCGAGAGTAAATTTCCAAGATCACCGAGCAGGTACTGCCGCAGGCACTGGCAATCAGACAGGTTCGGCGTCCTCTGCGGTGAACTTACTGGACATCAATGTTTGATTTGTACTGCTTTTTTCCTTTTTGTTTGACAGATGAAGAGGCTGGAGGATGAACCCTATTGTTACAGCCTGCGAGGGTTTGCTTTACAGTTTCTAGATAGCGTCTTACTACCGCGAGCTAAATTCTATTGTTATTTGATATTCACCAACCTAAGAAACATCACCCTGCCTAGTCTCGTGTTTATAATGGACTTAGATAGGACCGATAATGCACTAATCACTTAAAACCCGCGTTTGATAGCATCAACTCGAGACTGAATGGCAGCCTTGAACCAGCCAATGGGACCCGCCTGCTCCCACCCATGGGGCAAGCCAGGCTGTACATGCATCTCAACCTCAACCCCAGCTTTGATCAGCCTGTGTGCGTACGCCATATCCTCTTCTAGAAACAAATCAAGCGTGCCAGTATCGATGTAAGTCGACGGAAGGCCGCTCAAGTCCTGCACTCGCGCCGGGACAGAGTTTTGCGGGATCCCAGCACCATCATCCTTCCCCGCTTTCCCCTGGCCCAAGTACGCGTTCCAAATCATCACGCTGTACTCTTCCTTCCAGAGCAGTAGATCCCTGCGAGGGTCATCTTGCGTGCTCGGGACACGGTCGTCGAGCGTAGGATAGATCAGAATCTGCTTGGCCAGCGGTGGGCTAAGCTGGCGGTCTCGCGCATTCAGTGCGGTGCTCGCAGTTAGAAGACCACCCGCACTATCACCCATAACGACAAGCTTCGAGGCATCAACGTTGAGGGACGCGGCGTTCCGAGAGACCCAAGCGACCGCGGCATAGCAATCCTCCATGCTCTCGACCGCCGAGTATTCGGGTGCAACGCGATAGTCGACCGAGAAAACAGGATACCCCAGCTGTTCGGCGAGATAGGCCGTCAGCTGCGCATACATGGCCGCGGTTCCGGAAACCATGGCTCCACCGTGGATATATACCACCGCAGGCAGCGGGGTATCAGAATTGAGGGTCGCTTCGGAAGCGAAGCGGGTTATGTCCACCGTGACGGTATCGTAGCTTGTGGTGCTGAAGCTGTCTTGTCGAATGCCTTTGGCGACGGGATATGCGCCCGAAATGGCGGGCAGGAGAGCGTTATTGAGAGCTCGGATGTCGTATACATCTTTAGCTCTTGGGGCGGGTGCTTTGAGGGCCTCTTGCATGACAGCGTAGAACTCCGGATCAAACTTGTGACTGCTCATTTTGATGTGGCTGGAGGAACGCTCGTTGCTATCGAGGGGGATTGTGATGTGGTATTGACAGAGCAGATGAATCAAGCCAGTCGTCGCCTTTGTGAATGGGAGCGTGTGACCAAGACAATGGCCAGAGGATCTGATGAATGCTGATGATGATGGGAACAAAGAATTTGCTGTCGAGGTCTGGGAGGAGCCTTTTATATCTTTGGCGACGGACCTGGATGGGCTCCCTCCATGTCGGCGGCGGATCAGCATCTTCCGCGGAATACAAGGATCCGACGAACTTCCCGCACCACCCACTCTGGAGATCCAGATATGCCAGAGTATACACCGTTTCAATAACGAGCATACGCAGCTATGTGGGGCATGACATTAAATATAGGTGCTTTGGGGGCCTGTCCTACCAAAGGAAAGGACCGACTTGCTGCCTTGTCGTCATTCGCTGGATGGCCAAGTGCTGGCCAAACACAACTGTTGACGGGGAGCTAAACACACAGCTGCGACTACCATTCAGCTCGAGCATGCATTTGACATTAAAGCATGGGCTTGACGTACCGGCAATCCCAAGGTGGAGATTTTATCCTCATTCCTACTCTATAGACGCGAGGCGACGAGAGAAATGGTTTGATGCGTATTGAACTATCATGTACCAATCTAGAGGCCGCAGCGCCGTACCTGTGCCTCGTACTATCTACATGTCGAGTCCAAAGAGAGTGTCAAACGAGGGAAACATGTCAAAGCTCTGCAAAGTCCCATAGAAATCGTCATCAAACACTGGTGAGTTCCCGCCCAAAGCACCCGGGTTGCTGTAGGCGCCGGCCAGTTGCGGAGCAGCGTCAAAGCTCCTCATAATCGGATCAATGTCAAAGCCAGATGAGGAGGCGCCATCCGCAGCCATGGCCGCTTGTGCGCCAGCCGGCGCCAGGGGGGTGTCACCGCAACTGCCACCTCCACTGATATTATCGGCATCGGTGGAATGCGTAGCTTGTGTCAGGACGCAGTCATCTACTTTCAATCGCCTCATGAGGTCTTTGAGGATCTTAAGGCTGCGCCCGGATGCGTGGCACATGATCTGATGCTCATGAAGAAAGTCCAGACAGTTACGTAGGCTGTTGTGGGCCTCGGATCCAGGGGGTCTCTGTGCTGCTATGCGCAGGTGGATGGTCGCACTGACGTAAACTGCATAGGACAGTGCGTATGGCGCAGCTTTCACACAGAACCTGTCGGTGTACTGCCGTAGCAGAGCGTCCGTACTCGAGGCTGCAGCGGCACAGACGGCGAAAGACTCGCTCGCCCGTGGCTGGCCGGCCACGCGAAGGTGGCCGTCAGATACGAATGGTCGATGCAGTAACGTGATAACCGAATTGTATAGTGCCCTTCCGGACTCTAAGTAAACCTCTAAACACGGATGGGAGGGTTTGCAACTTACAGCAACGAGATTGTATGGGGTAGAACTGGCGCGTTCTCAGTACCTTCTAATAGGCCAGCGAGATGTGTCGGTAGGCCTTTTCTCCAGGCCTTCAAATCCTCATCCAGAGAGTCGGACGTGCGAAAAAGGTCATTGGGATCTTTCCGAGCGCTGCTCTCCGCGTACATATTGAAAAGAACGCGATCCATGATGACACTCAGCTTGCAAAGTTGTTCAAACGTAGACACGCCATACCCCGGGCAGCCAAGCGCTGTAGGCTCTGCAGCGTAGCCAACTGTGCTAAAGGGCTCAAGCTCCTCAAACTCATCTAGAAACTGTATTGGTACACTGTTGTCATGTTCTCGCAGACGCGCGGGCCGCCCTTGATACACCGACTGGAGCTTATCGGTTGCTGTTTGTGGAGTCATTCAGTGTCCGCACAGCAGGAAAGAGGAGCGGCAGATGACGTACCAAAGGCAGACCAGAAGAGTCGTCGATGGGTCTCCAGTTCACCGGCTGGGCGAGACCAAGTGGCCTTTTCATCGTGGCCCTCTGTGTGAAGGCCGAGGTCCATGATCATGTTGACCGCTATACCCGAGTAATGCCAGGAAAGGCTTTTCTCGTCACACCAGGAGAACAACGTATCTGAAACGAGCAGAAGAGCTTGAATTGTGGTTACCTGGCTCTTGAACAGCAGCTTCGTCTCCGGGTCATGCAGGTAATCCTCAAACTTGCGCCGAAATTCGAATCCCATGCTGCAGTTGTCCGCAGCATGGCATCGGGCGGCTATGGTTCCCTCCAAGCCTGATGCCGCTGCCCGGGAGAGGTAGTCCGACGCAGAGAAGTAGATTGCATTGAGAAGTAGCTTGGAGAACGATGGCCCATTGCACGCCATGTCTCTCAGAAAGGCGGGCCGATAGACAATCGAGCCAGAATGATGTTGACGGTTCCAGAAGATTGTTAGTAATTTCAATCCTATTTCAGGCTCCACCCCATCAAAGTCCAGTTTCCCCGAGCTTATATTGATCATCTCCATTTGTCCTAAGCAGATCGCGTCAGTCTCCTTGTCCAGTTGTACCGGAGCCGCCGTACATACTCTGTCTTGTTGTTTCGGCTAGGAGCTGGCACTTTCTATAGTCAACCTTTGCCACGTCAGATCCGACCACGATCGCATTTACTGGGCAAGTCTCGTCAAACATCGCGCTCGATGGGCCGTGGAATCGACTCTCTTGATCAGGTTGTGAGCCATCATGGTGGGACACCCTGTGATTGGAGTATCGACGGTAATCCCGCCGGACTGGAGCTGCCAAACCTGGCTCATCGACAACAGTTACCGTTTCCTCGACCAAATCATCCCGCCGAGAACAAGTCGGTACATTAGCGGCAGCTGGAACGTGCTGCACGCTCTCCCAGTCAAATGGTCGCTCAGCGCTCTGTCGTCCAGACCCTTGAGACAGTCGGCGCAGTCTTGCATTCTCTTCTTCTAGCTGTCTAATCCGAGAATTGGAGGGCCTTTTGGTCAAAGTTCAGTATTTATTGGCTAGGTCCATGTTCGTATAAATGCGGGTTGTCGACTTACCTTGCTTGCCTAACTCTCGCTGTGTAGGTACACTGCTTCTCATAAGACTGGCAGTTTCCGCATCGCGGCGAGATGTTGTCGCACCCCAGCTAGAGCGATTAGTATGGAGACTCCATGGGATTGTACAGGGTGTGATTGTCAGGGCAATGTGAGGGGCTGCTATACCTTCCTCCGCCGACAAAAGTCACAGGCGGCGGCCACGCGTTTCTTCCGCTTCTGAGCTAATAAACGAGTTGCTGAATCCATTGTCGCAATATTCGTATCCAATGTAGCTCTACAGGGTCACTAGTACCACCGTTATGGCTGTTATTGTTGCGAGAGCGAGCTCGCGACGTGTAGCGCAAGGAAGGAAAGGCAGTGAAGACGGGCTGAGAAGAGGCGGAAGAGCCAGCGCGACGGAACAGAATCTTCCGGTTTATGGCGTCACTGGCGGGCCTAAAGGAGGAATACGCATCCGTACCCTCTCCGCAATTTCAAGCGCTTATCGGGCTGCCCAGCGCCAGGAAACAAGAGATTGATGGGAATTGCTTATCTAGAAGACTCTAAATAACGTTTTTTGCATTGTCATGGTTCAGCTAAGCACTTTTGGCTAACACCGGCCCCCCGCTGGTCCTCTGAAATTCGTGGCTAGAGAGGGGTGCGGCGTTGAAACTGAAAGGCAAGACGATCAACTACCTGAGACAGAGCAGGTGAGACGCTTAAAATACAGGTCTTGGTGTCTCCGACAGTAATTAGCTACTTCATATAAGGCAACATAGTCTCAGCGGAGCGTTTCATCAGCTCCGTGTAGTAGCTTTCGGACAGCAGACCTGATCCGTGGTCAATGATAAACTGCAATTGACCAGGAGTAACATCCGTAATCTCCTTCTCCAGCTGGTCTTGGCCAAAGTTGCCTACTGCTGTGCGGTCAATCGGGGGCATGAACTCGACAGCGACTCCCCCGTCATATCCCGTCTCAGCCAGCACCGACATGATCTTGGCCCAGTCAAAAGATCCATCGCCGGGCGCAAGGCGATTGTTGTCAGCGACGTGGACGTTGGCAATGTGTCGGCCACAAGCCCGCATTGCCGCATACATGTCACGCTCCTCCAACGCCAAGTGAAAGACATCAAACGCAATCCCGCAGTCGTAGCCCACCTCTCGCGCGAGAGCCAGGGCCTGGTCGGTTCGGTTCAAAAAGTATGTCTCGAACCTATTAAGTGGCTCCAGTGCGATTCTGACGCCCTTTTCCTTGCCAAAGGCCGCCACTTCACGGAGACCCTCCACGGCCCACCTCCATTCGTTCTCCGGTGTAGACGTGGGTACCAGTTTGCCGACGGTGGACGGCACAACGGTGACTATTTGGCCGCCGAGGCCAGCCGACAAGGCGACGACTTCCTTCATGTACTTGATTGTGTCCTGTCGCTGCTGTCCGTCCGAGGCGATCAGATCTCGGGAGCCGTACTGTGTTGTGACTGCGCCCCAGCATTTGATGTTGTACTTGGCAAGCAGTGGGCGAACTTCTGCGACCGAGTAAAGAGCAGGTTCACCGGCGAGCTCGATGCTGGAGTATCCGAGGCGACTGATGCGTTTGAGCGTCGTCTCCAACGGCTCGGGTCGCATCCAAGTATGTGTTGACAAATGCATGTTGATGATAGATGGCGAAGAGGTATAACCTCGCGGTTTCTAACGGAATGTGAATGTCGTCGAGGATATTTGTGATGAATTACTTCTCATCGGAGCGATGTTAGGGTTTTGTACTACAGACGAGCTGCCGGCGGATTTGCGCTGTCCCGCGGAACATGTGGTTCCGTCGTCTCGACTCTCATTCCGGGTTTGCAATAAGACTAAGACTCGTGGCTTCTTGGCGTCTGCACACAAAGTGAAGCAGCCAAGTCACCAATTAACTAACCACCTTACTAAGGGCCATGCTAGGCGCTTATTAGAAGCCTTACCAGGGGTCTCGCTGAAGGCCTGGGTGAGAGCTTTGCAAAGGACCTGAGGGCCTGCATAGTTAACTAATTAAGCATCTTCATCAGCGCATGGGCTAACTAAAGCCTACGGATATCTTCCCTCTCAATGAAGGGTCGTTCCCAAACTTCACCCCTAATCACTATTCTATCCTTATTGTTGGAATAAGACTATCGGAAATTCTCTCTTGTTATCACCTTTCACACTATTCGCAACCTCGTGAAGACCAGCAGACAACCACGAGTCCAACCTCGCCGCTTACAAAATCTCAAGGATTTGTTGTGTGGCAGAGGTTTTTAATATTCCTTACTCCTCACTCCGACAAGCACGGTAATATCGATCAGAACTCCGCCCAAATAGCCGCTGGCCATCTAATATTCAAGAGGAGGCTTTGATCATTACAGAGATGAGAAACTCGGGAAATATACATCATAATTCCCGCCCAAGTCGCTCACCCCATGGAAAGCCCACGCATTTAGATACTGAAATGATTGAAATAATTACCACGCCACTAAAACCGTGTCAACCATTCCAGGACCTCGTGGCACAGAAGCGAGTCCTCTATAATTTAAAAGAGCAACTCACAACGTCAACCCTCTTCAACCCTAGTTAACAATCAGGCAGCCGTCACACCCAGGCGCGGCTCGCACTCGTTCCATGGTTGAGAAACAAACCTTCGGAATGGTGGGTAAAGCTTGGGAAAGCTTGGTTTTGACAGCTGCCTAGAATCTACCGTGGTTCGACCCTCCCCCCAAACATAATTGAACTTTATTTGCGCGGATGTCATAGAGCTTGTTTCATTGGTCATTCAAGCACATCCGCCCAGATATAAAAAGGATGACGCGGCGCTTGAGTGTAAACGCGGCCCTAGCCTCCAGGGCGAATATACAGAATGAAGAACGAAACGCGCAGTCCAGCGAAACCGACCTCGAAGAGGCCGAGGAGCCCCTCCCTGTTTGAGACAGTGGCTCAGTCGCTGGCCAATCAGCTTCCGAGTCTCAGCAATGCGGCTCCTTGCTGTGCCTCCCTGGCAGATCGTCAGTGGAACAGACATTGCTTGCTTTCTGAAGAATCGTGGTCAAGTTCCACCCCAAAGTTCGGATCGGGTTCCCCAAGTGGTAGCATCGGCGATGAGACGCTTGTTGGAACCATATCGGAGTCCGATACGCAACCGAGTCGTGAACCGTTGAATGGGTCGATTCGCTGGAGCTCCGACAGTTCCGCGTCGGTTTGGGAAGCGGTACATGGGGTAGAGACACATGAGGTTGTGGAGGGTCTGGCCGCACGCTATGGGAGGGTCTCCAACATGGTGATCCTCGATCGGAGCTATCGCACTTTCTTAAACAAGGCCCGAACGGCGGCGCTGTTCTACAAAGTGATGAATCATGTGGCTGTGGTCAGCGGGGACCCCCTGTGCGACCCAGACCTTTTTGGCGAGATCCTCAATGAATTCAAGGCGTACCGGAAGAAGCACCACTGGCGACTCGCTTTTGTGGGTGCCAGCGACATACTAGCCAAGTATGCTCGTCAACAGCACTGGAAGACAATACACTTCGCCACGGAGCGCGTGCTCAACCCAATCACCAATGACGTCCTATCAGAACGAAGTGGCAAGCGGATGATTGTCCAACACAAACAGCTCCTCGATCCAATCAAGGGCGGGATCAGTTTAGGCGTCTATATGCCGGCATACCGACAAGACCAGCGCCTCCAGAGCGAACTGGTAGCCATGTACAACGCATGGTGCCAACAACAGAACCAAACCACGACCCCCAAGGCCTTCATCACGGTCTATAACCCCTTCGACTTCCCCAACCTGATGCTCTACATCTACACCCAGGCGGCCGACGGGTCCCCAAACGGGTTCGCCGCGCTTCGCTGGATGGGCGCGACGCAAGGCTACCACATCGACCCCTGCATCGCAGCCCCGAACTCGCCCAAAGGAATCACCGACTTGCTAGTCTTCGCGGCAATGGCCCTTGTGAACCAGCTTGGCTGCCCCTACCTTAGTCTGGGATGTGAGCCGCTTGCAGTCCTCGACGAGGTCACGGGGATGTCACCCACGGTTGCGAAGCTCGTACGCTCCATGCACACCGCGATCTTTCAGCGACTACCGATCAGTGGGAAAAAGGCGTACCACGACAAGTTTCGGCCTGACGCGGACCAGGAGTCAAAGTTGTATCTAGTGTTTCCGTCGGGTGGCCTGGCGCTTCTCCAGCAGCTGGTTGCCGTTACGCACATTGCCAATATCAGCTTCCGCAGGCTTTTGCGCGCTAAAGCTAGTTGACAGTCGGAGGGGGAAAGTCCATAGCAAGAATCAAGCACGTCCGCAAGGGGCAACTGTCCATCAGTGGGAACGTGGTTGTGGGCGGCATGCTGGCTATCAGGGTAGCTGGTGGCTAACGACCAATACTGGTGGACGACCAGTGACACGGCCATGATCATACAATTCAAGCCAGGAAATCCTAGATCGCGTACAAATCTAGAACTCACTTCAGAAATAGTGCTCTCCAACGCTCTAGACCTCGATCCAATTCCAGGCGAACTACCTCCTATCCGGAATACTGTATGCTGACAGACCTAGTTATACGCCCGGGGTGCGGCGTCGGCTGGAACGACCAGTTCGAACCAATCAAGCGAGTGGGCTCGCTGCGAGGAATCAGTCGCGTTTGATTGCCTTCGCACGTTCCAGGTCCCCTGGGAACTCCCTGTAGGCTTTGCGCAGGCCATGAGCGGACAGTTGCAGGATGCGATCCTGAGGAATGTCGAGTTCGTTACACGCACCGATGACCTCGCGATGCAGAACTGTGATCGTCACGACCGGGCGTGGCCGACGTGGGAGTGGGGGCGGGAGGATTAGGCTATGGTGCAGGTGGTCGGGGAGTGGTTGAGGGGTTGGAGGGGATGCACGCCGTGTCTTCAGCGGGTGATGCTGCAGATGGTTGATCATGATATCGGTCAATGGAGCGCAGACACAAGGGGGCAGCTTAGAGAGGGTGGGGCAAGGTTTGGCGTTTTGGTGGATATTGTTTGTTTATAAGCAACCGTGACACCCAAGGACTTTACACTATCTTCCTTTCCAACTCGGTATATAAACAAGCCTTTACCATCAGCGTATCCCGAACCAACCCCTACCACGCCTTTTGGTCAAGGCGGCACCCGTACCTTCCATCTCGTCATCGCTTGCAAATCCAATCCCCGTACCCCTCCTGGCGAGCTGCGCCACACGTTCAGCACGGCGTCTCTGCAAGAACGCCCACGAAGCGACCCCTGCAACAACAGCAACCGTGAGAGGACCGGTGACGGCCCAGTAGATCCAGAAATGCTTGTTAGCGACGTTGTTAATTGAGGTTTCGGACCAGTTAAAGAGGGGCATTGCAAAGAATGTCTGAGAGGAGGTATGGTTAGCGTACTCAGGCTCAAGTCTATCAGATTGTTGATGGTAGGATCCGTCTTGCAGCTTACCGCCATGAATGTGCCAGGTAGGAAAGCCGTCGTGAGCACCGCGACAATCTTCATGGCGGAGCTATCGCGCTTACTCGCCGCCGCGATCTCTTTGGAGTCTTTGGCCAGTCCAATGTTGACCATGCCGTCCATTTGCGCGATGAGATTGAAAATCTGATTTAGGGTTAGGTTGAACGGGCGTTGGATCGCAAGTCTAAACTGAACATGTGCTGTCTACGGAGGGAAGGAAGGCGCACCACAGATTGTTGAGTCTCCATCCGCTCCTTTAGCGCCAGGAAGTCGAGCCATTCTCCATGATACTCAGCAAATATTCGATCCGTTCCTCAAGCATTCGGGATGGCTGATCCAGTCTTGCTCTAGCTTCGTCAGGGAGAGTTCTGCTGAGATACCGCAGCTTCTGCTGGAGAAATTCTGTGGACCGTCGGGCCGCGCGGAGATTCCCAACGCCAAAGTACATGCTGCTTTGTGCGGCTCCCAGTCTTCGTGTAAGGTCCCTCAGGTTGCCAGTAATCTGCAGGCTTGCATTGTCTGCCTCAGAATTCATGTCATATCCGGTTTCTCTCTCGATTTCTCGCAGGGCTACCTCCACTGGGCGCACATTTTCCAATATGGTCAGCTCAACTGATATTTCTAGAGCAATGAGTGGCAGTAGCAGAGGATGGCCGCAGGATGAATACTCGGACTGAAGCTTCCCAAAGCGGTTATACGGGATCTCCGCAATCTGGAAAATCCCTCGAGTGACATTTGCCGCAGGGTCGTAGCAGAGTGTCACACTGGGTGATATACTACTGGGGATCATACAATGGACGATCGCTAGCCACGGTCAGTAAGATGCCATATCAGCAGACACAAAAGAGGAGCGTAGCCTGCCGTATGTGCCATCTGGCTGCAAAAAAACCCCATCTGCTCCAGTCACCGAGGAGACAGTGTGCCTGTGACTCGGTGGCAGGTTCAAAGCGGCGTAAATAGAGTCCAGTGCGCTCTCCGTCATCTGGGGTACGGGATTATCCGGGTCTAGTGGGAGGATCAACACCTTGAAACCTGACAAAAGGTGGTGATTTGATGTGGAAGGGTATGGCTTCTTCAGCCAGGCTTCGACAGAACTGATAGGAAACGTTTGCTTTCCGTGGGTCACGCTTGGTGGGGAACTTTGAGATTTATCCTGATAACTCCAACACTCCATTGCTGTTATATCGGGCTCTGCATTCTCCGTAGCGAAACGCAACTTGGACCATGTTGAATCCCATAACCACTGTTGGTCGCTCGAATTCGCCATAACGATACGCCTTGAGGGATGAAGATCAGGGGGCAAAGTGCGGGGGTTGAAATTCGCGGTCAGCGGTTCGAGGCTGAAGGTTGGTGTGAGATTTTGCCCCGCGATTCAACGACAGGGAACTTGCGCTGTTTGCTTTTTCCATCTCGTTGGTGACGGCTGTCGCGATGTCCTGTGAGCCACTGTAGAGCTCCCCAGTGTACTCAAGAAGGAGTGACATTGTATGGAAACAATCCCATATAAATGCAGATGATAAACAGGATTGATGGAGAGGTTCGATGAAGATGAAAAGGTTCTCATGGAGGGTGGTATCCCTTCGCGCCTTCCCTTCCACCCCCTCCATTGGACAAGACGTCGCTGCCTGAGGCTACCAGCCACGTGCCCGCTGTCCTTTGCGCCTAGATACATGGCTTCGTCTACCAATACATATCCTAATCACGATGTCTCCTATCTCGCCTGCTCTGGCTCGCTGGAACGAGCTGTGGCAGAGCTCAAAGGAGTAGGTTTTCTGAAATGGGGAGTTCTCAATCCAGGACACTATATATATTTGATCAACAACACCGCGAACGCCTTCCAAACAACTATTGAAGCATCTTGAAGAGTCCTAAAACCACCAAGAGACTCTATGATGTATTTTTAGTCAACATTATGCTGGTTTCAGAATATAGTCAAGCCGCTTCATTGCTCCTATAGACCTTCGTTTGGTCTGATCTGGAGACGGCGGCCCAACTTCCCCGACAACTCGGCGTTTGTCCCGACCGACTACCGACGAGATAAGATTATTGCAGTCGAGAGATGCTCTTGCTGGCGCTGACGCAGAGAAATATGCACCAAGTGAGCTTACCATCCCGAAAACAAGAGGTATCGCACCAATCCCGTCTTAAGCCCCCCTTCACAAAGAAACGTCGTCAAAATCGCCGTGCACAGATCTCCATCTCGTGGCCTCGCCTTGTCGGAGGGATCCGAATGCACGGCTTATGCCTCGGGAATCTGCACAACGGCAGTTGGTTCTCCACTTTCTGGGCACAACTCCCGCTTCGTCGTAAACTAGCGCTGGAATACGCACGCCGCGGACATCGAATTGCCTGGAAGGTCTCGAACAAAGCTTGACCCCGTTCATAATCGGGATAATCTCCGCATAAACAGACACTGGCCCCGTCGGGTAATTGTCTTATTGGTCGAACAGGCTGTGAAATCGTGCATTATTTCGCCCAGATCCGAGCGGAGTGTATCCGATGCGGATTTGGTTGGGCCATGGGCAGTTGGAGATTTGAGGGGTGAATTTAAGGAGGTGTCGTGCCACTCCAGCCAAAATGCTTCGAGAACTTTCGGATCGAAACCTCCACCACAGGATTGAGACGGATCGGAAATGTCTTCGCAGGGTGACGTCGAGCAGGGCGAGAAGGGAGAGATTGTCAGCGATGTCGTCGCTCAGGAAAAGGTCGACTGGGACGGGCCCGATGACCCTGAAAACCCGATGAACTGGCCGAACAGGAAGAAGATGCAGCAGTTGGTTCTCATGGCGGCCAACACATTCATCACGTATGTTTTCCACCCTTTCCTGACGGTGAATGACCGCAGCTGACAGTGGCAGACCCCTCGCCTCCTCAATGTTCGCCCCCGGCATCCAAGACGTGATGCGCGACTTCGACGTCACAAGCTCGATGCTCGCCTCGTTCGTCGTCTCCGTCTTTGTCCTCGGCTACGTCGTCGGCCCCTTTATCATCGCCCCCGTCTCCGAGCTGTACGGCCGGGTCCCAATATACCACGCGTGCAACCTGCTCTTCCTCATCTTCACGATCGCATGCGCCGTCGCCCAGGACATGCCGCAGCTGATTGTCTTTCGACTACTCGCCGGTGTCGCGGGCGTGTGTCCGCTGACGATCGGATCGGGGACGATTGCCGATATGATTGAGAGCGAGAAGCGCGCAGGGATCATGGCCGTCTGGGCGATGGGCCCGATCCTCGGGCCGATTGTTGGGCCTGTGGCTGGTGGGTTTCTGGCCGAGGCCGAGGGGTGGAGGTGGGTGTTTTGGGTTATTGCGATCACAGTATGTTCCTCAGTCATAGCTTGTGTGGTGCAATGCTAACACTCCTGGATAGACCGCCGTCGTGGCCATCGGCTGCCTGATCACCTACCGTGAGTCGTACGCGCCCGTCCTCCTCGAACGCAAAGCTGCGCGCCTGCGCAAAGAGACCGGAAACACATCGCTGCGCTCCATCCACGACACGGTCCGAACACCGCGACAGGTCTTCGTCGACGCCTTTACGCGCCCCGTCAAGCTCCTCTTCCTCAGCCCCATCGTCTTCCTCTTCAGCCTCTTCGCCGCCGTCTCCTACGGGTACCTGTACCTCATGTTCACGACGCTCACGAGCATCTTCGAAAACCAATACGGATTCTCCGCCTCACTAGCAGGCCTCGCATACCTCGGATTCGGCGTCGGCAGTCTCCTAGGTCTAGTAATCAGCGGCGTCGTCGGCAACAAAATCGCAACATCACACATCCAAAAGGGCATCTTCCGCCCCGAATCCCGCCTCCCGCCCATGCTCTTCGGCGCCTGGGCAATCCCCATCGGCCTCTTCTGGTACGGCTGGTCGGCCGAGGCCAAGACCCACTGGATCGTGCCCATCATCGGCACGGCCGTCTTCGCCGTCGGCCTCATGACCGTCTTCATGGCGGCAAACACGTACCTCGTCGACTCGTACCTGCTGCACGCGGCGTCTGTGACGGCGGCCAACACGGCGCTGCGCAGTCTGGCGGGCGCGGTCCTCCCGCTGGCGGGGCCGGCCATGTATGATGCGCTGGGATTGGGATGGGGGAATTCGTTGCTGGCGTTTATTGCGCTAGTCATGTGTGGCTGTCCGCTGCTGTTTTGGAGGTATGGGGAGCTGATCAGGACGCATCCGCGGTTTCAGATTCGGTTATAGATTGTTCTTTCGTTCTGGTGCATTTTGCCTCTCGCCCTTGCATCCACCATTGTGGTTGGTCCCTTGCATTGCGTCGCATTCCACGTTCTCATTCCGCCTGCATGAAAAAGATAGTCGCATCGCATTTTGTAAATAAGCATCAGCATAGCATCAATAAATAAATCTGGGATCCCGACACCGTCTCCTCAAGTACTTTCCCCTGAATATATACGCATACGCCTCATTTAACTAACGGCCGTAAGCGCATGCCCCAATCTCAATTCCGCGACGGCGTCAGCTCAGCGGCGCGTAACATGACTGGACCGAGCAGCGCCCGAGGAGCCGAAGCGGGCGGGGTCACTGGAGGCCTTGCTCGAGGAGGAATACATAAGAGAGCGGAGGATCACATCATCGTCACATTCCCCAGGCTCTTTAGAATTGATCCTTCTGAGCTTGTGATTCCGACGTTCGAATGTGCATCTGAAGACTGGGTGTGAACATGCCGACCGACATGATCTTTGAGCCCGAGCGGCGCGTGCCCATCCCCGCGACCGATATCCTCACGTATCTTTTTGCGAATCCGAAATATGATGTGGATAAGCCGGTATGTTTTATTTCTCCCTGTTGCTAGTGCCAGTGCCAGTGCTTGTGACGTGTCCTATGCGATTCTTCATGTTGGAGTTAAACGTCTTCTGCAATGCATCCACACCCGACCCCACCGACACACACCCACTCTCACACCCCGCAAAATGAAGCCTGAAACAATCCGGGGATTCTCCACCCAATTACGGCGATTTTGCTCACTAATGAAACTGTAGGTCTACATCGACGTCGCGAATCCATCGCGGAGCATATCCCAAAACCAGGCGCGCACAATCATCCGACAGCTCATCGCTGGCCTACGCGCTTGGGGCGTCAAAGAGGGCGATTGCGTCGCGATCCATTCGTTCAATGATGTTCGTCGCCGATTCCCGATCCAGTTATCCCGCCACGAGCAGTTTATCGATGACATACTGACATGCGATAGATCTACTACTCAATGCTCGTCCTCGCAATCGTCGGCTGCGGAGGCGTCTACACAGGGACAAACCCCGCGTACACCCCGCACGAACTCGCCCACCACTTTCGCGCCGCGGAAACCCGCTTCGTCATCTCTGAGCCGGAGATCCTCGACCCGATCCTAATCGCCGCAAAAGAAGTGAGCATACCGGAATCCCGCATCCGGATCTTCAATACACAAAAGGACCAAACCATCCCACCCGGCCGGGTGCCATGGACCGAACTGTTCAACCACGGCGAAGCCGACTGGATCTCATTTGACGACCTCGAGCGCGCAAAGCGCACACCCGCCGCGAGGCTGTTTAGTTCCGGGACGACGGGCCTCCCCAAGGCCGTGACGAACACGCACCACAATCTCGTTGCGCAGCAGGAGGTTGTGTTCGAGGTGAATCCGCGCGGGTACGAGGCCAGCCGCGTCATTGCAATCCCGCTCTTCCACGCCGCCGCCGCCCCCAGCACGCATTTTGGGATCCTCAAGGCGGGACACACGATCTACATGATGCGCCGCTTTGATCTGCCCGTGTTCTTGCGGACGTTTGAGAAATATGGCATCACGGACCTGACTCTCGTCCCGCCGATTGCGATTGCGATCCTCATGAGCGAGCTCACGCATTCGAGACCGTTCCTTAAATCCGTGCGCACGGCGAGTTGTGGGGCTGCGCCGCTGGATAAGGATGTTCAGGCGCGCATCCAGAAGTTGCTTGGACCCGGGGCGCCGTTCACGCAGGTCTGGGGGATGACCGAGACGAGCTGTATTGCGACCATGTTTCCGTATCCGGAGGATGATGATACCGGGAGTGTGGGGAGGTTGGTGCCGAATGTTGAAGCCAAGTATGCAGTTTCGCCCTCTTCTCTTCTACCACTCTCCTCGCGCTTATCGTTACTGACATGACCTCCGGGGACAGGCTCATCAACGACGCCGGCGAGAATATATCCGCCTACAACGTCCGAGGCGAGCTCTGCGTCCGCGGACCGACAATCACACCGGGGTACTACAAGAACCCCTCCGCAAATGCCTCCTCCTTTGATAGCGACGGCTGGTTCCACACGGGCGACATTGCCTATTGTGACGGAGAGACGAAAAAATGGTACATCGTCGACCGGAAAAAAGAACTCATCAAAGTCCGCGGGTTCCAGGTTGCGCCGCCGGAACTCGAAGGGGTTCTGCTGTCGCATCCGGGGATCGCGGATGCCGCTGTTATTGGGGTTAGGGATGTCAGTGTTGGTGGTGGGGATGGGGAGTTGCCGCGGGCGTATGTTGTTCGAAAGCCGGGGCAGGCGGGGCAGGGGCTCGATGAGGAGGAGGTTAAGGGGTACCTTGCGGGAAGACTCGCCAAGTACAAGGCTTTGACTGGGGGCGTGAGGTTTGTGCAGGCGATTCCGAAGAATGCGAGTGGGAAGATTCTCAAGAGGGTTCTGCGCGAGGAGGCGGAGAGGGAGATCAAGGCTGGGGTGGGCAAGGGGAAGCTGTAGCCTGTTATCCTCCTCTATAGAGATCTCCTACACTAGAGATGTGTAAACATGAGCTTGAACTGGGTATCATATCCCTCAATCCCCTAAATTCTGCAACGCATCCATGAAATTATTAAACGCATCCGGCAGACTCGTCCCATTACTCGCCTGCCCAATCTCCCCCAGCACATCCCCAATATTCACCCCCCCAACCTCAAAATCAAACAACGACCCCAGATCCAGGCTCCCCAGGGTATCAATGAACCCACCAAACAGCTCGCCGAGATCCACATTCTGAATCAGACTGCCGAACCCTTCCAGGAGCGCGCCCCAGTCTAGACTCGAGAATATGGCGCCCAGGTCGAGGTTCTGGATTAGCGGAGCGATGCTGTTCAAGATGGCGTCGAGGTCGAGGTTGGAGAGGAACTCGCCGAGGTCGAGATTGTCGAGCACAGGCTGGATCTGCTCGTAGAGCGCGGCCCAGTCGACGCTGGTGAGGATCGTGTTGAGGGTGTTGGCGAGCTCCGCCCAGTCGATGTCGCCGAGCATGCTGGCGATACTCTCAAAGAGACTGCCCCAGTCAATGCTCTGCAGTAGCCCCGCAATATCGAGGCTCTGCAGGAACGCGCCGAGATCGAGTTGGCTGAGGATACTCCCCAGCGCATCAATGACCTTGCCCCAGTCTATACTCTGCAACAGCCCATTCAAATCCACGCCCTCGAGCAGGGAGCCCAGATTCAGATTATTGATAATATCCCCGACACTCCCAACCAGCGAGTCAAAATCCACCCCAGCAAATAAACTCGCAAAGTCAATCTTGTTCAGAATCTCCGTCACGGCCTCAATGACACCCCCCGAATCCTCCCCGAAGAACTCACCCACCGTGTCGAGCAGGATCTTTACGATGGGGACCCGCGCCGTGATCGTAAGGTCATTCAACACGCGCTCGAAATACCGAATATGCTCGCCGTTGAACATCGTCTGGTTGCCGGACGCCGAGAGCTCAATCTCGCCATTTTTGAGGGCCTCGGTTTGGCTGGATAGAATCGCGCCGATGTTCGCCAACGCCGAGTTGATGTCTGCTTTTCCGGTGAAACCCACGCTGTTGTTTCCCGGGAGGAGGGTCACGTCAGGGAGGAGGGCTGTCCCGAGGATTATCGAGCCGGATTTGAGGTTTAGGGTTACGTTGCCCTGTGATTTTGTTAGTTGAGCTGTAGAGATGGATGGGTAGGGCCAAGGTACCAGGGCGAAGGTGACGACGGAGTGGTTGGGGAGTGTCGCTCGTCCGCGGAGGTTCGTGCCATCTTCGCGGGCAGGGAGGAGGAGGGCCGCTTCGTCGATGGAGAAGCCGCTGAGCTGATCGAGGCCTTTTCACTCTGTTAACAAAGAGAACCAACCCAGAAAGAAGGCGAGGACGCACCGTTAATCTCCACATCCTTATCAAGGGTGATCCCCGCCTTGATCGCCCCCAGATGCCCCGTCGTCTTGCCGATAGCCGACATGGTGAACCGCTGCGAGTAGACGGCCTTGGAAAGCGTCTTGACAAATTCATCCTCGTCGAGAATCGGCGTGTTCTCGCTCGTCACGCTGATGTTCGTCTTGCCCTTGACCGTGTAGCTCGGCACGGGGACATTGAGGTAGTTGATCTCTGGATCCGAGTCCCGGTTGAACAGGCTCAGGTTGAATGCGTCGAGGCGCACACTCAGGCCTAGTGGGATCGTCAGCCCCGTGTCGAGGGTAAAGGTGACATGTCCCGGCTTGGGATTTGTGATGTGGGCCGCGTAGACGGGGAGGTCTGTGTCGTCGACGATGCGCTGCGCGATGGCGGGGATGGCGACGAGGAAGCTAGCACGACAGATCAGCTATGGCACATGCTAAACAGTGATAGGGAGGATCGTACAAGACAGGAAGAAAAATCGCCAGAAAGATAATGCCCGCGAGCAAATAGCAGCACCAGAAGCGGGCCAAATGTTGCTTGAGCCGCTGGCGCCTCTTCGGCTTCTCCTCGCCGTCGCCGACAGCCACGGCTTCAACGTGCTCGATCTCTGTCACTGTCCCCATCCCGGTGCCGGCCGGCGCCTTGGACTTGGAGCTGGAACTGGGTCCCATGTCTAGCTCGCCTCGATTCGACCCCAGGGCCCGCTTCTCGGCCATTCGGGCCTTGTACGCATCACCCACCGCCATACTGCGTGTGGTGTGTGATTACAGAGCAGGGAAGACAAGTGGCCTGATAGTCACAAGTCACGGATAAAAGGGGAGAAAGGGGGACACACTCGGTGGGGTAGACGTGGGCGGACCCTGGCTTGATCAGGCCAGGACGGGGTTATTATATTAAGCTGGGGAAAAGGCTTGACTCGAGTTCTCTATGACTGCTAGGGGCGTTTGTGTTCCCAAGATAACTATCCTTGCCTGACATTGGCCTCGTGGGCAAAATGTGGAGGATCGACCTTTGACCCCGCCGTCGTTCATGGCAATCGAATTCGCCCCTCAAGTGAGACTCGACCAGACCCGTCGAATCTCGACAGCTTTTGTTACGGTAATCGTCGCGATTCTGACTCGCCCTGACGAGTCGACAGTGGCAGCCAGTCACGCAGCGCCCGCAGCGCCAATCAGGGTCTCAGCGCGGGCGGCTGCCCGGTCCGCGGCTCAACCCCTACGGAGATACACATCTGATGCCGCTGGGGGTCCCATTGTCTGATGTTATCGTGATGGGGGAGAGGCCCATTTTATATCTCGCGTCGTGCTCAGATCTCGACTAACGAAAAACCCCTCGGCTTTTAGTCTACTCCTTTAGGCGGTTATACTAGTTCAGGCCAGTCCCAGTCTTGACTACAGTACAGCCAACATGTCGACCTCGTCCGCGTCCGGCACAGAAAAGCCCAACGAGACCGACCTCATCGTCGCGGCGCTCGAAAACCCCCAACACATCCAAAAGGTCGTCTCCGAGGCCCTCATCCTCGGCGGCGGGGCCGCCGCCATCCTGCTGCAGGTCGCGCACCCTGTCGTGGCCAAGGGCGTCGACTACCACAGCAGCTTCGCAACGCGACCGGTCGACCGCCTGCGCACGACCATGACCTACGTCTACAGCATGCTCTTCGGCACCCCCAAGGAGAAGAAGAAGATCATCGAGCTCACACACCGCGCGCACGCCACGGTCAAGGGCGCCGACTACACGGCCGACGACCCGGGCGCGCAGCTCTGGGTTGCGTCGACGCTGTACGCCGTGGGCATTGATCTGTACGAGCAGGTCTTTGGCGTGATGGACGAGGAGACCGCCGAAGCCGTGTATCGCGAGTACGTGGTTCTCGGGGCGTCGCTGCGCGTCCCCGTGGAGATGTGGCCGAGGACCCGCGAGGCGTTCTGGATCTACTGGGACGAGCAGCTGGCGAGCTTTGAAATCACCGACGAGGCCAAGCACGTGGCGCAGGAGCTGCTGCATCCGAAATTGCCCTTTTACTTCAAGGCGCTGATGCCGACGGTGAGGCTACTAACTACGGAGCTGCTGCCCCCGCGACTGCGCGAGGCGTATGGGTTGAAGAGTACTAGGGGGCGCAGGGCGCTGTACAAGTCGACGATGGCGATGACCAAGGCGACGTACCCGTTTGTTCCCCGGGCGATCCGCACGTATCCTGTCAAGTACTATATGAAGGACATGCGCAAGCGGATGGCAAAGTATGGCGAGTCGCAAAGGAAGATTTAGTGATGTCGGCGGTGGTTTCGGGTTGAGTGGGTAGAGAGTGTCGTTCCTGTCATGTTAATTACTAGATTGTCATCTCTTACAAAGTACGTTTATTCATGTTTTTTTCACTAGTACCTGGTAGGAGCAGCAACAGTCGGGTCAGCAATTCCGAAAGCCCTGGACTGGACCTGGCGATTCGTAATCCTCATTTCCAGTCTCTCATGTGAGACATGACGTTTGCCACAATCCTGGACTGCCAATTCTGACCCCTCGCAGAGTCAGTCGATCTGACTCGGACAACAACCCCAACCTGCTCCCACTCTTTCTCTGCACAACTGACGGTTCACTGTGGATAATGAGTGGATAACCACTGCACAACGACCCCAGACAAATCCACCTGCCCACTTTTCAGCCTATTGCGGCCCGCGAATCTGGGGAGAGTTGGGTTAGGGACCCGCTGCTCCTGATCCTCCATCCACCGCAGTCTGAGCACCGTCTTCAACGTTGTCAGAGTTTGAACTTGAGCTTGATCAAGACTTCGTTAGCAGCGTCAGCCTATCCTAGTTGTCATTCCTCGCGTAGTCAGTTCTCACAAGACTCCTGCCCCCTTTCCCTGCTCTATCTATCGCTCCCCCCCGCACAGCTCCATCCATTCCTTCTGATTCTCCCCTCCACCGTATCCCGTCCCTCGCCTTGATCTACATTCGCATTCGCGGCTTTTCTCTCAACTCCCGATATCGTTGCTCCTTTCATTTTTCGTTCCTGCCTCATCTGCCGCTGCTTGTTTGCCTCCGTGCTGCCATGCTGCGACGCACAAGACGAGCGCCCAAAGCGTGCTCCTGGTGTCACCACCGCAAGGTGCGCTGCGACGCCTCTATCCGCGGCTGTCCCTGTACACGCTGTCGCCAGGACGGGCGGCCAGAGTGCGTGCTGCGAGGAAAACTCCCACGGAAGTAAGACGGCTCCCCGGGCTTGTGATCGAACACAAACGTGAACGTGAACGTGAAAATGAATGTGACCGCCCAGACTAACATGCCAATCCCACAGCTTCGCCGGCTTCGTCGGCGCCCAACCCGGTAACCAAGATACCAACACAGTCAACCAGACGAACCCGCACCTTGAGCGCATCCGTGCTCTTGCCTTTGAGGCAGATGGCCGCGAGATCTCGTCGAGTCTGTCCCCGTCGACGAACCTCCCCGGCCATGTCAGCTTCACGCACTACCCGTTCCTCGAGATGCGGGGGATGACTACCCTCGACCGTGAGGATATTGCCTTCCTTGCCTCCAAGGGGTGTTTGGGTGTGCCTGAGGAGTCCGTGCTCGATGAGTTTGTTCGCCAGTATTTCCTGCACATCCATCCTACCTCGCCGGTCATCGACGAGGCCGAGTTCTGGCGTGTGTATCGTAATCCTGCAGCAGCCGGGAGGAAGAGGATTTCGCTTTTTGTTTTTCAGGCGATTATCTTTGCCGGGTCACCAGTGCGCCTCCTCTCACTTCCTCTCAAGTCGCAACTACTAATCCCAGATGCAGTACGTCTCCGCAGAGACAATCCGCAAATGCGGCTTCCCCGACAAACGCAGCGCCCGCAACACCCTCTACAAGCGCGTAAAAGCCCTCTACGACCTGCACGCCGAAGACCGCCCCCATCCGCAAGCCCAAGGCTCCGTAATACTAACACTGCACACCTCCGCCAACGAGCCCCAAATCAGCAGCCTCTGGCTAACGCGCGCCATCCAAAACGCCATGATAATTGGGTGCCAGCCCGGCCCCACCGAAGACATCGACCCCTCACTAAAGAAACGTCTCTGGTGGGCGATCATCCTCCGCGATAGGAGTATCTGTCTCGGTCTCCGACGGCGACCACAGGTTACCTCGTTTGACATGGGGATGGTTGCCGAGTTACCTGATGAAGATGACTTTGCCGATGAGATTAATAATTCGCCCGTGTATAGTCCCGAGATTAAGCGGATGATGTTGAAAGTCTTGCAGGAGCAGTGTAGACTTGCCGTACTGCTTTCGGAGATGATTACATTTGTCTTTGCGAGTCATGGGATTGCGGCGCCGAGTTTGACCCTCGAGCAGTTCCAGGAGGAGCTGGGCAAGATTGCACGCACCAAGGCGGCGATGCAGCGCTGGGAGGCGTGCTCGCCGTTGCATCAGTGGACTGAGGGCAAGGCGCCCGAGGCTGTGACGCTTTTCACGAATTTCACGTACATGTATTATCAGTGAGTCCCACCCCGTTGTCTGTTTTGTCGTTGATTGGTGTCCGTGGGTGGTGTTAATGAGGTAGAACTGCACGAATCGATCTCGCACACTACGAGGCCCTGCTGCTTGAGAACCACCTCATGTTCAGCGGAAAGAACTACATCAACCAGCTCTGGAGCGCGGGAAACACGTTGCGCGATGCAATGAGTCGTCTAACAAGTATAATGGAGTACTTTGGCCGAGAAGGTCGAGCACAGAATCTACCACTAAGCGTGTACGTCCCTTATCCCTCTGACCCTATCCCTACCTTGCCATCTCCATCTGTACCTCACCACTTAACCCTGGTATTAGACTGGCATACGTGGCAATGCCTCTCGTCCTCACAGCCATCGACCTCAAACTCTCTCCCTCCGCCGCAGAGATGGACCGCCGTCGGCGCCGCCTCGACTCACTCGGCGAGATTGTCCGGCATTCCGGCCGCGTCTACGACGTCACGGACTTCGTCACCGCAGGGACAAACCATATCCTGCGGCTGGCGTACATGACCTCGCAGCACCTGTTCCTCCGCTTCGATCAGGATAGTCACACGCCGCAAATCACCGGCACAGCCAAGAGGGGCGGTTCCCCGCCGTCGGCCTCTTCAAACCCATCTGGAACAGGGATGGAGGTCATGGATTCGGCGACAGCCAGCCGCGCGAATACATGGCACGAGGCCTTCCTCCGGTACCCGCGCGCGTATCTACTCATCTCGACGTCGGTCGACTACAGTCTGGCCGTGGGCCGCCTGCCGTATGACAGTGCGCTCCCGGAACTCGTGCGGTGCATTCCGCCGATCGGGTTTGGGATCCGATTGCCCTGGACGATCAATACTCCGCAGCCCGAGGTTTCGGCCAGGAGGTTGTTGAGGAATGATAGCTTATCGTATCTCCCGTCCCACGCGGCTGGGGGTGCAGGTTCGAGCGGGGTCCGTGGTGTGACGCCAGGTAGCGAGCACACGGGGCACGATGTGCACACTCTCCCCGACGATGACGTCTCCGTTCGAACGTTCCCGGATGCAGGGACTGATTTCGCCATACCCATACCTCCTACGACGACAACGAGCGCACTTCCGACAATTGGTACAACCACCGCCACAGCAACCACCCAAAATATCCACCCGCCTGACCCCATCCACTCCACCAATACCAACGAAATCAACCTCGACTACCTCTACATCGAGCCGGACAACAACAGCAGCATGCTCGACCACACCGCTGAATTCGACCGGATGCAGTTCCAACAACTCGCGCAGGGATTCGATCCGCTGATTTCGAGCTGGGTGCAGGAGTATTTTGGCGACAATACAGGTTCGGGGAGTCCCGGTGCTGGTGGGCAGGGGCAGGGGCATAGTCCGGCTATGGAGATGGATGGGTTGAGTCTGGGGTCGTAGATTGGCATTCCACAGAGGGTGGATATGTATCTTCTACTGGACGTTTTCTTTCTGTCTGATAACTACGATATGTACGTGTAATATGGGAGAATGGCTTGGTGGCGTTTGACTGCTGCTTGGAGGATTTGCCTCGTGTCGATAGTATATAGTATGCATTGGACAGGGCGGATTGACCATGCTCATTTCCCCCTCTTGTTTTTGTTTGCACCAATAATCCAACCGCATCCCTCTGATTCAGAACACCAGAGTCAGACCTCGTTAGTCCAAAGTACCCAATAATACGCAGCTCGCACAATACCTCCAGAATCACATGCGATTCGGCCCGCGGACCCATCTCGTAAATTAAAGACGTATGGCACCCAATCAGCACGCCTCGCTACTCAACCCCAGACTGTCATGGCTGAGGATGCATCGCCCCCTGCATCTGCATGGGCCACCTGGGCCCGATGCTGGAGGGAGCAGGGGGGGGCCCCCCGCACAACTGTGGTGCGCAACTGCCGGCCCGAGAGCTACGCTGACATTTTTAGTATGTATACCAAGCCCCCCATGCCCCACCCCGACTCAGAGGCGGATTGTCAGTCAAGGGCGAGCGAAGGTGTCCGGTCCGTGTGTCTGACTCTGTCGCAGATGGTAATCTGATCTGGACGTGATCATTTTGATTTAGAGTCGTTTCTCTGTGTTCAATTCTGCTCGAGGCCTGTTTTGAGGTGAGGCGAGAAAACGACTTGAAGCAAGATGAAGATCCGCTGTGCTCTGGCCCTAACTCTGGGCCTGGCTCTCCCCGCAACAATCTTCGCAGAACCAAAAGACCCCCTCGACGTGTTGGGCAACATCGAAGCCCTCGCCAGCCTGAAACAATTCGTCTCGATCGCATCGAGTCTCTCATCGCTTATCGACGACACCAATGACAACAACAATAACAAACGAGGCGGGTCGCCGCTCGACAAGCTCGCGAATCTCAATTTCAACCTCAACCCCAATGCTCCAGATCCAGATCCAGACTCGAATTCAGACCCATCAGCGCCAGACCCGCTAGACCTCGGCCAGAAACTCCAAGTCCTCTCGCAGATGAAACATGTCGCGGGAATCGCATCTACACTCCTCGATGCAATCGGCGAGCGCGATCCGGCGACGAGCGAGAGGTTGAAGACCGTCGGGCAGACTTCGACCGGGGAAGTGGCGCCCGTTGACATTGACCAGATTGATATCCTCGGTGGGATCAAGGCGTTGCAGCAGTTTGCGTCGTTTGCGAGTGGGTTGGGGTCTGTGCTTGATGTTGATGCGTTGGTTGATAAGAAGAAGAAGAGTGAACCCGGGCCCGGGGCGACAGAGGAGAGAGAGGGGCGGCGCGGGGCACCACCGCCACCGAAGGCACAGAGACAGACGACATTTCAACAGGCCAAAACACAGAAGACCCAGAAAGGAAATGTACCGCCGGCGAGGGAGCCGGTCGATTTCCTCGCGCGACTCGACGCGATAAAGACAATCACGACGCTAGCCTCGAAGCTGTCGGCGCTCACTGACCCAGCCAGCGACATTCCTCTCGTCGAGCGCGTCCAGAGGCTGATGAACGACCCGGACGTCAACGATGCCGTCCAGTACATATACAGCAATGCAGGCAAGGTATTTACGCCGGAAGTCCTTGAAGCAGCCAAAGCTTTCATCCGAACGAGTAACCTCGTTCCACCCGAGTACCGCGAGTTTGCAGTTGCAGTCCTCGAAACGATGGGCGCGGTGTTTAGTCCCAAGTTTGCAAAGGACTATGCGCAGGCGATGGGGACGATTGCGGGCGTGGGTATTGATTTCGCACCCATTATAACCGCTGCGTATGATATTTTCCAGTGGGTGATGAAAACCTTCGATCCAGAGTACATCCGCTGGATGAATCGCGAAGTCCTCATCTGGAAGAAAGCGATTACGTCGCCGCAGATGGGGATGTTGACAAGCTACCTCGCCGACCCGGAGACGCTGGCTAGTGTGACGGGGTCGATTGAGAGGATTAAACACGCTCTTACAGCGGACCGGATCCATCGGCTGCACAAGCTGTTTGAGGAAGAGGGGCTCTTCGATATCGAGGATGGCGAGTATAAAGAGTTTGGCGGGCATCTCGGAGCAAGGTTCCGGTGGCAGTTTACGACGGAGGAGGGGCTCGATGAGCTGAAGGGGTTCCTTGCCGAGTTGGAGGAGCTGCTACGCACGGGGGCGTTGGACGTCGCCGCTCGCGTCATGCAGATGCGCGCTCCGGTTGTGGCGCCGCAGATTGCGGGTGATGTACATGCTCTGTATACACAGTCTACGGTTGTCGTCGACATCCTGTCCAAGATTACAGAAGCGCTACACGACTTTGTCAACATCATGCACCCCCTCCTCGAGTTCGAAGTGCGAGCTGAGAGGGTGACAAGCTCCGAGTTCTGGAGTGAAGCAAACTCTGTTCTTGCAAAGTTTGCTGCGATTCCGGCGGCCTCGCTCTCGGCCGTGAATGAGTTGCTGGTGACTCTGGCCAGGGTCCTTGAGCCAGAACATACTTCAGCCTTACGTCTGCTAATTTTGGACGCCGTTGGAACTTTATCTGAGCCGAGAGTCTTTGGGTCTGTAACTTTAAACGTTCCTGGGAATGTTAGCGGGGTCGTTTTCGGGAGGGGACTGGAGATCTTAGGGCTTGTCGAGACGCCTCCTGTACTTGAAGCTGATGATCTGGGGAATGTTTTGAATCTATTGCACAGGTTGGAGGACGCACTCGCTCCTGGTGAAGTGGACAAGGCGAGGGAAACTCTGTTGTTCGTGAACAAGGTACGTCAACTCACTTCTCCAATTGGCTCGGACTAACAAAGTAGGGTTCCCGGTTTATACTTCGGGTTGTCCAGGTCTTTGAGTCTGAGGAGCTGGGAGCACTCCCGAATCATGACGAGCTATGAGATGCTAGAATCAATGCAAAGTTTTCCAACAGAGTTCTCGCTTGGTGAAAAGTTAGCAGGGCGAGGCCTTAAAACCTCCTCCAGCTCTGCGTCCACCCTGGGCTCTTCGTTCTCTTCACCACATTTCTGACTGCTATCTTAACCATCATATTCACTGCTTGCGGCGCTTTACTGCTCAGTGAAGGCGCTTTATCTATCATATATCAAACTCCTCCCCCCTCTAAACCCTTCTTTACCAACCACACCTCCTCGAACCACCAGGTTTGCCACATATTTGGGCTCCTGCCCATCTCTCCCGTTCAGCATGGCCTAACCTGCCGCTCCAGCTACAGCATAGCTAGCTATGGCCTCATACAGCCGTAGATCAGCTCACAAAACCGACCGATTCGACGGCATAGCGATGCCGATCCCCATTCGACCTGGCCAGATCATGCTTCTCGACAGCCTCCTCAACTTCGACCCAGTTCCTGCAGAGGAACTGGAGGGCGCCGTGATCGGGCCACTTCCAACTCCGTCTACCCTTCGTCCCGTCGACGAGGCTGCCTCCGATGCCTCTAGCGACGGGGGGGTACCCCTAGGTTCAGAGTCGCCCGTCACCGTCCCTTGCCTGGATGGGGCGGCCTTGCCAACTGGCTCTGCTCCTACCCCAGCTCCCGCCTCCGGGGCAGCCACCTTCCGCCTAAACCCCGAGGTGGCTGCTTTCGTTCCCCAGGCAGCGAGCACCAGCTTGCCAAGTTCCTCTGGCACTCGCCGCATGTTGAACGTCAACCCGGAGTCGGCCTCCTTCGTCCCCCTCGCCCTCCAAGCCCCGGCCAGCAACCCGACCGCCGACACTTTCCTCCCAGCTGACGACGACGCTGCACACACCGACTGCAGCTGCTGTGATGGGTTCTATCCTGGTACGACCGGTAAGCAAATCCCCGACCCCATCGACACCCCTCCCACTCCGACCGTCGACCCCCTGGTCACTGACATCACGCCTGCAAATCCACCACCAGGGGACCAGCTCGACATCACACCTCCCCTGCAACCACAACACAGCATCAACATCGGCTTCCCGTACGCCGGAGGCCACAACATCCCAACCCGCCCCCTGAGCCCGCCCCCCGACCTTGACGTCCGTCGCAACACCCTAGTCACCCACACCATAGCGCTCCTCCACGCCCGCGGCCTCAACTGGACCCGCGTACAGTCGTGCATCCGCACACCCCTAAACGACCCCGCCTCCCGGCCCAGACCGACAATACTCATCACCATGGGCCTCCTCCACGTTGATCGGGAGGCACTCGCAAGGGCCTTTCGCGAGATTCTGCTCTTCGCGGAGCAGGAGCTCGAGCTCCCGGCTATCAACGTCAAGGCTGTGGACACGCTGTACGCCGGCACCGACAACGAGCTGAACCACAATACCAATGATGAAAACGACGACGACGACTGCGTCCTCCCCGACTTCGACCAGTCCCTCCTAGCCGAGGTGTTTCGTCTGACGAACACGGACGTATACCTGCCTCCCCCCTTTGTGTGGGTTAACTTTGTCCGCGGGTGTACACGCCTCGCCCGTTGACGCCGCTAACCCCTCGGCTTCGACCTGTGGAGCTTGGGGATATCACTGAGGATATCCTGCTCCTCGACCACGCGACTCCGCCGCGGCGCCCTCCTCGCCTGGGTGGCATCGGCCTTCCCGACATCAGCAAGGATATCCCGTTCCTCCAGCTTCCGCCTTGTGTGCTGGAGGACTGCTAAGAGGTGGATTTTTCTGGGTTTCTTTTGAATATACTTTGTATTTCTTTTCCTTTCCTGTCTTGTCTTACTATGTCACATTTCCTGTTTCATATGCTCTTCTATATGGCCTGGTCATCTTGAAAGATCCCATGGCTCGATGAGGTACCTTTTTCCACCGACGGCGGTTTTCATCCTCACTTGAGGTTTTCCGTCCCGACGTGGTTTTTTACTGGTCCCATCGCCTTCTTTGTTACTTGTATATATATGGTCGTTTAGTTAAATATACAGTCTACACTTCATGGACTGTTGTGAAATCAAAATATCCTTGACACTCTGGTCTTCGTATATTTAGAGCTGGAGGTTGTAGGTGGTGCGGTAATATGGCTGGCTTGTAGTTTGTTGTGAGCACTTGTCTAGCGGGGTTAACCTTGGAACCATGTACATCTTAGACTCGGAAGTCCTGTAGTTGCATAGATGTAACGATCTTCCCTCCTCCTAGCTCCTACGCTTTTCAAACACTATTCTTGGTGTCTTTCTCGCGTACAGTGATTCATCCACCCTCTATTGTCTCCATCTCCTTTGGATTATTATCCCAGAGATTTCATTTCTATCCCTTCTTCTGACCTGCCCCTAATCCATGGCAGTATTATCGAAAGCACAACAATACTCTATCCACTTTCCTGATGCCTCTAACCTCTTTTAAGAAGCGGTATCGGCACTCACCTCACAAGGTCTTGTCATCCCCTACTTACTATCGGACATCTGGCTTGTATCTTACTTATCTTTTTTTTTGAACATAAACTTATTCGAAACAAAATGATGAGTCCCGACCCATATGATTTAATACTTTCATACGTCGCCAGCCCACGTCCATTAATATCTTGACTCCCTCCTAGGTGCACCAAAGACGCCCGCCTACGATGAATGCTAAAAATCCCAGACCGCCTCCTTTACACACCAGCAGCCCATGACAGGACCGAGAACTCTAGCATACTCTCCGCGCCACAGCCCGCCAGGAAAAACCTAATCACAATCAATCCTCGCCGCGCAGTGATCGGCCGCCGTAGAGCTTTCGAGTGTCAAGCCAATGACCTCACAGCCCTCCCACTATTTCGACGGGCTAAAACTTAGATGTGAAAACTCTTCAGCGCTAGAGCGACAGACAGAGGGTGACGTGCGAAACCCAATTCCGCATGAGACGGCTAGTGTGCTTCCGTGCTGTTTCTGTTCGTGGAAACGGATGGGAGCCAGGATCGCGTCTTTTGTTTCTCTTTAGGTGCTGATTCGGAGAACAGAGAGCACTTGATATATCCTTAGCTGAGAAACAGATGATGTCTCTGAAATAAACTTCAAGCGGGCTGCAGGACTAGGGTTTCGGGTACACACAACCGACCAAGACAGGCCAATAGACCGGAGGGAGTGGAAAACCTTGATATTAAACTTCCAGCACTCTCCCTTTACATTCTTCTTTCCTTCCCATCCTTGCAAGGTCGTCTACGATTACTTCTGCTTCTGCACCTGCACAGCGCTGTTTGTATAACGGGCGATGATACTATTTCTCAGTTGCTCGAGTGTGTTCAATTGCTGATCGCGCTGTCCCACCTCGGAGCTTCGTTGAACCTGATCCAGTTATTTTTTTTTCCAGCACTCTAAACTCAACAGAAATAGCTGGCCAGCCCTATAGCCTTAAACCCAGGTCCGAAAGTCTATTGCAATCAACCTTGGAACCAAGAATGGTCCCACCGCTATGGTGGCGGTGCGTCAATGCAGTTGTTGCGTAGTTGCCTGACATCTGGGGATCTTCAAGGAATGCAAGAAGGCCCGGATCTCCGTGTGGTATAGGCGCCTGCCGAACTAGTGACTTATGTAAGAAACCTAATAAAGGCAGGGCAAGTCTCAATGAAGTTCTGGGCCCTGAGACCCGTATCCTGTATTATCCTAACGTGGCCAATTTCCACACACAGGGGTGCCCGTTGTCATGTTCCGCGGTATATAGTGTTACGGTCGTAAATCGCCTTGGAGCCATTACCCCCACCGCAAATTGATATTTTCTCACTCAGTATCGTATGCTACGTCTTCCTTCCATACTCGGTCCCCGCGGTATTTTTGCCTCGGCCTGTACTTCCCCTTCATGTCTCTAAAAGCACTGACAAACCCCCCTCGTCCGCCACATGGCGATTAAACAGAAAGCAGAAGGGAAACAGCATAAAGGTAATTCCTGTCAAGACTGTTGCCTAATGCTATTTCTCGCGGTTATTGATACTTTCTTTGTAGCTCTCAGTGCCCGCCCAGGATAGCGGCCTATTTGCATTTGCATATTCCTCCCCTGTTACTTCAATAAGTCCAGGTGTGTCGCATAAATTGCCTTAGAGAGCGCCTGGTGCGGCTTTAGCTTCCCAGGAGGAACAAACTAGAGTCCCGGATATCTGCGATGGAAGGACATTGATAGTTATCTGTGGAAGCATAGACCACGACATGGGGTTGTTGGAGGATCTATTTGTTCAAGAAAGCGTCATTGCTTTCTTACATACGGCTATTTACTAACATCATCGGGAATATTAGTATGTGCCTCTAGGATACCTTCCTGGTCCACATATCTGGCAAGGGTTCTCAATGGTTATCTTGAGCCTGTAATGCTTCCTGCTGACTGGATTCTGCCAGCAGTCTTGGCCCTCATGCTGGCAAGGCGGCCCGGGCATCACATCTGCATATAGGCAGGATTTAGTTAACTTTAGGGATTGTTAAGGCTTCTAATTAGTTTAAAAAATGTCATTAGTAGTCTACAATATGTATCACTCCAAGAGCCCTTGTTTACCTTATTACCATTCAGGAACGTGTATTTTAAAGCTTCACCTCTTACTTAGAACCTCTTCTTAATTAATAATGTTTATAATATTAGTATATTATTTATAGCAGTTATTTATTTTTAACTTTATTGTATTCTATATATGTAGAACTTCAGGAGATTACCTTAAGTCTTATTCTATCACTCAGCGTGTAGAGGCTGCTTCTTTGATAGCTTTCAGGTCGTCATGTCTTAGACAGTTACAACTGGGGATCTAGCGAATTCAATGCATCGTTTCTGGTTCTCACTAGCCTCCGACGGGGCTATCAATGATATCACAGACGGTACCAAGCTTAACCCCGTATTATACTCTCTCCAATCGCATTCCTCGCTTTCTCTCCCTGCCAGACTCGCTCCTCGCCTACCCATCTGGGGGAGGACTAAGGTGTCCGTGTTCTCCAACGCAGGCTCTGGACGGCCGCCGCCGAAAGACGCGATTCGACATTCATTGCACTAGAGAGTAGACTAGTTATGATCATCTTGACACCAATCACTTTAGGAATGAAGGAATAGATTACTAGACTAAAACCTCGTCCTGAGACTACTGCTGACACATATATGCTATCGATATACGTGCGAGCTGCATGGCAGTACAAAACAGGTAATATGGGATAGGAACCTAGAAGACCACGCAGAACCCGGCTCCCGTCAATTTAATCTGATCTATCTCTCGACAAAGCACTCATTATCTACTTATAGAGTTAAAGCGTCGTCTCTTCCCCTCCACAGCCAGTCGGAGCTCGAGTGATTGCCCAGAGTCTTGACTGTAAATAAGTGAATTATCTAACACGCTTTCCCTGCATGGGGAAGTCTAATAGCACAGGAACGGCCTGTCCGTAACTACTTCAGCAAGATCACTGTGGCTTGCGCCTGATGGGACTGTCGATGGAGCGCCGCGCCCTACCGGGAGGGTCTACACGAATGACATCCTGATTGTGACTCTGTGAAAGCTATGTAGGTAACTGGCTATGTATGGTGTGTTGTCCGCCTTTGGATAGTATGGCGCACGTCGCCCGTAGTGATACATTTATACATCGTGATTACTTCAAGGTAAATGTCATCCAATGCACTCCAATGAAATATCCACCATGTAATTATTCTGCGTCCCTGCTACCAAGTCTAACCTATAAATTGGACCGCCGAGGCTCCGACTCGGTCCCGTCAACCATCTCAATCGTCTGCTCAACATCAACCGTCTTATGAATCCCACCCCGCGGCCCCATATGACTCCTCTCCACGGCCCCCGCATACGAAATGAGATGGCTTTCATCCGAAGTGAGTCCATTATTCTCTGGCTCGCTCTGAGAGATCCCCTTGTTCGTGTTGCCGCGGACCCGGCTCAGCTGCACGCTGGACGCATGTTGCTCGTAGTACCTCGACTTGTAACTGTGGTTGCGCATCTTGGTGATGATGATGTTGAGTGATGGGAGGCATGCGCAGATGAGGCCAACGCCGCCTTCGGCGTTTCTATTCGATGTTAGCATGCCATTGCCCAGATAGGCGGAGGCTTGCTGGGCGGACTTACCCGGACATGATCACGCAAGTAAACACAATCGTCATGTCCGGCGAGCTGCCATCCCGAAGCACGAGTATAAGCCGGTAAATGCTAAACGCTGTAGCTAATCCTCCAGCAGACAACATCCCGATGACGCGCAACTTCTTATTCCGCGACATCTGCAACGACCAGGTGAGCGGCAGCGGCAGGATCAGGATAAGCAGGTCCGACACCACACTGATCACCGAGTCGGCAATCAGCGCAGCTCGCTGGTCCAGACAGGACGCATTGGGATCATCTTGCTTCCAGTAGGCAGGGACCGGATCGCACATGCGGATCTTGACGATCTCGGCGATGATGTAGTAGATGCACAGGGCGCCGAGGAAGACGTATATGAAGAGGATCCTGTTCTTGTACGGGGAGAAGATGCGGATGATGATCGAGAGCAGCGCGATTTTGACCAGGAGGGCCATGGGACAGTATAAAACGGTCGCGACATAACACATCTGGTTGGATTTGGTTAGGATGGCGGTATATAAGAGACATCGAGGTGAGTAGGGACCTTTCGGAAGAGGACGAGGGTCTCGTCAGAGAGATCGTAGTAGTGGTATCCGCCGCCATAATTGCCAACTATCCAAGTTAGACCCTAGACCTTGCGCCACAAGGGGCAGGCTACTCACCCTCTATCGCAACTCCGCAATATGCCATAAACAGCATCCAGGCGAACAGACAGGTCCCTGACGGTCAGTTTTGTGGCAAGCCTTGGAACCCGGCGGAGAGACATACAATCCTCAACAGGTGCCCACTGCTTGTACCACGCGCGGATCGAAAACCGCATGGCCACAAAGATGGTCACAATGGGTATACACAGACATTGTGTAACGAGATTGACAGTATTCAAGACATCGTGCGGGTCTTCTATCGACATGTTGCTGGACGAGGCAGCATTCTAGCCGTCAGAATTCGAGTGAAAGAGCGACGAGGAGACGAGAACAAAAGAGTGGAGGCCTGCCATCCCGAGATTATGGGTATCAATGGATTAAGTACAAAGGCAAAGAGATGATCTGCAGTCCTCGGCCTCAACCGGGGACTCGACACTTCAGGGATCATGATTGGGATTGACTCTGCGGACAGGCGGAACGAGTCGCAGATGCAGGGGAAGTTTGGAACCAGGAGGGGGCCCATCAGAGGCATAGCAGTTTCCCAATTTCGCAAGTGGACCGTTTTGGCTCCCAGCAGTTCCGGTTCTGGCGACGATCGCGGCTATGCTGGACGTCAGGAAATCATTTCCAGTTGCCACACCCACTGTCCTCCAAACTCAGAACGAGCCTGTCCGCAAAAGGAAGGAATGGACGATACAAGTACTCCGTAGCTAAATGGATCGACCGATGCGAAAAAGTAACGTGATCCTTTGTAGACTCGACGGAATTGAGAAAAATTATTGAAGTGGCCCAGCGAGTGTGGGAAGAAAGGCTGCAGTTTGGACGAACTGGCATCGTCGTCTGTCATTCGGCGCGGAGAACTGTCAACCAGAAAGTCACCATCCTCGGAGTAAGCAATTCCGTGCGAATGCAACGTGCTCACTCGCAGAACCAGGAATTGGGACATGAAGAATCAATGATCGGCGCAGGATCGCGCTACAGGGCCTTGAACGAATTCGACCCGCCGTGGGGCTCGGAAGCATAATTCTCGTCCGGCAGCGAACCACAGTCGATGAATTTGATGCAAAGTTCAACGGCGCAGCGTGGCGCATGCATAGTGCACGCCCAGGGCAGAGCTCGGCCGCTGGCGTTGAGAGCACCACAAGCATGACCGTTGACAGATTGTTGCTGCAGCAAAGGCATACTCGCCAAATATGAAGCATGTTTACTTATTTTTAAAGGCATCGGAGTCGTGGAACAATCCCTCTCTTCTCACCGTCAACCTGCGTTTGGGAGAATGAATCGAAACCTGAAACGCGGCCTGCTCCACTCTGCTTCCTCTCCTGCTCTCATTACTGGATAACGTCCGCTGTCAAGACCCATTTCTGCCGTTATGGAGACGGCCGAAGAGTCTGCAACCCTTGGAACCGAGAGGGGGAGTTTGCGCCATGAAGCATAAAATCGATTACCAGATGCGCGCAATCCACATGTCCCAGTTCCGAGTCACCACCTCTTTGCCACCATGAGCGCCCCCCAGGAACAGAAACAGCAGCAGTCGAAGCTCTTTGAGCCTCTGGCCATTGCCAATGGCAAGATCACCCTCAAGCATCGCGTCGTCCATGCGCCCATGACCCGCAATCGCGGCGTGCCCCTCAGTCCTGTCAGCACGCCTGAGAAGCCGAATCGCATCTGGTACCCTGGCGACCTGATCGTCGACTACTACCGTCAACGCGCCACCGATGGGGGGTTGATCATCTCGGAGGGCATTCCTCCCTCCTTAGAGGTACGGTGCTTCCTACAAGTCGCCTTGTCGCCCTAATAATGGCTGTGTAGAGCAACGGAATGCCCGGCGTGCCCGGCCTCTTCACGCCCGAACAAACCGCCGGTTGGAAACGAGTCGTCGACGCCGTCCACGAAAAGGGAGGCTACATCTACGCGCAGCTCTGGCACGCCGGCCGCGCCACAATCCCTCAAATGACCGGCTCCCCCGCTGTTTCTGCCTCCGCGACAGTCTGGGACTCGCCGACCGAATGCTACTCCCACCCTCCAGTCGGTGCGACCGAACAAGTGCCCTACTCTGCGCATCCCCCGATCGAACTCACCATCGAACACATCCACCGCACCATTGACGACTACTGCAGGGCTGCAAAGGCCGCTATCGAAGCCGGCTTCGATGGGGTGGAGCTACATGGTGGAAACGGATACCTGCCTGAGCAGTTCCTCAGCTCCAACATCAACAAGCGGACGGATGAGTACGGGGGCTCGCCGGAGAAGCGGTGTCGGTTCGTGCTTGAGCTCATGGATGCGCTGGCGAGAACGGTTGGTGAACAGAACCTGGCTATCCGACTCTCCCCATTCGGCCTCTTCAACCAGGCGCGCGGCGAGCAGCGAGTCGAGACGTGGACGCACCTGTGCAAAGAGCTGAAGCGTGCACACCCCGATCTTTCCTACGTCAGCTTCATCGAACCTGTACGCCCGACTCCTTCCCGCCCCCATTTTCCAAACCCAAAACTAACAGATGTCTTCAGCGCTATGAACAGATCTTCAGCACCGCCGAGAAGGACACCTTCCTCGCATCCTGGGGCCTCAAAAACGTCGACCTAACCTCCTTCCGGACGATCTTCGGTTCCACCCCCTTTTTCAGCGCCGGCGGGTGGGACGACAAGAACAGCTGGGGGGTTGTCGAGAGCGGACGGTACGATGCGCTGCTGTACGGGCGGCTCTTTACGAGTAACCCGGATCTCGTCGAAAGGTTGAGGACGGGGACGGGGCTTACGCCGTATGAGCGCAGTAGGTTCTATGGGCCGTTTGAGGATAACAGGGTCTGTTATACGGATTATCCGCCTGCGACGGGGCATACGACAATCACGATCGGTGTGCAGGAGTAATTCTCGGATGGTAGTATCAGAGTTGGCGTGGATGGGGGAGATGGGGCGAGTCAGTCTGCTGGTAGATTGCTCTCGGCTATGATACGTAGGATCACGATCGGACCGAGTATCCCTACAAGCATAAGTTCAACTCAACAATGCTCTGTTTCCAAGATCACTGGGCGCCAGGTGTTCCCCTCGTTAGCAGACTTCTGGTATGGTATGCATCGCGCCACCTACCGCGCTGGAGAGGTCCTCAGCGTTGAACGTATACAGAGTGGCGACATGAGAGACGAGATAAAGTCCGTGCCTTGCCCAACGTCTATTGTATGATTTCCTCTAAGCATATTATGGCGCCGTCAAAGAGTTTATCGCACCTTGTGAGGAATGGGTCTCGGGTAGTGAACACACTGAGCCGGGAGGTCCAGAAATATATCTCGAGGTGACCCAACACAACACCCGCCACGGCTAGCCTCTGGTACATAAACTCCGACTCTGATTACAAGAGAATCCGAAATGAAATGAAAAAGAAATTGAATTAAGGCTCCCTCAATATGTCTGGGAAATGTCATTGGACGAGCATAAAATGAAACCCAGGTAAACCGCGCGAAATCCGTGCTCTCCGAGCCGACCGCGGAGTCCGCGGCGAGCACGGCGCCCGCATCTATACGGTGGACACCCTTGGACCTTCCGTTTAAATGTCCTCTGTGGCGCTCTTCTTCCCTTAGCCATTCGTCAACACTCATCACTATCGCCTGTGTCATCATGTCTTCTGCCGTGTCGGGCTCAAGGTATTTCAACCCCTTCATCAACTTCCACTCCCTCCCCTGAGTCTAGGACACAGCTCACTAGTAGTTCACAGCCCCGAGCCTCGAAACCGCCATGCAAACGGCAAAGTGTCCTCCCCTCCCAAGCCCGCCATCCCGGTATCTGAACCCGAAGAAACGCACTACGAATTCGGCGGGCCCCTCGGCGTCACCGCGCTCATGATCGGTTTCCCCCTGCTCATGTACTACATGTTCCTCGGCGCAACCGTCTACTCCGGCTCGCTTCCGCTCCCTTCAAAGGACCAATCAGTCCCCGAGTTCCTATCGCACCTGTACAATCTGGCTCTAGAGCACGCATACCCACATAAACGCGCCTGGATCATCTACTGGACATTCCTCACCCTCGAAGGCGCCGCATACCTCTTCCTCCCGGGCGTCTACAGAAAGGGGAAGCCGCTCCCGCATCTTAATGGCCATCAACTAGACTACTACTGCTCCGCGCTATGGAGCTGGTACGCGACCATCATCGGCGCGCTGGCTCTGCACTTCACAGGTCTCTTCCGCCTCGACACGCTCATCACGGAATTCGGACCGATCATGTCCGTCGCGATTCTTTCAGGGTACATCGTCAGCATACTCGCATACACCTCCGCCCTAGCCCGCGGCGCGCAACACCGCATGACGGGAAACCACATCTACGACTTGTTCATGGGCGCGGAGCTGAACCCGCGGCTGTTCCGCTGGATCGACATGAAGATGTTCTTCGAGGTGCGGATTCCGTGGTTCATCTTGTTCCTGCTCACGCTGGCGACTGCGCTCAAGCAGTGGGAGGAGCTGGGCTATGTCGCGGGCGAAGTGTGCTTCCTCCTCATGGCGCATTTCCTCTATGCGAATGCGTGTAGCAAGGCGGAGGATTTGATTATTCCGACCTGGTACGTACCTGCACCTGCACCATTACTCCCCGTGTTTTCGGGCGGGATTGTTTGGGATCTACATGGTAGATTGTCAGCTGATGATTCTGTGTCTAGGGACATGTACTACGAAAAATGGGGCTTCATGCTGATATTCTGGAACCTCGCCGGCGTCCCCATGAGCTACTGCCACTGCACGCTGTATCTCGCCCTGCATGACCCCTCCGAGTACCGCTGGAACCCCGTGATTCTGGGCACCTGGGCGGCAGCCTACCTGTTCGTGTACTGGGTCTGGGACACGTGCAACTCGCAAAAGAACATCTTTCGCGCCGAGGAGAAGGGGGGCACTGTGCTCCGCAAGACATTTCCGCAGTTGCCGTGGCGCAAGGTCGTTAACCCTCGGACGATTAAAGTAGATGCCAAGGATGGGGGTGGGGTTATTCTTTGTGATGGGTGGTGTATGTCCTCATTCCCCCTTTCCCTTCCCTTGCATCCTCCCCTCTTCTCTGTCATTAAGCTTTGTTTTCCCGATGATCCTAACAGTATTTTCCGCATTTAGACGGCCTCGCCCGCAAAACACACTACACCTGCGACTGGTTCTTCGCCGTGTCCTGGGGCCTGATCACGGGCTTCAACTCGCCGTTTCCCTGGTTCTACTCGGTGTTCTTCACCGTGATGATTATCCATCGCGCGCGGAGGGATATCCAGCGGTGTCGCGAGAGATATGGCGAGGCATGGAAGGAGTATGAGCGGCGCGTGCCGTATTTGTTTATTCCGGTGAGTTATACCTTCTATTTGGTTGTTGAATGGGGGTTTGGGGAAGGGAGCTAATATGAATGTGTTTAGTACGTTATCTAAACATCGTGCGGAGCGTAAGAGATCATGTGGTGCGGTATCGAGTATCAAGGTGGGAGTGGAGGACTGGAGCATGAAGCAGAGTATCGAGACAGGGAGGACAAGTGGAAACACAAAATGAAGTAAAAGTAAAGTAGTCACATGTACATTAATTCCCATTCCCATTCCCAGTCCCGTAATCAGTCATATAATCCGAATTCAACATATCCATAACCGACCGATTCGTCCCGATGAAATCATTCAGAAACATCGAAATATCCGCCTGATCCACATGCGTGTCGAACAGATCCTCCGGCCAAATCACATCGGGCAGCGCGATACTCGTCCGCCCTTCGCCTTCGGCAATTAGAGATCCGTCATGATGCTGCGCTAGACCCGTTAGTGTCTGTCGCGAGTCGACGAGGACCTGTGCGGTTTTGGCGAACGCTTCGCAGATCGTGTATAGGTGGATTGACCCGCGAGAGACGTTTTTGATCAGGTCGAGGGAGCGGACGGTTTCTTGGAGGAGGGTTAGGTCGGAGGCGCTGGCTGTCGTGATTGCGTGGGTGAAGACGATTACGAATGGTGTGAACGAGGGATAGAGCAGGATCCTGCCGGGTTAGTCGCGCCGCATTATTCGAGTAATTTCATTTGGTAAATCACTTACGAATTCACATATTCAGCCTGCTTATGTGCCTGCCGGTCGCGGAAGTAGGTGAAGCATTTGAGATGGCTGTGTAGCGCCATCGAGGCGGCTTCGTAGCATTGTGATGAGACGGCCATTGCATCGCGGGCGCGGGTCTGGGCGCGGTAGATGACGGTTAGCACAGAGTATGCGATGAAATCGGCGCAGGCGGTCATTCCGTGGAGGGAGTCTGCGTAGAGGCCCTTGCTGACGTCGATCTGGAGCGATTAGCAAGAGAGGAAGTAGGGTTTACTTTGGGTGTGGTGCGATGTACCTCTAGCAACTTGTTCCGCACACTCATGAGATCCATGGACAGTGCGTGGATCCTGGTGAGTCTCTCCTCCTCTGGTGCTCTTGAAGCGCCTATCGAGTACAGCTGATCGTATACCTTTCCTTGAATAGCGGCGAACTCGACAGTGATGAGATTGATGAGATCCCAAGACCGTTGTTTGTGATCTTGCGATGGAGTATAGAGTTCTGTGTCGATGTCATGGTCTTGGAAATGCGATGTCACGCCGATGTTCAATGAAATATTCTTGTCGATGGTGTACAGTGACCAAAAGGCGTGGCGTTTGGAGTCGGCGATGGGAGACGGATCAGCAAGTGTGGTAGCGTTGCGATGCAAGCCCATTGTCTGACACATGTTGAACGCGAGCGATAGGTAGGTCCAGCACCGTTGGATATCAAATTCCTCCTGCGCTTTGAGGACCTGAGCGGTCAGTACCTTTCTCGCTTCAAAGGGTGAGGACATACTCCGATCAGCAAGGCCTGCACCTTCTCTAGAGAAGGATCCACCATCATCTGATAGCTGTTGAGACCTGCGGAGAAACTCCGTTCACAAAAGGCCTTGCTCGAAGCAAGATCAAACCGCGAGAGATCAGGATCGCCTTCGTGCATGTAATCACGGATGACAAAGTATAACAAACCGTGGAGGAGAGTCAATGTGCCGGTCGAGACTGGTTCCAAGGGAAAGTAGATTGACTGGCAGAGCGACTCTAATTGACGGGTGTTTTTCCACGACTGGCTGACGAGGAAGAACGGTGGGTGTGCTGTAGAATTAGCATTGGCGAAGCGAAAGAAAAGAATCCTACTAACCTTTCACCTTTCTCACCACTGCAACGACAAGATCGGCAGGCAGTAATGGCTCTCTCGGGACTTGCTCTTCGACTGGTCTCGGCGAAGCGGCCGGTGTGTGATGAGTGTCGAGACTATTCTTCAACGACGACAGCGCAGAGGAAACCTGGTCGTTCAGTTCTCCGCTCCGAGCGGCGACAACTGCGGAAAGGGCAGCATCTCTTGCGACAAGTGTCTCATGGTGAAACGAGGACTGTCCTTCGAACGCAGGTATGGTTTGTCTCGCTGGCGCCGGGCTGGAAACCGCGATGGCCGGGACCGCAGGTGAGGGAGCACGAGCAGCCGGCGGAACAGCTGACGCTCTAGAGAACTGTAGGAGCGTGTGCTGAATAGAGTTGAGCTGGTCCTGTATCGCGTGGAACCTCTGTTCACTTTGCAAGGTCAGTCTCCCCTAACCAATTCTCAAGCGATCTTACTATTCGTCGGTTTGCGGCCGTGTTGTACCGGGAGTGGCCGGTGTACTAGTAGTTCCTGCAGAGCTGCAGGAAATTCCCAAAGCATTGCAGCTCGAACATGGTGCCAGTTTGTCGCATTTGATCTGTTGACGGTCAATGCTGTTACTGGTCGTTGACGCGGGGCGAAGGGGTTACCTTGCGGAGTCTGCAATTGTCACACTGGCACTGTCAGCTCACGGATTACATGCTCAGGAATCTGCAGAATCATACTGCGCGCACGCGGAACGAGCTCCGGGCGGTACCTGTAGATGGAGCTCTTCCTGTCATTGAATTGGGATGGGTGTTGTGGGTGTTGCGTTGAGCGCGGAGGCCGCGGAGAGATCTTTGCTCGATGATCGAGTGCTCACTTGGCTGAGTCATGTACGATTGTGCAAGCTTGTGCATTTCTTATGCAACCGTACAGTATAGGGAGCACCACCACTAACACATGTATCCACTGTAGGCTCACGCGAAACTAAAAAGCGACGATCCATTTCATCCTGGCCTCTGCGGCAGTGACTTTTGCTTCAGAATCCCATGATAATGCTCGACCAAGGAGTGGAGATCCTCCGTACTGCATTCGTCCGGATCCTCCGAGTCCTCGCTCCTGTCCGCCAGCCAATGCCGATGCTTGGCCGCATCGACTTTGGCCTTTGCCTCGCGCACAAACTTCTTCATCACACTGACAGGCGGCGCTTCATGCTTGGTGATTTTGGCCATTACCATCTCATAGTCCTTATAGTCATCATACGCGATGAGATCCTCGTGCTCGGCGATCCCAAACCCGGTCGGCTTGTATCCCCTGCAAGCCGAATAACAATCCCATGTGGGCCGCGTATCCACCACCAGCTCGAGTATCCAGCTCTTCATCTCCGCGGATCCGAGATCATTCTCCCCCTGAACCCCCGCATCCCCGACCGGCGCCCTCCTCCGCCACCACGAGACAGAGAAAACCCCCGAGGGGAAATCATCCCGGAGGAACATCACCGCGTCCCAGATCAACCACATGCGCGCACCCGGACTGCGGTTGAACCGCCGATGCCTCTCCCCGAGGCGACCCGCGCGCAGTCTGGGGGCGCCGCAGCCACATCCGACCTGATGCGCGTGGAAAACGCCCTGGCGCGGCGGCGGGTGCGAGGGGAACATTCGGCGCCAGGAGGCTTCGCGGCGCAAGACGGCCTCGCGACGGGAGGGGTCCTGGTACCACCCCTGTGCCTTTAGACTGGGGTTACAGGACGCGACCCGGAGTAGGCTGAGGCGCTCGTCTGAGAGCGTGCTGCTATCTGCTTTTGTGTCGTTGAAAGTGCCCCGGTCGAGGGTCTCGAGGTGGGTGAAGAATGCGGGGAATGTTTCCTGGAGGAGAGGGTTCATTTCGACCTCGAGATTTGTGTCTGGCCGTGGACAGGGTTCGGGGGTCTGGAGGAAGAGTTTCTGCTTTAGTCTGCTGCTGGACCGGATGCATGCTCTCCATTGCCGACAGACACGCTGTACAAGGAGGAGATCGCGCATGGGGAGATTTAGTAGAATTAGCTCGAGGAGCTCAACGAGGCAGAGGACTTTATTGGCTGCCATTTTTTATTTTTTATCTTGTAAGGCGGAGGGAGGTACATCCAACAGCGACCTTGATGCGGGGCTCGGTACTATTTATGGGGGACGGCTCGGACCTGCTGACGCGCGAGACTAAAGCTTAGCCTTGTTTCTGTGAGTCATGCAGAATCGGAGATGATCCTGGAGTCAGAATCTCACTAATCAAGGCAGGGAACATTGTAATCTAGTTTGTAGAGGAGCGGCTAAGGCGGTACTCACTTGATGAGGCTACAAAGCTCAGCCCTGGGTCGCCTGGGGAGGGCATGAAGAACGGCAACCAAAACCAGGTTGATACCATGTACTATCGAGGCAACTTGTATAGCCATCCCTTAGAGCGAAGTCAAGAGTGTATATCCCTGCTATCGAGCCGGTGCCATCGATCTCAACTACATACCGTTGGCATCCGTCTGATGAACACCCCAATCGAGCCCTGGCGTGCATTGGCCAGCTTCTCATCTTCAAGCACTCTCATCATCCACCCGCTGCCAGTTCAAGGGCATCGGCGGCCTCTCGTCTCTTCTGGACGGCCCAGACGGCCAGTATTCCCCGAGTCGCAATCAGTCAAGACTTATATCCGAGGCCCCTATTGCCTCCAAGTATGAGCACTGTCTTGCCCTGAAAGTCGTGCGTAGGCACTGGTGCGTCAGTGAAGAGTCAAATCTAGAGAACTAACAAACCGCGACATAACTATTTGGCAGCACCGCATGGACTTGGAGCTGGGCCTGCCATGCCCCCTGGAAACAGTCCCCGTGCGGTCTTGAGAACGTGAATAGAAGTATTTTGTTACCGGGGCTGCATTCCCGGGAATTAGTCCTGTAGAGTTCTGGCTCTTCGTATGTATAGATATTCAACCTGGAACATGTGAGGCTTGCCAAAGCCATGGAACAAGGCCCATCCGATCTTCACCAGAGGTTGCGCATTATGAGCCGCTCTCCGTTCATGCATTGCCTCGGCCTGGTAGAACAACCAGCTCCCGTGAGATTCACATGGAAGCAAGGCTTTATGCTCACTCGATGCTGGCGAACAAAGTGAATGGGGATTCATTGATTGGAGCAGCTTTACGATGCTAGTAAAGGCCCAGCCTTACGTTCATGGCTAGATAGCCTACGTGCCGAAGCAGACGTGTCCGACGGCGGCTCTGAGAGCTCCTTCCTATATTGCACTTGGTACCGAAGATGCTCACGTCGTAACGATGGTGTATCTCTATCATCTTATCTCCGCGGCTACTTCCGGACATGATGTAACCCAGGGTATATTCCTCTGCAGTGTCGGTTGCCTTTCTTTCGTTAGGTGTAGAGCTTAACGCATGAGGAGTTTGAGTGTCTTACCCAGGCTGCAGCAATCTGCCCTCGGCGTTTGTACTGAGGAACTCATGCAGCGCGACTCGTGCAGGGCACGTTGGCATCAACTGTGCGATGGATTCTTCCCACTGCGCCAGTGGCACCGATCCATCCCCCTTTCCCAAGCCACGCGGAACAAAATATGTCTTCATGTTAAGGCCTTCCGGCAGCCATTCGGCAGCTAGCATCATACTTGTGGTAACGTGCGTGCCTGCTGCTGCCGCGTTGGCATACTTGCCCCGGTCATGCTCAAACAAAGTGGCGAGGAAATGGTTTATCCAGGTAAGATCAATGGATGGCACGACTGATGCTACACGGTGCAGCAGCTCGATTCCCGCGTGGTGGTTTAATGGATCTAACGGCGTGCTAGAGAATTGCGAGATTGCCTCCAGTGTATAGCGAACGTCAGGCTTACCCCCGGACGGGCTGTTCCATTTCCACGAGTACTCGAACGGGGCGCCGTCAACGCCAATAGCAGACCTCCACTTGATGCTGCTCTTGTGTTCGGGCGATGGACCTAAATATGGGACCTCGCAAGAATCAGCTTCACGATACGACTTGGAGCAGGGGAAGTGCATAGGCTGACAGTCCTATGGTAGTGGAAGAGGAGCGCATCCACCTGCTGATCGTCCGAGTAGTCCGCCGCCTGAAGGATCTTAGCCAGGTGTGAGACTGTCAGATTCCACCAGTAATCCAAATCGCTCGTTCGCGGTGGGAGCCATTGTGATAGCCTGGTCCACGCCTTGGTGATGGGAACGGAAGGCGTCTCCATGGTGGATATAATAGTTGGGGGGGGTGCGAACACGACAGTTGGGATATAAAATCGCCAGTGTAAGAGCTAACACGGTCCTCGATTTATAGATATTGCGCCACCTAAGGCGAATCCTATGCCCAGCCATTGAGAATGTAGTTTTTGATTGAGGCTGCCACGTCAACCGTCTACATGGAAAGGCCCAATGTGAATGCAGTACCCGGCCATCGGAGTCCGGCTTGTGATTCGGGCTGCCACACCAAATCATATAGAGTATATTGCATCGCCCACGGCGAATCGAGTGCTCGGCCATCGGGAATCAGGATCCGAATTTCGATTGGACCTGGGTTCCCGGGTCATCTGTCACCCTCCTACTGCTGGTCGGAAAATCGGGCATGTAGGTGATGTCGGTGATACTCGAATTGGAAAACAATGTTAGCTGCGTGCGTCTCCCCTCGGAGATGGCACCCACACAGCGAATCTCGGCACACACGGATCAGCAATGGGATATCAGATCATCGGCGTGGCAGTCGTCACCGCACCAGGCAAGCCAGGTTTCCCGTACAGTCGCAGAGCATTAGACCCTGGTGTCCGATCATTAGCTGGAGGGACTGGCAAAGCATGTGCCAACATTTGGTCGGCATGAGAAGGGCACTTCGATTGAGGTCCTAAGTAGGGGTCTCCCCAGCTAGACCAGTCTGTTCACGAGTATATTATTCTGCAACGCACTTGTAGGCAATGGTATTTGCGCTATGGACCAACCCTGTCCAACCGACGCCATGACAATCCATTGGATTCTCAACACGTATATTGAACAATTTACCGTGCGCATCGAGTACTCGGACCGCGCCTTGATCACGACCACGACCTTTGAGCCACTGGAGATGGACAGCTCAACGGTGCTACCTGCGACCTTCCTACCGCCATGAGACCCGGCGAGACATCGGATATCGCTATTTCTCTTTACGCTTCGATGCCCGAGAATCACTGGGCGTACGCATACTACACTGATGTACCTCTAGCTGCTCCCCTTCTGACCCCCATCACTGTAACGTCGACGACGCAAACGCCGATTTTCGTTACCGTCACTGCGATGAGCACCGACGCGGACCGCCATGGCTCAGCTACCCCGTCGCCGGAGGTCGATGATGAAAAAGTGCGATTGACAATGATAGAAGACGGCGGTGGACTACCCAGCGGCGCAAAGGCGGGAATTGGCGTTGGAGTGAGCGCTGGTGTCCTTCTTGTTGCGGCCGGGGGGTTCTGGTTCTTCCGGCGTGGGCGACGGCGGATGGAGCCTGCGATTCTGTCCCGGTTATTGGCGCGCCTGATTCGGAACTTCCCTCCGGTATTATTAGTGAGCGGCCGCGCTCCTAGCTTGAGGGGAAGAGTACCGTTCTGTCTTCCATTACTACTACTGTTGTGGAGAGGGGCCCGCCTGTAAGGTATGAGATGGACGGATAGCATGGCGGCACTCTTGCTTGTTGTATGGGTAGTGATCAACGTGGTAAATGTATGAGGTACGGTATCAACGTACAGGAGACGGTGGATAATACTTTGAATGAAATAATGGGTCTTTATCTCGATAAATGAAAACGATAATCTACTATATTACATGGTCCATATTCCAAGCTCGTACATTATATTTTAGTTCAAGAGACAAATCAAACCAGTGACCGCAAGAGAAGTGGCCAGCATTGCTCCAACACCCCCCATGTGCAAAGAAGCTGAGCCACTATCGTCCCCAGTCTGTTCCTCGTCGTCCTTCTCATCTTCACTTCCTGTTGCCGCCCCACGGGACACACATGTAACATCGCCCTGTCCCGGCACCCTGTCATACTCCTGCAAGAACGCGCCGCAGTCGAATCCCAGATCCGTGTCGACATGCATTTCGGACCAGTTATTGAGGCCTATGAGTTCGACGCTGAAGAGAGTTTGTATTAGCAAAAATGGAATACTGTCAGATCGTGGATTGTGAAAGAGGTTTCGGGTTACCTTTCGATCTTCCCGGTCAAACGGATCACCTTCGCGTATCCAAGGTCTGGGATGCTGATGGATAGCGGGTTTCCGGCGGTAACAGTCAAATTTTTGTCAACCCGACGAAGCGATGGAAGGGATAAGCTGGGCAGTGAAAAAGTGTCAGTCCATTCTCCGCCAAGTGTGGCATGGGACAACGAATGAAGTGATATTCCCCTCAAAGTAGATACTCCCATCAACAGTGTGCAGCTTTGGCAGGTCGAGCTCAATTGTCTCACCCCACAGACTGAAGTTGGAGCCAGATCCCGTCATCCACGGTGACGCGAGGTTGGTGAGCTCAGGCAAGGTGATGCTGTTGTTGGCTTTTGTTAGCATTTCACTGCTTGTTTCGCGGAAGATTGCAAGAGGTCATGTTGGGTGGCGGCAATGTTCACATACCGGGATACCCTCCCGCTGATATAGATAGAGTCGGACGAATTCAGAGCTGGAAGGGAGATGTTCATGCTGGTCTCGGGTTCAATGGCGACAGGGCTGTTCATGATGACGACATCACCCTCGGAGACAGTGTGTAGTGCGGGGAACGACACGCTGAAATTGTATGGTGTCAGTATTTTGCAAGTGCACACAAACGAGGGGAGAACGAAACACCTACTCAGTGAAATTTCCCCTCAAAGTCAAACTCCCACTCGCCTCGAGAGCCGGCATCTCGAGCACGTCAATATGCGAAGGGATATACAAAGTGGCCCACCCTAGAGACATCAACTTTGGAACGGAGAAAGTCTCCACCGAGTCCATCCGCTGTAGCAAAAAAGACCCTTCGCATACTCCAGGTCGGGCATCTCAAACAAAGGCACGTCGAACGGCTCGGGACTTCCAGCGGTTCCAGCTGATAACGTGGAAATGTTGACTATTCCAGGGAGGACAAAGGGGCCTGAAAATTCATGCGTGACTCTATAGCTTGAGAGGAGAATGGTGCAGTCATTTTGAAGAGCCTCGAGGTCTTGTTGCGATGTTATCTCCTCAGAGTCCACGCTGCTAGGAAATCCACATTCTTGGGCCGCGACGCCTGTTGAAACGGTTCAGCACTGGTTCGCAGACGGAGCACCTCAATGACGATACGTACCCAGTGGCACAAAACCCAAGGCGATCAGAGACAGCCACATCTCGGAAACAGTCGATCGCTTGGGTGGGGAGGAAAATTGTTCAAGAGCCTCAAATTCAGGGGCGCGCTTTTGCGCGCCAGGCACAGGGAGTCAGGGACCACAGCTCGCGGCCGCTCGCCTCGGATCCTAAATGTGACTCGGTCTGGCCTTGCAACCCTGCTTGTCTTCTGGTGACATGATTTGTAGATCGGAGATTGTTCCTGGTGCCAAGACGATCCGGCGAGATAAGTCGCTTGCTGGCGAAGGATCGAGCGCATCATCGAACTAGGAATGAAATAAAAGGCGGAGACTCCCGCCAGATCGCAAAGCAGCAACAGCGATCCATCATCAGGGTCTGACGTGGCAAAGCTTCAACTTGGACGCTGGATGGAGAACCGAGGGGCTCTAGATGGAGAGGAAGTGCTGGAGTCCATCGGCCCTTCCTCGACAACTCCAGCTTCAGGCTCTGTCTTTTCCACGGCGATGCAGCGTTATATATACGTGAAAGTTCTACTGAAGAAACAGAAGATTACTACTGAAGAAACAGATGATCAAAGTAAAAAGAAGGATATTTTAATTCTATTGCCGTTACATGCATATCATCAACGCCACACAAAAACCCTCAAAAAGAATCCATCTATTCAGGCTTGTTGCCCTGCGAGTTCAAGTGACTCTGCATGAGGCACCAGTACCCAGGAACATGGTCGAACCAGATCTTGCCGAAGCCCTCGATGTCGCGGCGCCAGTCGACGTGCAGCTCAGCGGCGACGGCAGCCCAGTTCATCAGCTGGGCACCGGCCTGGACCATGCGGCGGTGGGCGGCGTCGCGGGTGTGCTCCTTGAAGGTTCCAGAGGCGTCGGTGACGACGAAGACGTCGTAGCCCTGCTCGATGAGGCTGAGGGCAGGGAAGGCGACGCAGATTTCAGTCAAAACACCGCTGCACATTTTATTAGGATCTTCTCGCGATCTACTTTGTAAATGAGTGGGGGCCTACCTGATGATGACCTGCTTCTTGCCGGTAGCCTTGATAGCATTGGCAAAGTCCTCGTTGTCCATAGCGTTGATCTGACCAGGGCGGCGGATCAAAGGTGCATCGGGGAGGGCGTCGATGATCTCCTTGACAATGGGACCGTTGGGGCCCGAGTCGAAGGAGGTGGTGAGGATGGAGGGGGCGCCGAAGTACTTGGCGGTTTGGGCTAGACCGAGGACATTGGTGCGGAACTCTGTGGGCTCAAAGTCGCGGACGAGCTGGATGAGACCGGCCTGGTGGTCGATGAAGGCGAACACGCAGTTGTCGCGGTCGAGGCGCTTGTAGGCAGGAGGGGCAGGAGCAGACATTGTGAGTGTGTGTGTTTGTGGGTTTGTTTGTGATGAGAGGACTGATTTCTGGTACCTGGAGGGGTAGGTTTAGTGGTATTTATTGACTTTCTGTCCTGGTGTCTATCTTGAACCTGTGGACTGCAAGTATGCGCACGGTGTGTTAGCCCTGGTTTGTCATGATTATTGGAGGATTGATGAAGTCTAAACGTTGGACATGCTAATTGACGCTACTAGTAGTAAAGCAGCGAACTATGGGTGGAAAATCTCAGTGTGGGTCTTAGACCGAGATCGATTTGCCAAAAATACGTATTGCGGGGCTTTTCCGGAGAGGCGCCAACGATCTTTAAGAGGACGCCTCGTGCTCTGTCGAGGGTGACTAACCCGCCAAGCGCTTTGTCACACACGATCAGATCTTATGTGATAGAGGCAGCCAGTCATAAGGAATCTTCCCCTCGTAAAAGAGCTTACTAAATTCTATGTCATTGCCACGATATAGTTACAGAGAGACGCCAAGCTACACTTGCCCCGCGGTCCGCTCGAGGGACCTGGCTATGCGCTGGGACAGCCTCTGGACAGCATCGGGCAGCAACAACGTATTGCACGAGGTGAGCTACTTCGTTCAAGTCCCTTGCTACGTCTAGAAGGAGCTATGAAGGATAAGAGAGACCTTGCTGATTCGTGTTGCACACTTTTCATCTTCTTCTTCGCCTGCGTTAGCTGCCTTGGATCTAATGCGGGGCTCTCCCGCACTATCACAGTGTGATTTACAAAGCTTACAGTCTGAGTCCCAACTGGCCCCACCGGATGATCACACCCTGATTGAAGGGTTGACCAATCATTAATCTCTTCTATAAGCTCAAATCAGCATCCCACTGGCCAAAATAACTGGTGCATCGCCATGCGGCTATATATATCTGAAACCGACAGGCCTGGACGAAGCTTCTCAGACTACCATAGGCCCGGAGCAGTCTAACCGTGTGCTAATACAGCCCTTTAGAGGTTACTACCCTTTATTAGCTAGAATTGGCTAAGACTATCTAGTAATTGCTTGGTGGCCACATGGCCACCTGTTGGATGCCTGAGGCGCCCACTGAGACGTAGACCCTCCAAAGTAGCACTGACGTGCTTCATAAGGTTAGTTATTTAGAGGATTAAAAAGAGACTTCTTGATAATAAAAAAAGATAAGTAACCTGCATCTCCTATATATTGCTGTTATAATAAAGGCTCAATCAAATAATGCTCATTCATCCTCAAAGGCCAGACGGCGTGTTTGAACAGTCACCATCCCATTGGATGGAATTATAGGTAGCAGTGTCAGACGTTTCATCAAGGAAAACTTATATCCATGTATAGGACACTGTATTTTGATATCGAGGGTTTAGCCACCTATTAGGCTACCGTAAACTAGAACGCTCGGTGTTTGCGTCTCTTTTCCTGCAACAAGCGGGCTTGTTCCTACGCGAATCAAGTCCAGTTTTTGCACTCAGTGGACTATGCAAGTCGCATAACTCGGGCAGCAGGTCTTCTACACTACAGTACGTTTGCGGTTTTTTTCTTCCTTTTACAACTCCGCCAAGAAGAAGAGAGAAGAGAGCAAAGTACAGCCATGATAGGTCGGTCGCTGGAGAAATGCACCAAGGCGACTAAGGTAATATCACTAGAAGAGCCGGGACATCAGTTAGTCTCAATAAGGCATTTCGCCGACCAACGTGGCACGAGTCCGCCTGCAGATGTCTTGCTTCCTCACCTGCGCACTTTGGCCAATAAGGCGCGTAGACGATGACGCGAGATAAGGTGCGGCTGAGTCGGCTGGATCTGCAGCTCCAGCATAAATAACAGGCCCAGCCCACCGAGAATCAGCTTCACTGCTTACCGCTCACCCAGTATCAGGGCCTGCTGCGCCACTGCAACCACCATGGCCCATCCCTCTCATACAACACCTCCCCCTGGACATGACGCGGATGATCCACAGCAAATCCAGTGGCCGATGATATACTTCCTGATGGTATGCTTCGCAATGAACGCGGTCGCGCAACCCACCGGCAGGATGCTGGGCCTCCCCTACCCGCATTCAGCCATCTTCCGCAGCTCCCCGTTCCTCTGCGGGTTTGACGCAGTTCACATCCTCGCGCACTGGCTCGCGGAGTATATTTCCGCCTGCTGGTCGGAGCGGAGACTCGCAGACTTCCGCCTCGCAGCCACGCGCGCGCTCATGTATCGCCTTATCGACGACGACGAACCGGATATCAAAGCGGCGAGGCGCATCAAGCAAGGGGCGCACCTCCGCTGAGCGGGCTTCCTGCTCACCGTGCTCCCCGCACTCATCAAGCTCTTCGCGAGCAGGGGGATCCCCTGGTCGCAGGCGTTTGGCACCATGTTCCTCGCATCATGGCTCGTTTTCGAAATCCTGGTCCTATCTGCCAGGTTGGAAGATGATGACGACGACGACGCTGCCGCCCCCTTAATCGAACCCCCCGCTCAACCTCACCAAACCGTAATAGTACTCCACACATTCTGGGCCGCCGCCGCAATCCTCATCCACGCCAGCGTCTTCAGCCTCCCCGCCCGCACGGTGATCCAGCTCATGCAGGGCACACCCATTGGCTTTACAGGCTGGCTAGGCCTCATCTCAAACCTCCTTTCCTACAGCCTTCCACTGTGGATCGGCAGTTTCTTCCGGCTGCATATACGCGCGAGCACAGCGCGCCTGATGGGGGCCGCAATTGCCATCGTCATGGCCCCGCCATTTGACAGGGAGACGATCGAATGGTACTATGTTGTCCCGTTTGTATTCATCTGCCTTGTCCAGGCCGAGATCGTTGTGTTTTTCTTCCATAACCGCCGCGGCCAGGTCCTTGTTTTGATGCAGCTGCTCTGTGTGGTTGTTCAGCCGGTTTTGTTCTACACCCTGTTGTATGATCCCGTGGGGACGCACCAGCCCGCTTGGTTCAAGTGGCTTGGGTAGGAAAAAAAAAAGAAAAGAACGAGTAGCAGTCTAATGGAAAGGGATTCTTCATTTGTGTGGCTCGGAGACGCTAGATCTACTTGCTCTGTTATATTGCCTGCCGTACATATTGCTGTGTGTACAGCACATTGGCTGACGATGAGGGCTACCGCTTCTCTTGCCTCCAGCCAAACCCCAGGCCCCATGAATTCCTCCTGAACCCGCTTAGTTAGCGGTGAAAGTGCTTCTACTTTGCGAAGCGGGTATAGACAGAGTTCCGCCGCCATAATAGCGGGCGCGAAGCGACTGCCAACTATATGTGCTCGATCAAATTAGTTGCGTTCATGTCTGTTATCAAACCTTCGCTATTTACACAGGCACGTAACATGTACACCCCTACTATACCATTCGTATATCATTGCGTCCGCACTGCTGCTACTAGCGACTGCGCATTTGCTGCCCTTTTCAAACGCTCCACGACTTTCTGGTCCTCTTCCAACCTCGCATAATCAATTGGGAGTTTGCCCGAGATGTCCCGCTTGTTCGGATCCGCCTCCGCGTCCAGCAGGGACGCGACTGCGTCGTCGAGCCCCGATTCAACTGCGTGGAATAAAGGATTCTTGCCCTGTTTGTCCCGGCTTTCCAGCTCCGCGCCGTGGACCACTAAAAGGGCCATGTTCTTCTCGGGGATACCGTTGGTAGTGACAGCATGGAATAATTAAAACATATCAGTAGGGATGGGGCTTGCCCAGGTGAATCACGGTTGGATAACAAGTGGTACAGGGGAGCGAGTGAAGCTAGCCTGATTATGTCAGCTGCACTAAAGGGTTATGACTAGGGATTATACATAGTTGACGAGTCTCTGCATAGTCGCCAGGGTTAGAGGAGATGCCATACCGCCATGAACGTCGTGTCCCACTCCAAGCTTAGAATTCTGAATTAATGAGGGTTTGGAATCAGCAACCGCTTTCCGGATCGCGTTTCCGCCGTCAACAGTTGCACCAAGGCTCCAATTGACGCTTAGGTCATTCAATATGACCGCCATCGTTGGTCTTGCCAGACGCATCATTGAGCAGACGGCAGGGTACTGGAGAGAAAAAAATGCATCTAGGAACGGGGCAGTAGCTATTTTCTGGGAGACATTACGTTGGAAACAAACGCTTTTCTCTCATCTTGCCTTGTGTCCCCAGTGGCATGTGTTGCTTCCTGTGATAGCCAAAGGTGAAGTTCTGACCTTTGTAGTTAGCCTTGAAAGCAATAATTCCCGATATTGATATGTACAGTATATTCGTCTCTAGACCGCAATTCCCTTAGCTGGCGTCAATCTCTACACGTGCCCACGCGCACTGGACATGTGCAGGATGCGAGTGCTGGTCAGTTCAACCCCCTGTTCACCCTGGCTGTCCGTTACACTCTCCCGTAAAGCGCCTGCCGTTGGTTGTACATCAATGGCTATAGCTCGCTCGATGTCATCTTGCAGCCGCGGAAACCCAGGGTTCTGCCCTTTGTCCCTCCTCTTGGAAGATTCGTCTGAACCGTGTCCTCGAGATTGGTTGCTTTCCCCAATCCATCTCGGAGCATAATGACGGAGGAAAGCACGTAGATAAGGTAGGGAACCACAGAGAATAATAAAATTCCCTTCAATAAAGCTAGTAGAGATGTGAGCAAGCGTTCCACCACCACTCAACAGTTCAGACTGGTAAAGCTTACATTAGCATGATAGGAACAGCAACCTTATATGTTGGGTCTTTGGAGGCAAGAAAAGGCCCAATCGTGGCGAGCCTAACGATACTGGTAATTATTGTGCTAGGACATTTTCAGTAGGATATCAGCATATATGGTGATGGAGGGGTTGATAGGCATATGAGTCGTGAGGAGTACTAACAGACATCCGACCCCAAATAAGGCGATCACACCAAGTCGCTGTAGGAGCGGTAATCGCAACTTGCACACAATGGGTACGGCAATGAGGATAAGAATCACATCACTGGCTGTGTTGGTGACGACTGATCCTAGATAAATGGCCTTCACATCAATACAGGATCCATTTGTTATTGTGGGATCCCAGCTCTTTGCCACGGGGGAACAGGCAAAAATTATCGCCAGGACGAAAGCTATACTGTATCCCGATATCAGGAATGCGACTGTGCAGATAATGTACTTCCATATATCGGTTATTGTTCTCAGCAGGATGTAGTAGAGCATGAGAATGGCCAGTTTAGCTAGCGCAAGCGCAGGGATGTAGAGAACAGAGGCAGCCAGCACAGTCTAACGCAACGTTAGCTAGGCCTCCGTAAGTGTAGCACTGCGGAATCACAGTATGTGGAAAACAAACCCTTTGATAAAGAGTCAAGCGAGAAATGGTGAAGTTCCAGATATGGATTCCATAGCAGGAACGGGAATGACCATCTTCAGACATTCTCCTCGTTAGTCTTGTGGAGGCGAGCGTAATGGGGAGCTCACATAGGAGGATAGCTTGAGATGATACCGATAAAACCTACCAGTGTCATACAAGTTAGCTGAATCAAGGGGCCATTTGTCAAAGGACGCCAAACACACCCAGGCGAGGATCATGGACACTGGCAATTCCACGTTAGTAGTCCCGCAAAATAAGATAAATCCAGCAACTGACCATCATCAAACCAGAACTTCCGAAGCAGGCGCGCTTTCGTATAGATTCGTATCAAAAGGCATATAGTACTGATTGCAATACCAACAGCAGCTATGGCTGTGCTTGCAGTTTGCAAATGTCCGCTTGACGCATTGAAATCCGGTGTGACCCCGATTGGGGGCGGACTTACAGGATCATCAGCTGTCAGTCTAATCACCTTCATGATAGGTTGCTAACAGCAGACGGGGGATCGCGCATCTTCCACAGCCTCTGCCGTGGTGTAACACAAGTAGCCGCTGTTTTGTCTTCCCGCTTTGAACCTTTTTTTTTGGTGGTTGATTTTAACTTTCGATTATGGCGTCACGACATTTCGGTTAAACCCGGGTCCCTTTACAGTCCAGGATAGAAACAAAAATCAACTTGCTTTGAAATGAATATTGTTTCCATCGATAGCATAAAATATTTTATATAGATGGTCGCGATAACCTATACCCTATCATCATGATTTTCACCTTCCAAGTTTGAATCCACCTCCAGAGAGACGAGTGAAATGATTTTCCCGCCGAACCTTTTGCCAGTTACATAGCTGATACTTCTCAGTACTTTCTTTATGAAACATAGCGGCACAAATCTGCGGATACGCCCAGTCAGCATCCAATGTCCACTTTCCCCTACTAGCTTGTTCCTTGTTCGTATCATTTTCCAAAGAACCGGGGATGCAAGTCGAGACAAGCAAACGTCAAACCTGAGCTGCACACTGTGTTGATGGAGACAAATGTTCATCCCGTAACAGATGCATCAGTCGCCAACAAAGGCTCAATCCGCCTCCTGGAGTCTGGCTCGGGGGATGGCGGCCAGAAGAGATGGTCGCGACGAATATTGATATCGCTCGCTTCGTACGATCGACTGAGCGAAAAGCATTCGTAGTCTAGCATGGGCCCAGCTCGTTTGGCGCTTTGCAGATGCCTCTGCTGGTTCCACCTCTGTGTTGGCAGTCCGTTTGTCTGCACCTGCAGGGGAAGCTTCTCACAGACACCTAGGTGGTCTTATTCCAGGTAGCCGGGCTATATCTAGCGACCATTTCCGAGAAAATTCCATTCTTTTTAGATGCCTTTGCGTATTGTCGTTGCCTTATCCCCTCAAGTGCCAGGCTCTGGTCGCGCCCCGTGGAAAAGTAGAGCGTTCTACCGTGCTGAGTGATTGTGCCGCCGGAGTCACTTCATTTCGGCTGGGAGGCTCAGCACAAAGTGCGCTCTGCATTTCTCCTAGACGTTTAGGACAAGGTAGATCGTCCCTTACTACACGATGCTGCACTGAACTCCGACCCGCGATATTGCTCGACTAACCTTTTGGGAAGGCTACGGTGACCACACCTCCTCCTTACCTTCAAACAGATTACCCCGCCAAGGCTGGAGGGGTAACAAGGAGATGTTTGATTTCCAGCCTGCATCGCAAGCATTGCGAGCTAATCCAACACTGCAAAGTCTCCTCCCACACAGGGAAATCTTCAGATCTCTTCCATTCATCTCAAGTATCCATGACAACCAACATGCAACTGAGAATTTCCAAAGCCTGGGCGAGGCTCATTGGTCACAGCTGCAGCGATGTCACTCTTTCCATGCTTCGTCTACTTTGTTTGCTCTATTTCACCACCGTCAATCAGGGAATCTGTAGGTGCGTGGATTGTCCGATGCCCCACAGCGGTTCGCCTTGGCCTGTGCCACGCCAGCCACCCCAGAGCAAGCGCATTCACCTGTAGCCTTGAGCTCGAATGCACTGCCTTGAAATTCTGGCATGAAATATAAACAGTCCATTTCCCTTCCGTGTTGTTTCTCTTCTTCTTCTTCTTTTTTCTTCCTACAACCTCCTCATTGTTTACGGTCAAGTCCCTAGCAAATCCATCACTTCGACTCTCCCCATAACCTTCGTCATGGCTCTGAATACCATGAACATTAGCGAATCAGTCGCAGCTGGAGGCTATCCGGGGTTGGAGCTAGACGACCAAGGCGACGTGACCCTGCTGGTGACTGTGCCCGACAACGTCGCGGCTCATTACAGGCGGGTCAACGCTCAGCCCAAGCAGACGCTTGAGATGAGCCTCGCTCACGTCTCGGAAAAAACTTCCAGCTGCCGGTCAGAGTGTCTTCTGCCCGCCTCTCTTCTGCAAGCCCACGATTCCGTGCCCTTTTCGCGCAAATGACCGAGCAATCCCACGTTGACGAGTCGGGTGCCGGAAGTCATGAACGAGGCCACCAAATGGTCGGATTGTGCAGTGACGACGGCTTGTCTTCCCTCATTATTCTCATCGCAATTTACGGCCGGCATGGTCTTCTCCCTCATTCGATCCCTCCCATGCTGTTGGCTCGACTCGCGGCCAAGGCCAACCAGCACCAGTGTAGCGAGGCCATCGCGCCGATTGTCAAGCCCTCGATTTCTCAGGCGATGAAAGAACACCGTATCCCAAATACCGTCAACAGAACCTTGGAGGTATGGCTGATGATCGCTTCGACGTTCAAGCACCAAGAATCCTTCGCCGAAGCCACCCGGAACTGCATTGCCTCTTCCAGCGGTACTATACAGCCACAACACGTCGCGATGCCACAGCATCTCTATGGTAAGTCGACCTTAGTTGGCTCGCTCTCTTCTACTTCTAGAGAGCGGAACTAACAAAGTTGCCTGAGGCACCCGCTGTGACAGAGAGTCTGGTTGCTGACGGCGCGGCAACAATGCGAGTGCCATTGAAGCGCTCGGCAAGGGTAGGTGCCAAGGCATTAGGCAAGAACAAGATTGAGGTTAAAGACCGTGGTTATAAGGCTTTAGTAACGATTGTGGATGGTGGTGTCTGACTGGGACATTTCCAGAGCTGGATATGGAGTGGCTTAGGAAGCCTGGATCACGTGATCCTGCTTCTCGTGCCAAGATCCCCACTGACCGGATTCCTTTCTTGTGTTTACTCTCAGCCTCCCCAGGTCTCTTTCCAAATTACACCACGATTTTCCAATCCTAGATCAAGATGGGCGACCAAGTCGACCAAATGGACATCCAAGAGCCACAAAAGGGCGTTACTCCAATTCTTTATGAACTCGACCCCGCTGGAGACGTCACCTTTGTGGTTGTCAACATTCCTCAGGATCTGCCCGAAAATCTAAGGGACCTGAAAGCCGACTTTCTTGCTGGGCAATCAACTCCAGAAGCTACGCCTACTGGTTCTGATAGGGATGGGCAACTACCACCAGAAACCTCGACACCTGCTTCTTCCAAAAAGGCCGATAAAATCCGCCTCCGTATCCGGGCGTCGTCAAAACACCTTGTGCTAGCTTCTGGGTACTTTGCTCGCATGTTTGCGGGCGGTTTTAGCGAAGGCCTTGTCCTACAGTCTCAAGGCTCGGTAGAACTCCAGATCCTTCATGTTAATGGTCTTGCCTTCCTTTTGCTGATGCTGATTATCCATGGTCGACCCCGACTTGTCCCGCGTAAGGTATCAAAGGAAACGTTAACTGATGTTGCTATTCTGGTCGACTACTACCAGTGCCAGGATCCAGTTGAAGTCTTCTCGGATATGTGGATCAAAGATCTTGAAGACGTCGAAGAGACCACCTCTCTAGCAAGTCTGCAATGGGTAATGATTTCTTGGGTCTTCAAATACAACCCCAAATTCAAGAAGGCGAGCAAGGCGGTTGTGAGCGATTCTCCAGATACCATCAGTTCTCTTGGACTTCCGCTCCCTGCAAATATACTAGGTACATTTCTATTTCCTTACTATCAGCGCATGTTTCCGCCTACACCAACTGACACCCCTGCCGCAAATAGCCAAGATGAATGATCAACGAATCAGTTTCCTCCAAAACTTTATCGACGGCCTCCATAGGCAACTTGAAGTCATCACCAAGGGCTGCTTGAAGCGTGGTGACCGCAACACCAAGAATGTAGAGTTGTGTCTTTGCGCTGTTCTGGGAGCATTCACACATGACATGTTCGCCTTGAACGTCCTTTCGCCGAAGCCCGAAAGCCCCTTTAGTAATATCCAAATCTCCAAGCTCGTTGCAGCTTTCAAAGAAACACCAGACTCGCCCCGTGTTGAAGACGAGCACAGTACCACCCACAACGACTGCCGCCTATCGGCTCGGCGCAAAGCCCTGTTCCAGCAGCACCCATTACCCGAAGGGTTAGACCTTGATGATCTTAATGCCTGAGCGATGCCACTGGTCCGCCACTCTTTTGACCCCCACGCTTATTTTGTGCCATCGCCAGTCCAGCACTTTCTCTCGTCCACTGTTCGAACTAATACTCCTTGCAGGGGAGCTACCAGTGTCAGGAACATGGCAAAGCATGCATGTATGCCCGGGTTTAATGTCAATACCACGTTGAGGCAGTAAATTCGAGCTGCCGGGAGCTTTAGGGCTATATGCTTGCTGAAATATGGCTAAACTTTCCAAGTTATAGGGGCGAGAGGATATTGAAAATAAAAGTTCCTGAGTCGAGTGATTATGCCGCACGCTATCGGAATCTTGCGTGGTAGTTAGAAAGGTGTCTCTTGGGTACGGTGAGAACTGATTCAATTGTGTCATATATTCCTGTAGAGGTACGACCGAGTCTGTAGTTATTATAAGAGTGAACCCGCTTCCTGCGGTTAATTGGCTTGTTAGAGCCCTGAACAATACCCTATTTGACGACGGGTGTCATGTCCACAATAGTTGAAGAAGCACCTTACTATGATCGAAGCAACCCAGGCACAAGGAGAAAGCATGTAGACTCCAAGTTGCGCGTATGCATCAATGGACTTCTAATAAAGCCATACAAAGGTTCCATATGCAGATCTACAAAGGATTGAACAAGGGATTGCGGGCTCTCAATCAAGTTATACAATGCTCTTGTAAGAACGTCCACGAAGCGTCGGACAAGCAATTCAAACTACAATGCCACTCCAAACAAACAAGCCTTTATGGCATACATTAGTCTCTTGAGCAATAACGAGGTATAGGAGAACGGCTCCCATGCGTAGATCTATAAAAGCCCCCTCCCCTCTCCTTCATCAACTCATCCGATTATCAGCACTCATCGCCAACCTGGTTCTGACGCGTAGTTAACGCGTCTATTCAACCATCTGCCAAATGACAAACCAACATCTACAACGTTTGCTTGCCAAAATGGCGTTCAACATGGATGAGATGATTAAGCAATTTGCGGGTCTTGGCCTCGAGAGCGGTCTTCAATCTGGAGGGCAGGGGCAAGCGCGCGTATACCTCCAACCCGCCCATCCTACGATTGCCTCTAATTTCGACAAAGACAGGTTAGCATTAGGCTTCTATCCCGGCTCCTACCTCGACCCCTCCGACACAGCCATGTACGGCGCCGTTGGGTATCCCAGGCGCCTACCAGAGACCCAACTGACAGCCAATGCTGGCCAAGCACTTTCACGACCCCTTGTCGAACTGCCCCGCCACGAGCCTAACAATCCTCTTCCAAGGATTGGAGAAACCGCAGTTGGGTACACCCGTCTGGCTGGCGTCATCTACTCGGCCATCGGCCGGGTCATTAAGGTAACTCAACACCCCGAGCCCGTGGTCTGGGTTCAACCAATGACGGAGAACCAAGATCACACAATACTCCCGTACGAGGCTCCCCAGCTCAAAAAATGCACCAGTTACCTGTCTTGGAACTGGAACACTGGCCCCAATAAGCTGAAGCCGCTTCCCAACCTTGGCGACCTGGCAGATGGACTGTGGAAGTCGCCTGCAGGGGGGCTTTTTGTGGGAAATGGGCGTGTGGTAAAGGTAGACAACGGTCCACTTAGGATGATTTTCGTTGAGCCAGCTTAAAGGGTCGCCTTTGAGGCTTGTGTTTGTGTTGCGGTGGAGGCTTAAGTGACGTCCCTTTTTTTCCCTAGCTATGTTTGCTCTGTCATTCTTTCCTATCCTGGCATACTGCGAGTAGTACTAACAAGTGTTGTGAATTAAACTATATTATCAATCACATTGGACCACGATAGTAAGTCTTCTATAAACGTATTATGTACTTCGAGGCAGTACACCCGGGCCAAGATGGATGTAAGTAATGGAGAATTAATGTGAGAAGTAAGCTACTGTCTGCCCCACCACCCCAATGGTCGAGATAAATAGAGTTCTATCCGATGATCTTTAATGCTACTTCGTCTGATGGTCAGAGGTTGAGTCGACAGTCGACATGGAGAGACATGTCGAGCTTCTGATTGAGTATCAGCTAGAAAGACCCTTTATATCGGCTGCATGGTTTGGAGTAAGTAGTATCCCAAAGAGCGCCATGGATGATAGTCATTACAGTGCACCAAACGAACAAAGGGCCACGGTGAAACAATAAAGATGACAATGAACATGATGATTATGTCTAAAAAGAGCGGAATATCGCCTTTGTGAGATATGGTCAAAGGCCATTCATCCCTTAAGCTCTCATTCATCTTGTATTGTCTTGAAAAGACAAAGGGCTGACAGTGCACAGATATAAAAAAGCCCTTCCACCCCATCTCTCAGCTCTATCTATCGTCTTCCCTCATCTACAACTTTCTTGTGACTCGTCGTTAACGAGTCCATTCAAAGCTACACACACACACCCAAAGCCAAATTTGAACTTTTACCATCTTGCAACAATGGAGCCCCAATTGAACGATATCGCCAAAGTTTCTCATCCGACTTCCCTTCGCAGGAGCAATCACAGCTGCTCGGAGAACCGGAGAGGAGCGAGAGGAGCTTAATCACACCAGTATAGTGTTCGGTCCCTACCCGCCTTACATGTACATGACAGCGGGTCACCCCATATACACACACACAGACACGGTGACGAAACCCGATCCCTCAAAACCCATGATTCCCGACGTCGAGCTTCCACTCTACAAATACAACCGCCACGTTCCCAAGATCGGAGATATGGACAGTGGCTACACGGCGATTGGTGGGTGGATGTTTGAAGCTGTCGGCCGCGTCGTCGACGTGGAACGCCGTCCTGGCGTCAACCACCCGGACGGGACCTTGGTCTGGGTTGAGCCCATAGCGGATCGTATGGAACACTTTGTCATCCCATATCACACCCCGGAGCTGGCCATGTTCACTAGCATCGCGAGCTGGAACTGGGACATTCCCAGTACTAGGTGCAAGCCACTCCCTAGGGTTGGTGAAGTGGCAGACGGGATCCGGGTTCTTCCTGATGGGATTTGTTTTGTGAGAAGGGGGCGTGTCATCAAGGTGCAGGAAGACCCCTATAGGGTTGTTTTTATTGAGCCCGAGTCCCCTGAGCATCCTCGATCCGAAGGGTTTCCTCGTGTCCAGCGGCCAGAGGATGTTGGATTACAGAGAGAACCTGTCGTCGAGCGGCCTCACGCAGTTCGATTCCAAGGAAATCGTGACTTCGAGCGGAGCGACGATGTTCCATCCAACTAATCCTTGCGGTGAGCATCCTGGGAATCGTCGATTCTGATAAATTCCATCCGTTGGCAAGGAAGCTTAGGTAGGTCCTTTTCCAGCGGAGTTTAACTTGTCATTCGATTTTATAATATGATAGTGCTACCAAATTTTACCATTATCACTAATTCGTTCAAGTTAACAACAGTAGACCTTGTGTTCTTATAACTAGAGTAGCGTCATTACGGCCGGTTGCATCTTGAGGTAGTACATGAGACCTTACCTTCCTTCGAAAGACCTCGTCAAAGTTGGCTCGCACGTCCTCCTGTTGAGGTCAATAGGTCGGTTTCCATCAAATAGGTAATAGAGTCCTGAGGCTCCGGGAAAGGTTTCAGCCATGATGGTTGCATGTATTGAACAGGATGGAGATATACCGGATGCGTGCTAGATAGCGTCGATGCCACAAAAGAAACCATGGCTGCTAGAACCTTCTGTAAAAAAGCAGTATCTGATAGATAGACGCATTTTCACGCAACACACTGCCGGAAGAATATAGTGATCAATGTATCAATCAAAGAAAAGGCTGCACAGGGAAACTTACAACCCCCTCATGAACCCTGAATGAGTCACGTGGTCTTTTCTGGAAAAATAAAGCATCTGCGCCAAAAGATGTCCACTGCTCAGCTTCCCCTCTATGTTAGTCTCACTTGACACAAACCCCTCCATCAACGCGTACGACAACTCTGAGATTTGCCTCAAAATGGTTGACAAAAGCGAAATCAACGATGTGCTCATGGACAATATCTCTAATCGGATTTACTATGAGTTGGACCCCGCAGGAGACGTCACCCTCCTGGTTGTCAACGTTCCCCAAGATCTGCCCCCGAACCTAAATGAACTGAAGCTCGACGTCCTTGCGGGGCGGTGGCCGCCAGCAAATACCTCTGACTCGTCACAGGGCAGCGAACAAAACCCCTTATATATCCGCGCTTCGTCCAAACACCTTGCCTTGGCTTGTGGGTACTTTCACCGCATGTTTGGGAGCGGCTTCAGCGAGGGTATGGAGCTTCAATCAAAAGGATTTGTGGAGCTCAAAATCAACCACCCTAATGGGCTGGCATTTTTACTACTAATGCTCATTGTCCATTGCCAACCACGCCTCGTTTCGCGTAAGCTTTCAAAGCAGACCTTGACTGATGTCGCCGTTCTTGTCGATTACTATCAGTGCCATGCCGCGGTTGATGTGTTCGCGGATATGTGGATCAAAGCTATTGAAAAGGAAAAGGTCTACGAGTTGAAGGGTGGCGAGAGCCTGAAATGGGTGATGATCTCATGGGTCTTTAGGTATGAGCCTAAATTCAAGGAGGCAACCAAAGAGGTTGTGGGGCGATGGAAGAACACCATTAATGCCCGTGGGCTCCCAATTCCCACAGTCGTACTGGGTATGTCTCCAGCATGAACATGCGCTCATACCCCAACTAACCGGTACGGCGAGTGGCAACAGACATGATGAATACGCAGCGAACCAGTTTCCTCCAGGCTTTCATTAACAGCCTTCATCAACTCCATACCCAAGTCTACCGGGGTTGCCTTCTGGGTGCCCGCTCCAACACGAATAAGAATGAACTTTGTACCTATGTTGTCTTGGGAGCATATACGAAAGCTATGATGGACAAGAATGTTCTGATGCCAAAAACCCAAGCTCCCTTTGAAGGTATTCAGGTTTCGCGTCTCATCAAAGACCTTCGCAAGAGTATGGCGTCGCCCCGTATTGACGACAAGGGCACTCACGACAAATGCGGTCTATTCGCTCGCGGTACCGCCATGCTAAGACTGCACCGATTACCTGAAGGCTTTGATTTTGCGGCAGTTAGAATATGACATATAGTTTGCACTGGTACGGTGACAATGAAATATGCAGTACGCCTCATAGCGAGGGCAGCAAATCGCGTGTAATCAGATTTCTGAGCTCACACAATATGCCATCCACTATCAGCAAGAGTGGAAACTAGCACTCATAAGTGGAGTGTGCTCAGTACCTGAAATGGAGGGCGCCAGTGTCATATGACGATGTACTCCACAGGCGGAATTTCGGGCCTCAGCTGAGTATAGTTATAGACCCAAGCTTTCAAATCCGGACCTGGATCGAAGAGTATTGTGTGGCTTAGTTGGCCCTTGGTAGCAGTCTAGTTTGGAAAGTCAATCGGGGAACCTTCGAAGTAGACATGCTGAAAAACTGAATAGAGCCAAACATTTATGCAACCAGGCACGTAAGGTTCTGCGCATACAATTATCAGGGAAATGCCTTCTACCATGTGGAACGCGCCGCACTTCTGTATCTTCTATAAATTTCTAAATCAGGCGAGATTATGATGATGTGAAACACTTTATATTTGCTCCTGGCGGCACTGGAAAGGAATCGAACTTTTTATGAACAACGCTTTAAATAAGTAGCGTATCTAATGCAATAACCCTATGGCCAGCCATGATACAACGGGCGATGCTTCTAAAAGTCTCAGGATATTAGAAGGCAATAATAAGAGATCAGAAGGAAGCCAAAACGAATTTGATGGACAGAATCACAATGTTATATTTCAAGAGGCGACCCACATGGGTACGATATAATACCTAACAACAGCCCCAGGAAATCATGCAATACAAGGCATTGTTATAAGATAACATCGGTTTGCCTTCATGATTTATCTTGCCTGATGTTGCAGGGATGGGAATAAGAGTCTCTGGCAAGATAATGTAAGACACAATATAACATAACCGGACATGCCATAAGATCTCTGGTACTTTGTAGCTATTATGCATTTATCTGTAATATACAGTCAATGGAATTTATTGTCGAATAATAGCCAAGCCAGCCTTTAGGATACCAGGTCACCATATATCGTGGCCTATGATGGTGAGGAATTGCTCTAGGCTAATCCTGTAGCAAGAAATAGATTTGCGTGCCTCACTTGCCACATAAATCCCCAGCAAGGAAGAACCAAGGAACGCCCTGAGCTGCCAGGTACCGGTAAATTGACACACATACCTCCAGCCGTGTCGCTATCTATCGAGGCCTCTCCAGAACTCTACCGGCAATACCGCCACCCCTCATATCGTGCTCCCTCTTCCTCTTCTTCCTCCGCCGCCAACAAACCACCGCCCCGACACCAACAACCACAACCCCAATAACGGGGATCCCAATAACAAGAAACCTAAATAGCGCTGTATCCGAGTCGCTGCCATGCGACACCCCACTATTCGTAGATCTGCAGGACAGCGAGTCCGAGTCCACTGGTTCACCGGGCACCCAGGTCGCGAGCGCGACGCTCGTGCATGAGCCCAGATCGGGTGGGGAGGGGCTAAGTATGGATACATCAGAGGCTTTCCATGTTATGTGCCATGCTTCATGGACGCGGAGGCCGTCTGGGAAGGGGTTTTCTGTGCTAGTAGTACGGATGGTGGTCGTTCGTTCATCAGAGTCTGTAGCCGTGCTTGTTGTTGAGGCGGGCGATGTGCTAGTTGTGTCTGTCGTTATTGGCTGGAAACATGCGTTTGCTGCCGTGTCTGCGATGGGGATGCCGGAGAGGTATGACAGGGTGAAGCCGCTGCTCGACTGGAATTAGCAACCGGACTTTGCATAGATAATTCTCGGATGATGAATTGCGTTGAGCTAGCTTTCAACCCGGGTGAAAGCTTACCTAGAACAACAAAACGCCGTCGACGCCGTCACGGACCTCGTCACCGGCGACCTCTCAACGAAGACCGTCGCCCCCAGGTTATATGCCGTCCATGCGCTGGGGCAAACAGCTGGGCTGGCTTGGAACTCAGAGGCTGGGCTGCCATTCCATCCAGAAGGGAGGCAGGAGTCAGCTTCCTCGGACACGAGAACGCGAAGTGTCGTCGTCGAGAAATCATCCCAAGAGAAGCTGGTGATGTAGTTCGTTGTCCGGAATTTGTCGACACAGCTCTCGGAGGGCACGAAGGGCGTTGTTAGCGGCTGAGGGGCAGTCGCTAGTGTCCCGGACGAAGCCATTCCGTATGACTTTACGCGTGTCTTCACTATCAGCGACTGGAATAAGTCGGGAATGAGGAGGTTAGGATGGGAGGCTGAAATGGAAGGGTTGCACTCGTTAGATTGGCGAAGGAGTCGGATGCATGAAGGAGGGGTATGTACTATATTATAGCACGCTGTGTTTAGCAGGTGCGGCTGTGCAGAGTTATATTAGCATTTTGGGGTACGGCGCCAGGATGGTCGGGGTTCACCATACGTGAGGTGAGAGTGAACAGAAATTGAACTTTCAGTCTTCGCCTGAGGACTGCTATCATCGCCGAAATAGATTTGTGTGATGGACACATTATGAGATGGACAAGCAAGGCAGGTTGATATGGACTGTCAAGCTCAACCCAAGCAACACCAAGACGGCGAAGCAACTCTCCCCGGGCCTGACGAGACCCCGCCCCCACTCCCAACGCCCTAACCGAGCCTCATCCCTGCATCTCTGAAAACCACGTGTTCAATTTAGCACCTGCTATTGGATCGAAATAGATTTGCTTGGCGAGGGAGTTTAATGAGGTTATTATGGTTACATCTTGCAGCGCGTGCAGAGTCAGCGACGCACGGAGGCCTTTCCTTATCCAAGACGAGGTATCGTCCGTCGGGTACACGGTGTGCCTTGCTTTAGCGCCGTCACCAGATAATATCTTGGAGTGTGATTTGACCAGTTAAGGCTTGCATTGGAGAAGGAGTTCGGAAGTGTAATCTTAAATATAGTGGTCTTTGCCGCGGCCTCTTATGCGACTACATCTTTTTTGACCTAGTATGTATGTAGTGTGCACATGTGCATAGAACAATTTGCAGCTACAGGGGATTACTAGGGACCCGGAGGCAATCCTACTAAATGTCGCCCCTGCTCAGGAGGAAAGGCAGGAAGTAATAAGACCGCATAAGTAGAGAGCCATGTCCTAGTCTAAGATTCAAGATCGCAGGTTCTCAAGCAAGCATTCCAGGTGCAAGAGATCTCCGAGTTCTTCTAGCATGATGCGGCTTACCCTCACCTCGGCCCTTTTTTGGGTATGCCTCGTCCTGCAATTCTTGCCTTCCTTTTCCAGGCACCTCTCCCATGCAGACCACCTCGTCCACAGAGCAACGACAACAGCCTCCCTTTCTCCATACACTTCCGCCGAAAATGCCACCACTGCCGAGATCACCGCAGCGCGGCAAATCGTCCGCGACGCCATCGCCGAGATGACGAAGCTCAATAAGGCGCGCCTCGCCAGACCGTCCCGGAACAACTATTGCTTGCAGCCTGGGACGAGGCTGGGGAAACGGGATGATACATCCACTCGTCCTCTACTGAATATCACTGCTCAGATTGCCCGTGCTGCAGCGCTGGTTGCGGAGGTCGATGCTGAGCCGGCGTCCAACGCCACGCGGAAGGCCAAGAGGGCCGGGTCATTTTGGATGGAGGGGTTAGAGCGAAAGGGGACGGTACCGTGGGGGAATGATGGGTCTTATAAGGTACAATTTACCTGTTTGACTGGCTAAGACATACTCGGATTGAGTTGGCTGATGTAGTCACCAGGTCTTCCGAAACGTAGTCAGTGACTATGGCGCCGATCCAACCGGCGTAACGGTATGTCCACTAAGTCTTACATCCATGGTCCGGCCGCACGGACTAACATCAAGCTGTGTAGGACTCCACGGCCGCCATCCAAAACGCCATCTCCGACGGTAAACGGTGCGGCGCCGCCTGCAACGGCGCCACAACTAAAAACGCCATCGTGTACTTCCCACCAGGCCGGTACCTCGTCTCCAGCTCGATCAGCATCTACTTTGGAACGCAAATCATCGGCGACGCGAACGATTGGCCGACAATTGTGGGCGCGGCGAGCTTTGTCGGGCTGGGCGTGCTCTCGACGGACGTCTACGTGGAGAATGGCGGCGACGGTCCCGATGGGAATGCGCTGGAGTGGTATATCAACACGGCGCGGTTCTATAGCCAGATTCGCAACCTAAGGATTGATGTTACGGCGACGGATCCCGGGGCGTATGTCGCGGCGCTGCATTATCAGGTTGCGCAGGCGACGACGATTGAGAATGTGGAGATTATTGCGGATTCAGCGACGGTGTGTTTTCCTATATTATAATCTTCCGATTACCAGGAAGAACGGAAAAAGGGAAGACTAAGGCTAATGACTTGCAGACTCAACAGGGCATGTACGCCGAGAACGGGAGCGGGGGGGTCATGTCCGACCTCACCTTCACAGGAGGGAACTTTGGAATCTGTGAGCCCTCCCCTTTCCTCCTCCTGCTACTACTCTAAGCAGCTAACTGTGAGTAGACGGCGGCAGCCAGCAATTCAGCGCCGCCCGGCTCACCTTTAACGGGTGCAACACGGCCGTCGAGGTCATCTGGGACTGGGGCTGGGTGTGGAAGAGCATCACGGTGAACAACGCGCAGGTCGGATTCCGGCTGTACAACGACGCCAACGGGCAGCTGCCGGGCTCGGTGACGATTGTCGATTCAACCTTCTCGGGCATCGGGCAGCACGCGATCGAGATGGCTGTCCCCGTTGATGTCGTTGACTCGGGGTTCACGGGCCTCGTGCTGGATAATGTGAATCTCGAGGGTGGGATTAAGGATCATTGGAGTGAGAATCAAATTCTTGCGGGGGGATACTATAAGAGCGTGAGTTTCTCTTCTTTTCCTTTCTTCGGTTCGCTGTCGCTGCTATTATCAGGGCTGACCTTGTCCATCTTAGTATATCATGGGTGCCACGTACAAAGACAACGAGCGCACATGGACCAACGGAGACATGGACTACAGGCGTGAAGGGACACTGCTGGGCTCCTCCATCTCCGGACTCGAAGCTGCACCATACTTTGAGCGCCCAAGAAACCAGTACACCGACAAGTCCGCCTCAGATTTCGTGCACCTGAAAGACGAAGGCGCAGCCGGCGACGGGTCAACCGACGACACTGCAGCCGTGCAGAACGCACTCAACAAATACGGCGACGGAAGCAAGATCATCTTTGTTGATGCTGGGACATACATCCTCACCGACACGGTGACCGTCCCCAAAGACGCCAAGCTCGTCGGCGAGACTTGGTCGCAGTTCGCTGCCAGCGGCGACAAGTTCTCAGACGCGAATAGCCCCGTCGTCATGCTCAAGATCGGCGACGAGGGCGACGTCGGCACCGTCGAGCTGCAGGACCTGATCATCACGAGCAAAGGCCCCACCCCGGGTGTCATCCTCATGGAGTGGAACGTCGCCGCGTCCAGCGCCGGATCCGCAGCGCTGTGGGACGTGCATGTGCGGCTCGGCGGCGCAACAGGGACAGAGCTCACACCTTCAGAGTGTCCCCCAACCACCAGCGGAACGAATCCATCCTCATGCCAGGTCGCCAGCATGCTGCTGCACGTAACCAAGAAGGCTTCCGGGTATTTCGACAACATGTGGCTCTGGGTTTCCGACCACATGATCGACGACCCTGCCCTAACAGACCCGCTGAACAACATGGAGCAGCTGTCCGTGTACAGCGCGCGCGGGATGCTGATCGAGAGCCAGAAGGCGACGTGGCTTTATGGAACAGCATCCGAGCACAGCGTCTTCTACCAGTACAACTTCAATGGCGCCCAGAACATCTTCACGACCTTCCTGCAGACCGAGTCGCCGTACTACCAGCCAACACCGAACCCCCCAGCGCCGTTCACAGGCGCCGTCGGCGTCTTCGACAGCGACCCGGATTACTCGTGTAACGGCGGAGACACAGATGGCTGCGACGAATCGTGGGCGGTTATCATGCGGAATTGCCAGAATATCCATGTTGCTGCCGCGGGGACGTACTCGTGGTTTAGCACGTACACACAGGACTGCATCGACGAACACAGCTGCCAGAAGGCGTTGTGGTACCTGGACAGCAACTACGATAACAATCGTCTGCAGCATATCATTGCGATCGGCGCGAAGAACATCATTGTTTCCCCTGATGGGCCCGCGATCAGCGCGGAGGATAACCTCGCTGTCTCCAGCCACCCGGCCTGGGCGCACATCTCGCTCTACGAAGTCCCGTCCATCGGGGCGGCGCCAGATCCAGGCGACGATGATGATGATGGTGACTGCTCAGAGGACGACTGGATGTACAGCGCCGAAGACGTCCCCCAGGGCGAGATCGAGATCTGGTCGAATGACGGGACGGCGCTGGACCACGCCGAGGACACCGATGGCCACCAGTACGTGACGATCGTCAACCTCACCCCGTACACGTTCGTCCATGTCGCCGGGCCCGAGCCGTATCAGTTCGCTACTTGGGGCTTTGGCGACATCCCCTCTGGCAAGGCCCGGAAGAATGAGGCCACGTATGACCTCGGGCTGAATGTGGGGAGTTTCGTTGATACGAATGGGTATGCGTACTATGAGCTCGAGGGCACGGACAAGACGTTCCAGGTCCATGTCACCACGCATATCCCGGACTCCTACGAGAGGCGCGTGGTCTTTGATCTCGGCGGAATGGGGATGGGTTGGAGAGAGCTTGGGTTCCCTGGGGAGAGAGTCAGTGTGGCGCTGGTCATCACCGGCAGCGAGGAGTACGGCTACGTCAACTCGCTCCAGATCAACGATGCGAACTGGATGCACAAGCTGTACGATGTCATTTACGACCGCCAGCTGCGGCATGTCGTCGTCCCGGGCTCGCACGACGCAGCGATGAGCAGCATCACCGTGGACTCTGGCTGGAACGGCCTGGGGACGGCGAGCAACACGGAGACGCAGAGCCTGGACCACTACAACCAGCTGGTCGTCGGCGTGCGCTACTTCGACATGCGCGTCGTGAGTGTCAGCGGCGGCGACTTCTGGGCCGCGCACGTCAACGACGAGACGTCCGCCAGCCCCATCGGGGCAACAGGCGTCTCCCTCGACGAGCTGATCGCCGGCGTCAACCGCTTCACAACCGACTACCCCGGCGAAGTGATCATCTGGTACATCCGGTACATGACGGACCTTGACAACGGCGACCTGACCGAGGACGCGCGCTACTGGGACTCGGCCAAGGCTGAGGAGTTCTACGACAAGCTGGAGGGTGTCAACAACCCGTGCACGGGACTCTCCAGCACCCCGCAGTTCGACCAGCAGCCCATGAGCACCTTCCTCGACGCCAACAACCGCGCCGGCTGCGTCCTCCTCCTCACAGACGGCCGCCTGCGCGACGGCATCGCCGTCGACCGTGTCTCTTCAGGAATCTACCACGGCCCGACCTACCTGCACCGCGACGACTATTGGGCCGAGGAGCAATACACGCAGCAGAACGCAGACAAGCAGCTCGCGCGGCTAAAGACGCACACGCGCGACGACGGGTCCAGCGACGACTACTTCATCATGCAGTGGCAGTGCACGCCGTCGGCGCTGGACGTCTCGATCCCGCCGCCAACGCTGCAGCTCATCGCGAACCAGGAGACGAACCCGGCGCTGTACCACTACGGGATGAACGCGATCTCGCCGGACTACTTCCCCACGGTGATTTTGCACGATGCCGTCGGCCTCTTCCATGTGAGTGACCTCGATGCCGAGGACTATAACCCGATGATGCAGACGCTGGTCATTGGGTTGAATCTGTACATGGTTAGTCAGAACTGCGCTGTTAGCAAGGGGAGGAATCCGCTTGTGGAACACGTTGCACATACGCGGTTGCTGCAGGTGGGAGATTCTGGCTTTACCACTTTCAGGGGCGTCATCTTTGCGAATGGGACTGTCCTGGATACGGCGCCGCCGGAGTTCTGTCGGACGTGCACGTATAATGATACTTCGAGCATCGATCATCCGCCCGGTGCTAATAGTACCAGTTTGCGGGCGAAGTCGCGCATTGATTGGTGATTGTCTGTTATTGGGATGTCGCGCATTGTACATACGCGAATATAGTGTGGACTCAGACCTGGGGAACATTGATGATAAAAGGATTTGGCGATTTGTAAATCCACTTGATCAACGCAACTACTACAAACACAGCCCTGGATATGAATCTCTGGAGAGAGTTGTTACGTGTATAAACAATGATTGGATCCATTAAAATATATAATAGGGTATTCTACCTTCAGGATTTATCCGCAAAGCTACTGATGGCGATGGGCTTATGGCCACAGTATAAAGAATCTTAGAATCATCGCCATGAAGAAGACTGGGTCTCCGCCATACGCCTTGCTCGCCAGCAAGTCACCTGGATTTGTATCGTCTCTTCGGTGTCTTCTTTGACTTCCACCTCCACCGGAACAGGCTCCCACATTGGCCCCGCATAGCTCGGCTGCTGGCCCGCGTCATGCTTCCACCTATACCACCACCGCATCCCCTCCGTGTCTGCCAGCGACCTAAACGCTGCCTGGCACACGTCGTAATCCGTCACCAGGGCAAAGTACGTCTCCAAGCACCTCGCCTGCTCAGCGCCCAACGTCATTCGACAAGAGTCATCCTCCGCCGACGTCCCAAAACCCACATCATAATCATCGAGGACGTCATAGAATCCTGATGCTTGTGATACACGGGCGAACTCGGACTGTGCCACGAAAGATATCGTTTGGTATTCTCTCGCACCTGAGCATTTTGGTTGATTACTATGCATGCCACGAGGCGCTCAGACTGTTCTGGGACATCTGGATGGAGGACCTCAAGGGGACGTTTGATGTCAAGCATAGGAGTTAACGAATGAACTGGCTGTTGATCGCATGGGTCTTCAATACGGGGGAATCTTCTCTGAAATCACGGCCTTCATTCCACTCACCAGCACGGATACCATTGAGTCGTGTGACTTGCCCATTCCGAAGGAGATAAGAGGTACGCACAATTCACCCCATCCCGGCCACGGATACTAATTGAGCAGATGCTTTGAACGAAGGACGGTACAAGTACATTGAAAGGGTGCTCGACATCCTACACGACTTTTACCAAGGCTTCATCGACGGGAATGTCAAATGTCTACGGGTCAGAAATGAAGGGTGGGACTATTGTGCGATGTACTGCTACCAAATTCTCGGAGCCCTCGTCACGCACATGAAGCGTATGGGTCTTTCCTCGCCACGACCACTGCGCCCATATCCTGGCATAAGGTCTAGTGGACTCAAATACGTCTGTTTCAAAAAGATGCGGTCAAACCTCAAGCTAATGGATGCGATCAATCTTTACCGTGGTTTGGCGAAGCGGCTTGATGGTATCCTGAACAATGTCCCCTTTCCGCCTAAGCTCAGGTTTAGGAGTATTGCCTTGCCCAGGTCTCCGAAACGAGCTGATCCTGGGGCGGAGAACAGAGCGATCCTAGACGTAGGGCGTTCTATACCATCCGGGCCGCGCCGGGTGGTTGCAACAAGCTACACTTCGCGGTTTCTACCACGATTCTTCCTGACAAGACGATCAAACGCCCGGATTTGCATCGGCGGCTGGTATTGTGCCGACATCTATTATCTATCATGGAATAATCGATCGATGCCTACAGAAGGCCCCTGCTTCCGCGTGTCCAGCGATACGTGGATAGCACCTTCCTCGTCAGTATCCGAGACTCAGACCCCTGATCCCGCGCACTGCGTAGCGTTGAACGAAGCGCTCGACAGAAGTTTCTCTATTGTCTGTTAGCCCAGTCGTCGCTTGCACCATCATACCTCCAGATCCTTACCTGGAACGCCGTGTCGAACGTCATCGCGGACACCTCTTGTGCTCGAATGACCACCTCGCAAGTCTCTTCGACCGATGGGTTCAGTCCAGTCTGCGCCATCCGGTCGGCCAGGACAAGAAAGGTCAGATTCCCATGGAAGAGGTATGTACGAAAGAGAAACGGCATGAATGACAGATCGCTATCCATCTCTAGTATCCGACCGAGGATTTCCCCGGCTGCCATTGCGTTCGATGTGCACGCGAAGAACTCGGGAGACGCAATCCAACCACTGTTATTGTCCAGGAGCGAGACTGCGTCCCATTTACCGTATAGAAGGATGTGCAACACGCGGATGACATACTGGCAGTATGCTATTACGACCTCGGTTCGGTCGTTGTTCGCGCGTGCTGGCTGTGATGGCTCGCTGGAATCGCCCAAGGACGGAGGAGATGTGGAAAGTGACATCTTGGATGAAATCGAGCATTGGGGAGGTTCCTGGACAAGGCGCAGAATCTCAAGGTTATATTCGCAATTGGCGAGCGCGGCCTCGATTGAACTGACGATTTGCGGCTCCTCAAAACTTCCAAACCGGGGATGTTGCACGCGTGAACGAAGCTCGAGGATGTCGCCCAGTGCCACCGTCAAGGGAAGGAAGTACTCAAAAAACCCTGTGCCTGATATGTGCGTCGACGGTCCACAAAGCCGAGGAGGTACGCTTTCTATTGGAATGATGTCCAGGTTTTGCCAGACCCATTCGGGCAGTGGGTTCAGGACTTGACAGTCCGAGTCGTGAATCCGCAGTGGCTCGTTGAAGCAGAGCGCCAGGTGTCGATCCAACGTGTACACTAGCCAAAATGCCCTCCGACGTTCTTCGTGCTCCTCTCGCACTCCTAGCAGCATCTGCTGCGATGAAGGCGTGTCTTCCGTAATTCGTGCTTCCGAATTAAACCCCAGCTTCTTCACCAGCAGAACGGCCTTGTTCCACCATTTCAGGCATTCCTCCTTAAATTCGCTTCTTGATATAACGCATGTTAAGAGCACAAAGCATATTACGTCATCCACGTTCGGCTCTGGCTTCTCGGTATACGCGCACAAGGGATCCTGACCCTCGGACGTCGGATGGATCGAGATATCGTCATCTATTACCCAGCCGCCTGTCAGCGTCAGCCCACATTATAAGGTGTGGCTAGTGCTGAGCCATGGTAATCTTCCTCCAGCCAGAATCTCCGACTCACCTGCAACTCGATGCCAGTTGTCACCATCCCTGTTCTTCAGAAGCTGCATAGAAAGAAAGTATAATCGTTGTGATGCCCTAGTCCGGGCCGAGGTATCTCGAAAGGCTACAATGTCTGCAGTGTGAGACACGCACCATAGGATGATAGCTAGGAGTGCCGGCGATGTTTGTCGTGGATTTGAAGGACAAAGGAGCGATTTTCGCCGAATGACTGGTGTCAAAACATATGGGCAGCTGGTCATTGTCCCGGTCCCATCATCATTGGCGAAGAATATATCGAGAAGGTCACACGCATCCTGAGGGGTCAGTGTACCTTTCAACAACGGCAGGATAGGGTTCAGGCATGGATATCGAAATGTCGTTGCGTCAGCGACGCAGCTTGTAGCCAAGGGAGATAAGTCAATTGGGAAGCGTCCGTAGTTCAGGATGCTCGAACACTCAGATGACGACTGATCCCCAAATGGGATTTGACTGCAGGTCGTGAATGGATTGAAGTCACTAAAGCTGGAGAAGAGGTCTGGGACTGTGCTTATCGGGCTCGGCAGCTCTGCCTTCTGGCCGAGCCACCGCTCGACGTCTGAGTCGGGCGCTGAGAGGATTGCGGACGGGGCACCAATATCAGCACTATCCCCCGAAATCGTCGACTCGCGCGAGGAAAAGGCTCCGGCTCGGTGTCCAAAGTCGTCACATCGCGGGACTCGAGCTGAGGCCTGACGGCTAGACTTCGGTTTCGGGCCCCGCTTTCTCGCTGTCCGCTGGTACTGGCATGGATAGTTCAATTCTGTGAGCGTCAGAGGGTGTGTTTCGCAATGGCCTCGAGCGATGGGAAGACGTACTTGCGCATCGTCCACTATTTGGTTGCGGCCAGGTGTCAGCGGTCATCCGTTGTGCGTGCTTCTCCGTACCAAGTGGCATACCATGGTGTTTCCCCACTGCAACGCGTGCGGGATGTGTTGCACCGATCACAGGCGCGGCGAACCCTGTCAGGCCTATTGCAGGAGGACAGGAGTGTTGGATCGACTTTCAGCGGACTCGACATGGCGCCAGTGAAGAGCGAAGTGTATCGAGTAGAGTGTCACCAGCTCGAATGTGTTGGTGCATGGAGTATCTGGTACGGTATGGACTTAATATACGCCAACGGCTTGACGAGCAACGGCTCTGGTACAGGCGACCCCATCTCCAACTCAGTGAAATATCCCTCAACCACCCCAACTTTGGAGCCAGCGCTATGCGCCCACACGAACTAACTCCTCCCAAAGTCAATCGCGGCCACTAGTCAGGGTTGATAAACACCCTTGCAACCAATTTAGGCCAACTTCCGTATCCCCATATTAAACGGCTTCGCTTCTCAATCAGCATGACGAAACCCGCCACAAATCCGGGGAACTCTAGCGATCGGGGTCGCCGCGTGGGCGCATGGAGAAGAACTTCATCGCTTGCCACTCTCCCGACCTTTGCGTTGAGCGTGCAGCAGGAATGGCTGCTCTAGCGTCCATCACACCAGCAGGACGCGTAAGACAGGGCCAATCGGTAGCGAGAAATGGACTAGCTGGCGCCGAGACCAATCGTCCGAGGACCGGGTGCAAAGCTCCGATGGCTTGACACGGACCTTGCGGGGTAGTTGAGTGGCTTTTCCTCGTCAATAGTCTGCATGCTAGTGCCCGTTATCGAAGCCCTCTGGAAATCCACCCTGGCCCCATTCGGTCTCTTTCCTCCCGAGACGGCGTCTCAACCTTCCATCTCGCCTGCGAGAGACCTGGCATCGTTAGCCATCGGCAATTGAAGAGCCATTGCCGAGGTGAGATACTGGTGATATTGTAATCGCGCAGCTTGAGACCGATCGTGGCGAATCAAGGATAGGCGATATGACTAATGATGTTATTAAGTGTTGGATGGTTTGCATCTTTTGGCCCCTGACTCCGAGTCCCTGAGGAGTCAGGTCCACGTAAGGCTGGCACCTCGTGGAGCAGATGTAAGGGACATGCTAAAAATTAGTTTGGAGGCCGTCCATGACCCGTTCGTGTCGGCCACGTCACCCTTGCGGCCCACCTCCTTCTCCAAAGATATGCTCGAAGCTGAGTGGTGGAAAATGCACCCCCGCCGCTCGCTCCATTATTGCAAGACTTTCGATCCCTTGACCCTTTCTTTTCCAAGACTCGAGGCAGTTCCCTTAGGGCCTGGAAGCGCTTGCAAGGCTTGCACATCCACTGGCCCGAGTTCAATTCGTCAGAAAATCTACGGCCGCATCAGATACCGAGAGTAGCGCGATCCTGAGTTTCTCGTCGATAAGATCGTGTCTCCCGATCTGCACTTCAGCGTGTGATGATTCGGTGGAACGTGCATCTACTGCAAGCTTCTCAGACTTTGCACAGTTCCACTCGGCCATCGGGAGAAAGGAACGTCGAGTGTGGCACAACCGAGACAGGGATCAGAGCTTGGTCACCGATTGCCTCAAGGGAGAGTCAGCATACCTATTTGCCCTCCCGCGTAATTGTCGGGTGGGTTTACACCGAACCCTGAATCAGAAGGGTCTACAGTTCGACATGAAAACCTGCAGAGGTGGAGGATACGATGGAGTAAGGGGGTCGCCATACGTGGGGTGCATACGTCTGTCATGAATCGCGAAATCTCAGAATGCAAGGGGAGTTCGAAGTTCCCCTGCGTCATCGACTTATGAATGTCGGCACGCTCGTGGAATCGGCAAATACATGGTTTAGTTCGTGCCCCGGAGAGCTCTGTACGGCGTAGCCCACTGTCTCAGTCTCAGCCTAGTGAGGCCTTCTAGTAGGTAGGGCGAGAGAAACAATTCAAGGTTCAAGCCCACCTACTGTTTAGCACTGAGGAGCGACTATATTGCGCGACCTGAACCGTACTCGATTGCGCAATCCGAAGACAGTTGTCCGGAGCCGACTATCGGCTGTTCCTCGCAGTATACGCATCGCTTTTTGCTTGACGCATATAGTATTGTTGTCGACTTGGAATTGGCAGATCCTGACCGGACTTCGCACAGCAGTTCGAAGTGGGTGTAATACCACCGTTTCGTGTCTAGAAGATCACAACATTGACTTCTCCTGAGGATTTACCGGTTACGTGCCATTAGCCCAACAATAGCCGCGAGACCGGATGTGAGCTGGTGCCTATCCAGAATGGAGGACCCCCGATAGTTCAGGGGTCTTCTCAAACTTCGAGTTCATCTGAAATGTCTCGCGACAATGAGTTGGGCTTCCTACTCGGTGTTACAGCATGTCGCGTGGACGTTGGTCCACGAGGCTCAGGACGGGAGTTCGCATGTTAGAACGACAAGTGTAAACTCGTGCTTCTACTTTCTTCCTCGCAGCCAGCTATTACATCCGCAGAAACAATGTTGCCCAATCCCGTCCGTAATTCCGCTCACAAGAGACGAGCTAGGCTTTAGAATGTGCAGACTCCAACTTAAGGCACACGGTTTCAGCCTCCTTCCCTGTCACCCCAGACGAGCACTATCTTCACTGGTGGCACTGCTCGGGTTGACAAGACCCAATACAGGCATAGCGATTTGCTCAAGATGTTTCGCTAAGTGCACAATGAGATTTTTCCAATTAGCGGAGATGTTGCCACAAAACCGGCATGGTTCCTCCGAAGGCTTTCTAGTCGTCTCACGGTGACCACGTTCAACGGCTTCCCATAATTCTGCCTTTTCTCGTGTGCCAGAAACGTCATTTGAGCCGTTGCGACCCGATTTCATCATCTTTGGCTCTGGCATTCTATGCTCCCGTACAAGATGCTGGATGTAATTTTCCTTTCGATAACATATGTGCCTGCAATCCACTCTCTCGCACTCCCACCACTCAAGCTTTCTATGCCGCTCACTCTCATGCCGAACCCAGTCTGCCTTTCTCTTGAATGATTTGTAATCTTGGCACTCCGGAAAACTGCAGGTATATGGTTGCAGGTCCTCAATGATATGCTTAGTCCAGTCTCCTGGTTTCTGGACGTTTTTGACCTTAAAGCAGAATTGGCACTCAAGCTTGGCCGGTAATCTTCGGACATTAGGCGGGAGTGGAATTTCCGGTGGGAATTGTCCTGCATCAAGAGTAAGACCAGCGAGTTGAGAGGGGTCTGCGATATCGGCATCGTCTGTCTCAGCGCCTGGGTCGATGATCCTAAGCGGAAGCTGTATCGAGCGACCACCCTGTGCTAGACAAAAACTCTCAGATCCGCATGTCCGTTGAGCGGCAACGTTAGCATGCATGTGTTGCGCGTTAAGCAGTCTCGTATACCGGCGAACTTGCTCGATAGCGAAACGGTCTACCAGTGCTGGGGCAAGGCGTGGATTGAGCTGACGGATCTGGTCTGTAAACCCGTCCAAGGTCGGCACAGGTAGCTTGGTGAGGATTGATATCACATCAGTCACAAGCTGATTTGCTGCGTCTGAGCCATTGGCTACTCGACGGTCCCCTAATTCCTGGCCAGGCTCGTCATAACCCTCAGCGCTGTCCACAGTTTGCGGGACTGTTGTGTTGGAGTAGCTTGAAAGGTCGTCCGAATCCTCAGAGTCCCCGTCATCGCCAAAGGCAGGCAATGATTTCAAAGCAAGATACACGAGGTGGCTTGCAATATGACTCTCTAAGCGGCCAGTCGGTTCCGCTATTCCGCATAGGGGACAAGACTCAAAGACGGGCCTCGAGGACTGAGACTGTCTCTCCACAAGGAGACGAAGCTGAGCTTTTGGTAGTTTGTGACTTATCGTCATATGGCTTTCATACTTGGACTGGGTTTTGAACACCAGGGGTCCGTGAGATCTGGCTGAACACCGATAATGGTTTCTGTGGCGGCGCATATGCTCTAGCCATGAATGACTGCGGCTGTATAGCGCGTCGGGGGCATCACAGTCCTCGAAAAGGCATATATAAGGATCGATGTCATGCTTTATATGTATCCTACAGAAACGTTAACTCAGTCGCCAAACGAAGCACTGACAAAACCTACGCCCACTTGTTCCTATCCATAGCCGTGGCGCTAGAAATGATGCAGCAACAATAAGGACAAGTCACGTCCATACTACCAGCCTCACAGGACATTCGATCGTTATCGATAATCATAGATGTTTTGGCCGTGAGCTCCTTTATGCTTCCGATGAGCTCTTCGAGGGCTTCAGGCTCCAGTGGTAGATGCTGCTTATACAGATCGTAGTTGGGAAGGGAGTCAAGCTCTTGGTCTAGATTAGCGAGATGACGGCTTTTCATATCTTCTAGCCTCTGGATCAGAGGCTTTTTCGGCGCGGCAGGGAAAGTGAACGTATGATCGTTAGACAGCTGGATAGTGGTCGCCTGGCTTCCGACAGATGGGGCCGCAGAAACTTCCTTCCAATGTCCCATGTCAAGTGTTGTTGCCGTGATTGCCTGAGATTTGGCAACACTCTGTGCAGGGGACGATGCTCTTAGATCTTTGGGTTCAGCAACACCAGAGCCAGTCTCAGGATGTCTTTGAGCTTCAAGTTGGGACTTCGTATGAGTCGGCTGCGTAATCCGGGTTTCGGATGTGGCTCCCCTCAACGGAGATTGTGCGTAGCGTGAATGGCGGTAGAGGATCCTCTTTCGACGCAGCAGCATTGCGTCGGCAAGTCGTTCTTGGATGGATTGCGAACAGTGTGGAAAGCTGTGCCGGATCATGGCCAGGGCAAACAGGTCTCGAAACCTTGGACCATAGTCGTCTCCTTGCTCGTCTCGCAGAACGAATGATGTTGCTGCCTTGACATTATGCCTTTTACTGCTTGCTCTCCGGATCATGTTGGAAATCTGGTGTAACAGACTAATTTGCTCCGCGATCTAGCCCACAGCAGAGTCAAAGCTCGGGGCCGGTGGTACGGGGCTTTCCGTGCCCTCCAACGGACGCGCACCATCGATGCCTATGATAGAGAGGTGGGTCAGCGGATATAAGCTTGTCGGCGAGTTGGATTAGCAGACATTTTTGAATGCTTTCATCCAGCGTTCTCAATAGACCCATCACCAGTCGCTGGACGTCTTCAGCCTCACGAAGGCGATAGTCAAGAGATGCGCGAGCGGGAGCAAAAAGTCCATTGTTTGCAGCCCAGATCGAGAAGCGGCCGAGCTGATCCTCGATTGCGGCCCGCGACTGCGGGGAAACACAAACAAAGCGTGCCAGACATTGATCAAACGAAAGTTGACACAGCCGCGCTCGATCGCTGAGGGTTGCCTGCTGAAAATTGCCATCCATCCTTAGTGGAGAGGAGAGTGAGAAACAACCCCGAGTTGAGAGTGTGCGTTGATGACAAGAAGCAATGTGCTGCCCAGTGATCATTGTTGCTCTTGCCCAAGGCTGCGCGCCAAGAAGCGACATTGCCAGACTAGCGGCCAACGTGACCCCGCACTCGATGAGGTTGGAGTGCGGATCTCTTCCTCACCATCCACTCTGGCAATCTTTCTGTCACAGACTATCAAGCGTCTCTTGCCCTGCCGTCACCTTTTGAAGCTGGCCTCTTAACAAGGCCGACATGCAGACGGTCTTGATCAATCCCCCACCGAAAGAATGCGCGAAAGGCCCGGGATTGATTCAGGCATCAGCCGGGGAAGGTTCATCATCACGGGTGAGAAAACAGTCTCGCCGCCTGCTTAGGAGTTATACTTACTATATTCGTCGGAGTCTCAACAGTGTGTCGAGCTCTTGTTGAATCTCCTACCTATCCTCCGAGAAATCGTCGATTCCCTCGAGCGCACCGAATCCTGCCATAGCCTTCGCCTGTTCTATCTTCAGCTAAACGCAAATAGTCTGCTCTTGCGTGATTATATCCTACCTCGCTATACAGTCGACCCCACAACTGATCTCGACCATCTGGCCCGCCCTTTGCTAAATAAACTTTTTCTTGCGTGCGATGCCCGGTTATCGGTCTGGATGAGGTGTCGGTTCCATCCTCGGCGTTATTTCCACAATTGGCCGCCTTGCAACTCTACTGGAATATAACGGCCTCACAGGGGGGAAGGCTGGCGCGCGTGAAAGAATGTCTGGACTTTAGCTGCCAGGAGAGACGGGACGAACTGATTCTACTCCTACGAGGCTGTGTGGCTACCCTCCGTTCACATCGCCCAGACGGATCTACCGGTGAAGCAGAAGAACAATCTCAACAACACCGGAGGGGAAGACGAAAACCATCAACTTCCGTTTCGAACGCTGCGACTTGTCTTTGGCAAGCGCTAGTCGCCTGTTCGAGGACTTGCAGTTCCATTCACGACCACAATTACGCGGCGAGGCTTCGATTAGCAACACACAATAAACGCCGCAACGAAGGTTATGCGTTTGAAACCTTTGTTACGCTGAGCCTAGTGTCAAACTCGTGGCAAGAGGCATCAATACAGGTCATCCTTTCTGATTCCTCACCGAGGCCGCAGCCGACCGTCAGGTTTGCCCTACCGGACGATGATGGTGCTAGCAGGAAATCGCAAGCACCTCGATCTAGACTCGCGATCAAGCGATTATGTGAGCAGATATCCAAGGTGAGGCAGAATTTCTCGATGCGCATGAACCTGACCGTGGAGGAAGGTAGACTCTGGAAGGAGAAATCTTCGAGGAGCGACAGGGCCATCAGCCGCGCCGAGGCCCCCCTCTCCCTGGAAGATATTATCAGAGATTGCCCCTCTCATTTGACGGAGAAGATCAAGCGCGTGCTAGCAGTACTAATTGCGTATTCGATATTCCACCTCCGTGGCACCCAGTGGCTACGCGCCGACCACTTCACAGCCACAAATATCTTGTTCTTTAGAACAAATAATGTCCTCCCCCTAATGCCATATATCCAATTAGAATTGCGAGACGTCGATACTGTTGATGGCGATCGAGTATCTAATCTCGTGGGGCCAGAACTGGAGATGGACCCCGACGACCTTCCATTGCACCCATACCCAGAGCTTATCATGTTATCTATCATCCTGATGGAGCTCTACATGAAACGACCGATTAAAGATCTGGCCGAGCAAGGCGGTATGGAACTAGAAGACTGGAATACGCTCGACAGCAATACAAGATATGCGGTCGCTGCTACGGTGTTTGAGTGCTACAAGACAGAGTTCCCAGACAAGTACCGCGGATCGATCGATAAATGCTTAGACCCAAATATTGGTCTCGATCATAATGACAACGAGCTGGACGACCAGGGCCTCAGATTTACAATTTATGAGAATATCATTCGACCCTTGCAGGACGAGCTGGACAGTGGATTTGGCAACATTGTTTCAGTAGAAGCTCTAGACGAGGCAGCGCAATATATGGACCTTAACGCCTGGGGCCAAATGTACAAGACTCGATCGGCTCCCACTCTGGCTGAGCATCATGCTATAAATACCCAGCGTACCCCTGTGAAAAGACCGTACAGTGAGCTGGGCGAAGCAAACCACACTCCGCGTCCTTTACGGCCGGAAACATCATCAGGTTCGTCATATCGGGCTTATCTTGATCTCTCGAAGCACGAAAGCTATACTGTGGGATGGATATGTGCGTTGCCCAAGGAAATGGCAGCTTCACAGGCCATGCTGGACGAAATTCATCCGCCGTTGCCGCAGGATACAAGTGATCCGAATAGTTACACTCTAGGGCGCATAGGAATCCACTACGTGGTCATGGCTTGTCTTCCGGCTGGTGTTACAGGCACTGTGGCTGCCTCCCGAGTTGGACAACAGATGCGATTGACATTTAAAGGTATTCGGTTCGGGCTCATGGTTGGCATTGGCGGCGGAGTCCCCGGCTCCAAGGATATTCGACTTGGAGATGTTGTCGTGGGTGAGCCTGGTGATACGTTCGGGGGTGTCATTCAGTATGATTTCGGAAAGACTGTGCAGGATTCCAAGTTCCGCCGAACTGGGTCATTAAATCGGCCTCCGGATGTCCTGCTGACCGCCGTTTCTCGATTGCGAGCAAACCACTATCATACTCGGCCCTTGCTGAACGACTACCTCCAAACAATGATCGAGCGGTTCCCTGAGTCCAGGTCCGAATTCGCACACCCGGGTACAAAAAGCGATCTGCTTTTCAACTGTGAGTACGACCATGAGACAAACAATCCCGATGGTTCTTGTGAGAAATGCAGTACGGATGAACTCGTCGTCCGAGATGCACGCAATTCGGCGTCGCCGCAGATTCATTATGGTCTGATCGCATCTGGAAACCAGGTAATGAAGCATGGACTTACTCGGGACCGCCTAAGGAAGGACCTTAATGTTCTCTGTTTTGAAATGGAAGCTGCGGGGCTAATGGATATATTTCCCTGTCTCGTGATTCGCGGCATTTGCGACTACGCAGACTCCCACAAGAGCAAGATCTGGCAGGGGTACGCCGCCGCAGTGGCCGCGGCCTATGCAAAGGAACTTCTTGGTGTTGTTTCCAGCGGGTAGGGTAATCTAGATTCTTGGTTTAACACTTTAGGCTAGCTTCGTCGTCATGAATTTGAGTCGCCTACTCACCATAAATATTTGAGTGGCACAACTCCTCCTGCTTGGAGCAAGAAGGCTCGCTCCAGCTTCCTTGACCGCTATGACTTGTCAGTCTGCTTCGCGCAATGGCCGAGGTCAACGCGAGTGTCCAAAAGTGCTGATTGGCTACGTCTATGCGGCACTTTCTCAAGGACGATCGGCGCGCCAACAACCCAAGACACGAAGCTTTGTGGGGTAATAACAACCCAAATATTCGACCGATTTAATACCGAGATGAAGCATCAGCACAACTGCCGGTTCTGTGACTCCATGATACCGCCTGCAAGATCTTGCCAACTACTTGGTTCAACTCCGAGCCGAGGAACGCGAGATGCTCCAATCTCTGCTATTCGACGAACGGTTTAAGGGCAATGCGTCACAAGGGCTTGCCTGATCGCTTAAGATCTCTCCACGATCCGTTTCGGAATCCGTTCGGTACATTGGATTGTCTGCTTTCTCTTCAACACCATGGCTCTCTTTTCTCTTGCCTTGGTGGCCGTTCTCGGACAAGTCACTGCACTTAGCCCTCGCATGAGTTCATTGTCGTCCGTTAGCGACACGGCATGGCAATCTCTCAACTCGAGCGTCGGTGGCCGTCTGTATTATGGCGAGCCTTTGCTGGCACCGTGCTATACCCGATACAATGGCCATTTCCAGAGACCAGACGCTCAAGAGTGTTCCATCCTGCAGAATAACAGGACCAATGGGCCTTTCGTTTCAGATCACTTCGGCGGATACCAGAATGTCTGACGCCACAACTAGCTATGACTTCTCCATTTAGCTAACATGAATTTAGGTCAACTGGGCCGCGTGCCAGTCCAGCGGAGAGAGTTGCGCTTTTGGATCACTAAGCCCGGATCTCGTCACGCCGGTAACCAAGGAGTGCAAGCAAGGGAGTGTTTCGCCCAAATATGTGGATGCTCGCAGCGTTGAGGATGTTCAAAAGACATTGCTCTTCGCTCAGGAAAATAACCTTCCCGTGGTGATCAAGAACACTGGACACGACTATACCGGTCGGAGCTCCGGTCCGGACTCACTGGGCCTGTGGTGTGCTTGTTGATCTCCTGTCAATTTGCGTTTGATTCCACTAACTGATCTCAGGACGCACCATATTCAACCGTCAATAACACTCCAGAAAGGGTTCATCCCACAGGGTTGCTCTGACTCTGTTGGCGATGTGATCACCTTTGGTGCTGGTCAACAGTTTGCAGGGATTTACAAATTCGCCCACGAGCACAACTACCGTGTAGTGGGTGGCAGCTCTAGTACTGTTAATGCGGCTGGTGGTTGGATCACCGGAGGTGGACACAGTCTCCTCTCCAACGAGCTTGGTAAGCATATCATCACTATTATCTGGTATAGCCTGCTAATCCTTTCAAGGACTGGGTGTGGATAATGTCCAGCAGCTAAAGGCTGTCCTGCCAAACGGTACCTACATTACAGCCAACCGGTGCCAGAACCAAGACATCTTTTTCGCCTTGCGAGGTGGAGGTGGCGGTACCTTTGGTGTGATTACTGAAATGAGCACGTTTGCTCATCCTGAAAAGCCCATGGTGTCTATATCAGTCTTCAGCTTTAGCCCAAACAGCGCCAAGGACTTTATCTCCATCATTGTCGCCAATGCCGATCGGTGGGCGTCAGAGGGCTGGGGTGGTTACATCCAGCCTGGTCTGATCGGTAAGGGCGTCTCGAGCTTCTTCATGGCAACCTCATTACTCAACCAGTCTGCTGCGGAGATTTCCATGAAGCCCATGACCGACTTTGCGCATCGCCAGGGCACACTCGCTATAGCCAACATAACCTCGACCAGCACATACTTTGAGATCATGAATGCACTCGTGGGCACTGGAGCAGCGGAGTCCTTGGGCAGCGGCGGCGCAACGGCCATGTCCTCGCGCATCATACCGCAGAAGTACTTCCAAGGCGCAGCCAACCAGCAAAAGCTTTCCAGCATCCTTGTTGATATCCTGACGGCCGCCCAAGAGGACAGTGGCTTGCTTCCTGCGGTCGCTCCGCTCTTTATTTGCGTCACAGCACCAACAACCTACTCGCAGAGCCTTCCCGCATCAGATCAACCGAATGGCCCAGGTGCATCATCGGTCACTCCCGCGTGGCGCACCGGACTTTGGCACGCCATTCACCTGCGCTCATTTTCACCCTCGAAAACCCGAGACCCAGATACAGTCCGGGAGATCTTCCAAGCCGCGCATAACACTATGAATCCGCTACGCGAGTTTACTCCCGATGGAGGCGCATACCAGAACGAGGCGGATGCGTTTGAGACGGACCCTATAGGGTCATTCTGGGGTGAGGAGAACTATGCGCGGCTGCTGAGAATCAAGCAGGAGGTTGATCCGAAGAACCTGCTCAGCGTGCATAATGGGGTTGGCTGGGAAAGGGAAGATGAGCGGTTCCGGTGTTATCCTGATGTTAGTGTGTGATGGCCGCTCGCAGATGCAGCTAATCGCAAAACTACAATGTACCGAGTAGTCCAAATCTTCTTGGCAGGAAGCGCGAGGCAGGCGAGTGGACCATCTGGACATCTATTCCGTACATCCTACTCCCCACAAACAATTGTGCCGCTTGACCACCAAGCGGTAGGATCATTTATCCATACAGTGTAGACCCTTTTTGTCTGAAACAATCGAAGCATCGCAATCTATCTACCGGCTAAACTAGCATTTAGTTCTGCCACGTATTGTTAGTCAAAGGAAACTAGCGGCAGTCATGCATTAGTTCCAACCTGAGTCACAGCCCCATTCCCGTGCGGCTGAGAAATGTCTAAAACCCCTCCAACATCCGAGAACAACCCAGGTCTTCAAAAGCCTCCCGAGTCCCAACCCCCTCCACCCTCCGTAGTCCAATTCCATCACCGCCCCAAAATGCACTCCATGTCAACCCTCGGTCCAGCCGACCTCACCCCAACAATAAACCCCGGCATCCGCCGCATCGGCTTCGCTGAGGACTTCGCCCAGTTCACCGTCGCGCACCTCCTCGTGCACGGATGGGGCTTAAAGCGCGACAGCCCCGAATGCACCGACCCGCCCACCGGCGACTTCGCCGCCTGGTCGCAAGGAATCAACACGCTTTCAGTCGCGGAGCGCGAGGCGCTTCCGCGCGACGAGGATCAGGGGACGGTGCATACGCCCTGGCGCGACCAGGTTTATTATATGTGGAATCATGTGTTCTATGATGTGGGGAATTGGGTTAGTGGTAATTATGGGACGGGGAGGTTTAATCCGCCGGGGATCAATGTCTTTGAGATTCGATTTCCTGCGCTGCATGAGGGTGGCAATGGAGGTGGCGATGCTGAGCAAAAGAAGTCGGGGACACTCCCCGCTACAACAAAAGTCTGGCCCGAGTCCGAAACACTCCTTGCAGCAGCATATCTCGCCCCTGGTATCTCGCTCCGTGTCGAAACGCTTGAGCCTGGACAGTCCGAGGACGAAGAGACGTTGCATCCGGGGGACTTTACGCATGGTGATCGGTATACCGTTTGGTACGTGAAGCAGGGGCTGCAGTTGCGGTTTTTCGTGGACGGAACTTGGGAGGAGGAGAGTGTGGGCGGGTTGGCGGCGGTTATGGTTTGGGGGGCGATGCTTGGGGAACGGATTGTTTATGAGGAGAGTGAGGATGATGAGGATGACGCAGAGGATGTTGGGCACAACGAGAGTGGAGAGACAAACAAAGGTGAAGAGGCAACGTAGATAGAACAGTGTGCGGCGGTGGTCAAACTCTGGTTGAATTCATATCCACTGAAACTCCATACTCGCATCAATCACCTGCCCGAAATTCGAGATCCAGTTCGCCTCCTGACTCCCGTCCAATCTTCCTGGCCGAGTACAGCCATCCATCTGCAAAAGTCGCGATAACTCTGCATTCGACGCCGCGTCCCACAGGTGCCGGCTATCCGGGGCAGGTAGTTGTAGATCGGAGAGGCGAAACACTGGACCGTCTTCCTCGCTTTGATTCTCATCACGATTGGAGTGACCGCCGCATAGTCGAGACACCTTGTACAGTGCGAGGCCTAAGCGTTTTATTTCTTCGACGCCGACCCATATGCAGGTAATGTCGTTGACGCCTAGGTATCGCTCTAGCATTCGGGGGTAGTAGAAGATGTTGTTCCGGAGACAAGTACCTGTGAGCGCGGACAGGATGGTGCGATCCGACGGGGAGATGGACAGCGTTAGGTCCAAAGATTCAATCCTCGCCTTCGACGAGATTAAGGAGAATATGAGGTAGATGAGAATGCCCTGGTATGTAGCAATTGGCCACCGCGAGGCTGGAGCATTTCCGTCTTCTTCTTGCTCTCGCTCATCTGGGAAAGTTCTGTCCCACCTAGACTGCCAGAATAGTCAGCGTAAGTGGCCAATGACCGAGGTATCTCTTGAACTCACCCTTTGTTCCAGAATAGAAGATCCCAATTTCGAATGCAGCTCAATCGCCGCTTCGCGCCCGGATACGGTCCCGCTAACCCACAACCCAACCATGATCAGTGCCTGAACGAGGAACGGCGGTTCATGGGCTATGTCAAAGGTATGCCGATGCAGAATAGGCCAGTGGGTGTGAAAGTGTGAGAAGTAAAGGTGTACATAGTGCTGGATCTTCTCGGTGCTACTCGTCGGTGCGTTATCGGGTTCAATGTCCATATCTCCGTCGTTGTCCTCTTGCTCTGGTTGCTGATCTTCAGGATAGTGAGAAGGGTGCGATGCGGTACTTGATGGCTGCGCAAATATACATTCCCGGTTCTTCGCCTGACATTGCTCGCACGGTACACCGCCTCGACATCGTACCTTCGCAACGCGACACCCCTCACAGGCCTGTACCGCCCGAACCGACTCGAGCTCGGCATCTGCGTGGTCGTGCCGGACATGGCGGCGTAGTGTATCGCTACAGATCGTTAGAATCCTATCGCACATTCTCGAGTAAAGGAAGAGCGCAAGAGATACCCTCGACGAAACGTTTTCCCACAGAACGGACACGCAGAGACGACTCCGCCGCGATGCTGGGCCTCGTGGCGATTGAGATGCTCTCTGCGCTGGTAGCTCGAGGTGCAGCCCGGGTATTGGCAAGGGAATGGTTTTGACGATGAGGAGAACATGTCTGATTGTTTGATAGAGATTTTGACGGAATTTGACCGGTCTTTCTTGTTTCTCGAGATGTATTGGGGAAGGAATCATCCCACCGGAAGAGAAGGTGTCGTCACGGCATCCCACCGAAGAGGATCGAGCCAATCACAGTGCGCCTACTAGAGTGATTCGCCACGACGTCCCTCAAGTCGTCTATGCAGGAAAGCCTTCACGATGAACACCAAGGAGTCGCCTGTGTAGGATTCTCTGAGCACCTCATGCCCGTCCAGTGCCAAGATACTTGCAATTGAATTGCTGTGTGGGTGGCTCCAACCATAATTCCGAAATGATTGCATAGTACTACCCGAGGCCTTTCCCTGCCATTCGCACAACGTGCAAGTAGAACCCACTATTAGAGAAACTACATGTCCTCTAGCCTGCAGCCTATGTACAAGGAGCTCCTTCCTCCTTCAGTTACTCAGAAAGTATGAAAGAGCGACCTACCACAGGCGCGTAGGTTCCCGGGTAGGGTTGGCTCGGGTTAACGGGATCCCACCGGAATCCCACGAACATCACCCCGAGGTTCGCCACGCTTACATACAGGTGCGGAGGATGATTGGAAAGCAGATTATTCCATACACCAAAAGTGGGGTTGATGTTCCACAGGACCCCTCATCCCCCTCAAAGGGTCCGTCTATATAAGAAGCCTAGAATCTGCCTCTCGTGGCAATTAATCAAACTGACAACTTCCCAACTCAATAACCACCATAACTTCAACCTATCCACCTCTACAATCTCCAATATGTCCTCCGCCAAGTCCTTCCGCCAAATCATCGGCGTCCCCCCGTCAACCGCCACAACCACCGACTCAACCCTAATCATCATCGACGCCCAAAACGAGTACGCCTCGGGACACCTCAAAGTTGAAAAGGTCGAGCAGAGCCGAAAAGTCATCGCCGACCTCCTCACCCGGTACCGCGCAGCGGGCTCAGGCAAAAACATCGTCCACATCGTCCACCAGGTCCCCGCGGGCGCACCAGTCTTCACACCCGGCACGCCCCTCGCGGAGGAATTCGCCGAGCTAACCCCTAAAGACGGCGAGAAGGTTATCGGCAAGAACTATCCCAGCTCTTTTGCGAAGACGGGGCTGCATGAGTACCTGCAAGGCCTTGGCGATGTAGGCAAGAAGATTGTCCTTGTTGGGTATATGGCGCATGTTTGTGTGTCGACTACGGCGCGCGCCGGCGCTGAGCTTGGCTATGATGTGATTGTTGCACGGGATGCGGTTGGTGATAGACATATCCCTGGGGTTGAGGCGGCCGAACTGGTGCAGGTTGCGCTGAGTGAGGTTGGGGATGCGTTTGGGACTATTGTTGATGCGGCTGATATTCAGGGATGAGTGGTCGTCCTTCCTGCTGATATCTGAGACTTCGGTAGGATGGTGCTTCTACAGGGATGGCTCGGTTCGATGGTTCGCGTGAGGTACTATAAGATTGTTCCGAGACACACGCCACCACACGCGGGCATCGCAACGCTCATTTTAGCTTACGATTTCCTTCATTATGATAATTAGCTGCAATAAACTCCTTTCAAACGGCAGCGCCGACCTTTGCAGTAGCATTCTTATATAATTTGTCTTTGATGATAATGTATCTTACGCCGTCTTTACGTTCGCGTGGGCCGATTTCCCGAACTTGAACTCGCTGTGCTGCGCGGCCTTGTCGGGATCCTCAACTAGCCCTAACTTGCTACCTACTTTATAAACTGCTGATATTCTTATTGAGGCTTTGATTGGTTTATCTCCGTCGTTGCTGGTTACTCACTCTTCTGCGGTAATTAGGTTTTATCTCGCTCAGAGTTCAAGACCTGGAGCCACTTAGGGCTTTTTTCTGCGTCCACACTAAATTCAAAAGAGAGCGAGGAATATGTAGATCTTCGTCGTAGTATTGGTTCTTGTGATGCTTCCATCTCACAATTGGAAGCCGGAGCATGGGATTGATTGCTCGTATTCGGGCCAATTTTCCAGCCCAGCCTAATGTTTAGGCTCTTGGAAAAGACTCATCTACTCTGCACAGCCTCAATGCCAGGGAAATAAAGGCCCGCCTTCTTGCTGTTATACTCGTACACTAAGCCTTGATATATCCCAACCACACTCATCCCTATTATTACCTCCCCTCCACGAAGAAAAATGTCCTTGGATGCCCTGCCCAACGAGATCCACAAAATCATCCTGACACATGTGAGCCACTCTCCCAACAGACATATAACTACGGAACCGGTTGGTAGTAATGCGCTGCTTAGCTCACGTCGAACGACCTTGTCTCGCTAAGCAGGACAACGCGCAATTTCAACTTCATCGCAGTTCCAATTCTGTACCAACATACTTTGCTTGACTTCTCTCTCGGTGACGAAGACTCTTCTACCGCGGACGACAATGATATCGCGCTATCTGCTCTTCTGGGGCTTGTCGCCGATACGCAGGGACAGTGTCGACATGTGAAGAGACTAAGTGTTCGAAGCAGAGAAGAGCAAAATGAGGCGTCAGGGGCCCAGGAGGAGGGGTTTTCCAATGATCATGACGAGACCAAATCAGCAATCACCTCCCTTCTCGAAGCCGCGCTGCAGAATATGAGCCATATTTCTCACCTTGAGTACGCCAGATCCGTTCTCCTCAGTACCAGCTACTCCGGTTTCATCCTGTCCTACTAACAACAGTTGCCAGTTGGTATTCTATCTTCAGCACTCCAGAAGCTGTATTCGCTGCCCTCAAGGCTCCACTCGAATCCCTGCACTGCAGCGCCGCCTGGCTAGGCAAAAGCCCAAATATTGATTTCGACGGGACAGCTGCCCTGAAGTCACTTATCTCACTATCCACAGTAGACATGGCAGAGGGTGAAATGCCGCCTCTCCTCCTAACGATGCTCTCCCAGGATTTGGTGCATTTGAAGAGTCTCAAACTTCAGTATCTACGCCCAACTGATGGCAGCCACACGACATCCGAATGTCCATTCGAAACTCTGGCCAAAGATCTAAATTCCGCGGGGAAGCACATCAATCTCACCATCCTCTCCCTCTCCTTTCCACGGGCACCAACCAGCACCACCTGGCTCAAATCCCTGATTTCCCCATCCCTAATGGACTTCACGTACCACATGCACGCCCCCAATGGCGAAAGAACAGACTTGGCCGGAGACCAAATGCACAACGAACTTTTTGCATACCTACACGCCCACACACAAAACCAAGGCATCGAACTAAAAGCCCTACAGACAAACACCTTCCCTCCCTCCCTCACATCCCTCATCGAATCCTCGCGCAGCCTCGAAACGCTCATCCTAACATACCAACCTCCCTCCTTCTGCGGCGACGCAATCAACCTCTCGGGCCACTTCAGATCACTCAGGTCTCTCTGTCTCCCCCACGCAGACCGCATCTTCTACGACGACGACATAATCAGGCTCTACGGTACAGACTCGTTCGGGTATCTACAGGTCATCATCGATAACTGTCCGCATCTCGAAGAGTTGGCGATGAATGTGTGTGCAGGGCAAGAGGTCCGTTCTTTCCCGCCTTCTCTCCTGCCTTTTTTATGGACCGGATTAGATTGGATTGGATTCTACGTTGTCGGGTTAGTGGTTACATACTAACTCAGGGCATGAGCAGGAATCCCTCTTCGAGACTCTCTGCGCCGCACCCGCACTCAAGCGCCTCTTTATTCTTCTCTACAGAGATTCACCCTGGGACCTGCAATTGCCTGCCGGCCATCTCCTCCGTGAGATGCTATCCTACTACAACGGTAATCCATCGCCGTTCTTTGAGCGTTTGGAGTTGTTTGGTTGTTTTCGGAGTTTATGGACGTTCGAGCACACGATGGATCTTACCCCCGAGGAAGTGGAGGAGATGGAGTATGAGCTTGGTTATGAGACTGTAAGCGATGACGAGCTCGCAGATCTGGGGATTGCTGTTGAGAGGGGAGATTTGGGAATATCGTCGCCGGGTAGTAAGCGCGAGGATGCGCGTAAAGATCAAGGCGAAGGCGAAGACGAAGACGACGAAGACGTGGACATGGGCTTCGACCTCTTCGACGCCATCGAGCCCCCGCCCAGACCTCCACCATCCCAGCCCAAAAACGAATATACGTACCCCTCCAGATTCACCCCCGCACCACTGGTCCCCGTCCTCCGCGACACCGACGCGCATATCATCATGCCATGGCACCTCCTCGACGAACCCTTCTGCTACACGTGGGAACGGGCGATCTCTGGGTACTACAAGGTTCCGCTGCGGGTGGGCTGGGATGATGCGAGGTTTTTGGATGAGAGGATGGTGGAGGCTGTGCGGGGGATTGTGGAGCGGTATCAGTGGGCGGATCCGGCGAATACTAGGGGGTTGGAGGATGAGTGGAGGCGGGCGACGACGCAGACGAGGCGGTGGGGTTGAGCAAACTGGAATGGGGTAGTCGTTGGATGAGACGATGGCATGGTCGTCTGGTTGTGTTTTGGATATGGCTGTGTGCTTCAGAAACCTTGGACCCCTTCCTTGCTACAATTACAGTCCATGACCTACAAGGGTACAGTAGTAGTATAGTACTCGATAGCATTTACGGGTATAATACACCAGAACGTCTAGTCAACGTCTAGATCTAAGATCTACATCTGCACCACTAACTCCTCCCCACTCACTGACTCTTCTCAACCTCCGCCTTAACCCACTTCTCCAACCCACCCCGTGCAATAATCTCCTGCACATTCGGCGGCAACTCACCAACCTTCTGACTCCACGTCTCCCCACTATCCTCCGTAACAACAACCTTGCTCCGTCGGACATCCCATACAAACTTCCATCCCGTCCGTCGCGTAAGCTGCTTCTCGCCTTCCTCACCCTCCTTCTTACCGAAGCGCTCGCGGAGCCTCTCAACGAGACGGGGAACCTCAACGCTCATCAGCGCATTGTTGATGCTGTTTCGGCTAAACGTGTTGCTGAATGAACCGGCAACGACGAGGGGGATCTTGCGTGCGAGGATCGCAGTCGCAGCCTGTTCGCGGGACGAGCCGCATCCGAAGTTGAAGCCGCCGACGAGGACGTCGCCCGGTTGCGAGATGGTGCGGAACGCGGTGTCGTAGTTCTCCATGCAGACCTCGGCCATCTTCTCGGGGCCGATGTTATCCTCGTATGTGTATTTCCCGGGATAGATGCCGTCCGTGTTGATGTTGTCGGCGTCGCAGAAGATGATTTCGCCTTCGACCTTCTCGGGGAAGCCCGGCAGGACGTCTGTGAGGGATTCTTCGGCTTCAGCTTCTGTGGATTCCGGGGAGGATTCAGTCGTGGCGGCCTCGGCGCTGGCGATGAGACTCTCGGCTTCGGCGATAACCTTGTCGAGCGCGTCCATGATGCTTGTCGCCCTATCGGCTTCGATGTCTCCACTTCCCTCGCCGATAATCACCTTCTCGACACCCTCGGGCTTCTGGTACCAACCGGGTCCGGAGATGTGTCCTGACAGAGCAGAGGCAGCAACGACCTCGGGACTAGCGAGGTAGGCCATCGCATTGCGATCGCCCATACGTCCAGAGAAGTTCCGGTTCGACGCACTGATTCCTACTTCGCCCTTTTCGAGGAGACCAGTTCCAAGACCAATGCAGGGACCGCAACCGGCGGGGAGGGTCTTGGCTCCCGCGTCGATGAGGACCTGCCAGTCGCCGGCTTCTTCGGCGGCTTGTTGCTCGGGGAGAGAGGCGGCGGCGATGTAGAAGTGCACGCCCTCGGCGATCTTGGGCGTGGATCCGTCCTTGGCTGCCTCGCGGAAGACGCGTGCGGCGGCGGCGATATCCGATGAGCGCGAGTTTGTGCAGGAGACGAGGTAGGCTTTGTTGACGGGAATCTGTTTCGCCTCAAGGTCCTTGAGGGGTGTAGCGACTTTGACGGAGTTGGGGCCCGAGACGAAGGGCGAGAGGGTGGAGAGGTTGAGGTAGAGGGATTTGTTGTAGGTTGCGCCGGGGTCGGCGACGAGCGGGTTCTCGATCAGTTCGGCGATGCGCTCGTGGCTGAAGCGGCCCTTGGTGGCGCCTTCGGGGTTGGCCATAGCGGCGAGGGTGGCTCTGGCGCGGAGCCAGCCGATCAGGACGGAGTCGATGGGGAAGAGACTGATGAGTTAAGTTAGTGAGCTTCAATGTTAATAGAGTTGCCAGGTCAGTCTTACCCACTGAGTGCACCCCACTCGGTTGTCATGTTGGCAATGGTGATGCGGTCATCAACAGGGATGCTGCGCATCGTCTCCTCGGATCCGGTAAACTCGATACTGTGGTTCAGCACATCATCCTGGTTGAACAGACCGCACAGCGCAATGATGATATCCTTTCCAGTAACACCGACAGGAAGAACGCCGGTCAGCGTAACCTTGGCCACCGGCGGAATCTGCCACCACGTGCGACCTGTCGCCCAGATACTCGCGGCATCCGTCCGCACCATCGGCGTACCCAGCGCACCAAGCGCACCATACGAATTCGCGTGCGAGTCCGACGCAACGGTCAATGTCCCAGGCCACGCATAGCCTTCCTCAATCATAATCTGGTGCCCGATGCCCCGACCGGCCGGGTAGAAATCCACGCCGTACTTGTGCGCAAACTCCTCGATGAGCCGGTACTTTTTCAGGTTCGCCTCGGACTTGTTCTGTACGTCGTGATCGAGCGCCATGACGGGCTGCCGGGGATCATGCAGCTTTGTAGCCCCAATGTCGAAGAATTTCTTGCTCACGGGGAAGCTGTTGTCGTGCGTCAGGCAGTGGTGAGGGACGACCGAGATGTAGTCGCCTGAGCGGACCTTCTTCCCTGGGGCGAGGCCGACGGCATACCGTTGCACGATCTTCTCTGTGAGTGTTTGCGGCGTGGCGGAGAGCGAGGGGGAATCGGAGGAAGAGGCGTTTTCGAGTTGCGAGTGGAACGCTCTGCGGAGGGTGTGGACGGTGGACATGCGCCATATCGGCGAGGGCTGTAGGGCCGCGCGCCCAGTTAATCTGCGCTGTAAAAAGGTCTGTTAGATGAGGCATGGAGGAATTGTCTGGTGACCAGCTTACCACCTGAATCAACATCGTGGCGGCGATACAATGCAGGAAAAGGAGTCACGCAGGGAAAAGAATCTGGAAAAAATGGCCGCTTCTCCGCGATCGGTTCTCGTTGCTCGCATTACTCAGCCGGCCGCTGACTCACCGCAGACTGGACTGTGGGGACGCACGTGACCCATGTCTACCCGAGGTAACATCATACCCAAAAGGTTGATATCCAAAGTAGTAGTAACAAAGAATTAAAAATATAAATGCTTGTTGATTGAGTTGGGATACAGATGGTTACGCCAAGGAGATCATGGAGAGAAGTGCTCAGGACAAGACAACCGACGGCGGGAGGAGCAGTGCAAGTAGTTACATACTTGATTTTCTACAAGGGTTAATAGCCTTCTTTTTGTATTTTAGTGCTTACCTCACATCATCGCGCACCTGCTGGGATGATCAGATTAGATATAAATGTCGCCGTTTGCGATGACGCTTGAGAGCCGAGTGGAAAGCCGGTGTCCAAATCAAGTAAAGTTGTGATACCGGTGGACACTGATTGGTGTACATCTTGGGCCCTCGTGTCACCAAATCGTGGTGTAGCTGCCGCATATCCGACTGACTGTCCTTGCTTGGGTGCCAATGTCTGCCACTTGAGGCGAGGGCGTCATAGACCTGCTTATAGACTATCGCAAATCCTAGTGGGTAAGTCGTGTTTCACAATATATAGTCCGGCACAACCCGCGTTCGGGGTGTTCGACCGTTACTACGACCTACAGGAATAGGCCATGTATGTATAAGGGCAATCATTCCGCTATTTCAGATCGACGGAGCAGAGCATTAGAGTCGGATTGGAAGTCATACTCGATCGTGGCGAGTAATTCCAACGTTCGCGCGGGGAGACATTGATTCCAGATCAAGCGGTGGATTTCGGGGAGGAAAACTTGATGTTTTGTTGTGGTTTGCCCGCAAAATCACCTTGGCTCCGTCTGGGCCAGTGGCTTTCCACAGGAATACTACAGTGGATAATGACGCAGTATCCAGCCACCACACAGGTGAGATTCAGGGATAGCGTGGCGAAAAAATATCTGGGCGAGGGGCTTTGCTCAAACCGGTCGGGCTGCTGTACGAGGCGCAGTGCTAGTGCGATGCTTGTTCTGGGACACACTACCGGTTCAGGCTTAGTCCAGCAACAGCTGAGCAAAGTATACACTACCCTTTTCAGACAGACAGTGAGAGCCCGGGGTCCGAAGAGTACTATAAATTCAGCGACCTTTGCTGTCGAACAATATTCTTCATCATTCCTCTCCAAGTCTTCCTCTCAGCAACCCCGTTATTCGTACACATACAACGTTTCCATCCAACATGCGCGGCATTACAGTCCTAACGCTGACACTCAGGCTGGTTTCGAGGGTGCTATCTCACCCGACGGGCTCAGAACACTGCAGTAACCTGCCTATAGTGGACCTTGGATATGTATGTTCATCTCTCTCCAAACGCCGCAATACATTTGCCCCTGCTCTGACACGCTAATCCTCTGCTTCTAGAACCTGCATCAAGCGATCTCCTACAACGCCTCAAGCGAAATATACAAATTCCAAAATATCCGTTACGCGAATAACCCGACATTGGACCTCCGCTTCCGTGCTCCCACCGCACCCGACACGAACCGCTGGACCGTTCAGACTGGCGACCGTCCTCGCACCTGCCCCCAGGGGATGCCCGACTGGCAGGTCAAGGGGACGGCTGCTGCGGCCAAGTACATGAATCCTGACCAGCCTTTTACGCTTGAGGCCTGGAAGGAAGATTTTCTGAACGCAACTGTACCACCGAATTTGGATTTCAACACGGACACAACTGAGGACTGTCTCTTTTTGGATGTGCATGTTCCGAGGAAGGTGTTTCACGGCGCACGTAAGGGAGCTCGCGGTGATGCACCGGTGCTTGTCTTTGTAAGCCCAATGCCTCCTCGACTTGGGAACATGGACATGACATGAGCTAACTGCGTCCCTGGTCGCTCTTAGATTCACGGCGGCGGCTACGTCCTCAGCTCGAAGCTCCGAGCACCCACCCCAGCGTTTTTCCCCGACGGCCTCTTCGCGCATGCTAATAAGAACCACGAAGACATGATTTACGTCGCACTGAACTACCGACTCGGCGCTCTGGGCTTCCTCGCCGGGCCGGAGGTCGAGCGAGACGGAGTGCTCAACGCAGGGCTGCTCGACCAACGATTCGCCCTCGAATGGGTCCAGCGATATATCCATCTATTCGGAGGATCCCCGGATAAGGTCACGGTCATGGGAGAATCAGCCGGTGGCGGCTCGATCCTGCTGCATATGGCCGGTTCGTACGCAACGAACACGTCAACACCATTTCGGGCCGCGATTCCACAGAGTCCCGCGATCCTGCCTGGGTACGTCAATCCGAGCGATAGCTTTGCTGGCTTTCTACGCTACCTCAACGTGAGTAGCCTGCAGGAAGCCCGCGAAGTCGACAAAAGCAGGATCATCGCGGCGAACGCGGCGCAGATCGCCGACGCCCCGACCACAAGTTACATATACGACCCGGTCATTGATGGAAGCTACGTCCCGGACAAGGTGATGCACGCGCTTCGAGATGGGCGATTTGACAAATCGGTTGCGGTGCTTGCGGCGCATAACTCTTTTGAGGGGTCGTTTTTCTTCGACCCGACAATCGAGACGGAGAATGAATTTCGCTCGTGGTTGCGTCGCTCGATTCCGGGGCTCCAGAACAAAGACGTCGCCTATCTTATGGAGAGGCTGTATCCAGCGACCTTTGGCGACACTGCCCTTGGGTACGTGGATCAGGCGTCGCGACAGATGGCCCTCTACAGCGAGGCGGTTATTGATTGCCACTTCGGTGCCATTGGCGATGCGATGCATGGGCAGAGTTATGCGTGTACGTTTGGGATTTCCGTTTCTTCAACCCTCTTGACATACCTTCTGTATAATTTTACTGACGCCTCGTTTGTCTAGACAAATTTAGCATCTCTCCTGGAGTGCACACGCAGGATCTGGATTATACCTTCAATTCCCCGAGTTCTCCAGCGCGTTTCCCCGCCGCACAGAATGCTATTCAGGATATGATAGTTGGTTTTGTACAGAATGGGGTACCCAGATCGGCGGACGGTGAAGTGTTTCCGCGATGGGGTTCTGAGAGGCGGCTGCTTAACATCACGTCTACTGCGCCTGAGTGGTCTAGGAGCGAGGTGAACCGTACTCGCTGCGGATGGTGGAGTGACTGGTGAAGATAAACCTTAATCGCCTCGCCGCTTCGTTTTCTTTTGGTGGGTCAGTCCGTTTTAGTTGACTGAATGAGCGCGGCTGAGGGTGGACGGTGCTGTTTTTTTCCTGGGTGGGGTCCGGAATTGAGGGTCGTTGTACATACAGGCTCAGCAGCTAATCGAACGATATCTTCTCTGGCTATTATCCAGCGCTGCAACAGACCTATACAGGACATGCTTATCGCTTCTGATTCGTTGTCCGTGTATGGATTCGGATCCTTCGAGGCGCAGCATGCTACCCTGCAGCGTTTGGACCGACACGGCCGTTGACTTCTCGTCGGGATCTCAGAGTTCGATTCTCTTACACTGGACTCTCTCAGTCCGCGTCTCCGGAATACCAAGCACATTCTGCTCCCTCACTTTATGGGCAGTGGAAAGCTCCTCTTTGTAAACAAGACCCCCTCCTCCACTCTGTTGACCCAGAGTGAACCGTGCGAGCGAGCCCAAATCCTGCGCCACGTGCAGAGGAACCGTCGCAAGGCCGAAGGAAATAAGCCACACGCACTACCACCATGGTCAGAGCAGGTCTACGCGTTGAAGCTTGGTCCCGACACACGCGAAACCGAAGTAGAAGCCACTCGATCCAGTGTGTCTTTACGGGGCAATTATCCATCCTCCAACTCCTCGGATCCTTTCCATTGTACAGTGGCGGGTCCTGACCATGCGATCCACGCCCTCCTCCGATGCGTATTCTCATCGGAATCCCGATCCAACTTCCTCGCCGAGGCCTTTGCTCCGGCGTCCATCGTCGCTCGCGGGGCTGCCACGCGCCACGAGAGTATCTTCGCAAGGCGGCTACAGCAGTGCGTTGTTGACCAAACGCTTATGTATGCAACTCTCGCATATGGGTCGAGTTTTATCGGCTGGGCCTCCTCGCGAAGGGAATCGGCGAACAGTAGGGCGGGGCTCCAACAACCACCTGAATACTACCTTGGCAAAGCAATCCGTGGTGTCCGGGAGCGGCTTGCGCTGGCTTCAGGGTTCCAATCCACGCCAGATGACTGGCTTATGCTTTCGATCTACTCTCTCGCAATCACAGAGCTGTGGAACGGGATGCCAGAAACGTGGGGCCGGCCTGACGACAGCAGTGGGAGCAGTGAGACGGCCAACAAGTATTCCCGTGCGACTCTGAGCGCTGTCTCTAGTGCTGCTCTAGCAGCGTGCCGAATCCATCTCTCTGCGGCCCTGAGTGTTGTTATCGACGTTGGCGGGTGGCATTACTTCGATCCCTATATCCTCGACAGCTTCATACTTGTCGATAAGTTCCTGGCAATTCACCAGCTGACGCCGCCCATGATTCCTCTTACCTGGGACCCGGGACCGCTATACTTCCGTAGTGGCAATATCGAGACCATGTTGGAACAAGGCGCAGTCAATTCTCAGCAGATGGGTGCAGGCTTTGCCGATACCTCCATGACAGCTCGTCTACGAAGCCTCATCCGCGATATCATCAGCTTCTGCGTCCTTGCCGAAGCCGGCTGGTCAAGCAAGGAGGCGATGACGTTCAAGCAGGAGTCATGGCTATTCCGCCGCCTGCAGGCACTGGCATGCCGACTGCTTGCTTGCTACCACGCGGAAAGCACCGTCGTCGGCCAATGCATCAGTCTAACCGCCCTTGTCTTTCTTTTCAGCTGCACATCGCACCGCGGACCGGAACTCGGTGCACTGTACGCTGCGCGACATCTCAAACATTTACTGCTCCATAGCGGATATATGCTCGTGGAAACGGGTCATGTTGATCTGTATAGATGGTCCCTATTCACGGGCGCAATGATAGTCCCGTCGCGTGAACGGGATTGGCTTATTGCTGAGTTTGTGGGACTCTATCGGAACTTCCACGTAGCGCATATTGCTGTATTGCAGCAGGAGATGGAGAGGTTTCTCTTTTTAGCGGCGCGACAGCGTGGACGGCTTATGGAGTTGATGGAGAGGGCTTCTGCGGTCGGGAGCTGAATGACCGACGATTGATCGGAGGGACCTGGTGGGACATGGTGCCAAATATGTTCACGCTCCATGCCAGTGAACGGAAGTACCCAAAGTTTAATATTCCTAATCCTTTATATTAATAATATAATAAGTAAGCTTAACGAATTGGTATTTCTAAATAAAGTTAAAACATTGAAACATGCCTTTAAAACTTTATAGTAAGGGGTAGTTTTCCTATTAGTATACTAGACTAATAAATAATATAAAATAATAAATCCTTTATATAGTACCTTCTATAAAATAGCTGAGTAATATATATAATTTTTATAGCTGAACTTGATAAGGCATACCTTTATTTAAACTAAAAATAAAATACTCTTAACTAGATTAATACAATAAAATAAGGTAAAAAGACTATTAGTAAATTTATTAATAAATCTAATAAATCACTAGCCCTTGCAGGAGCCACTTATTAGGATAAAAACTAAAAAAATGTATCCACTGAATATCATACAACCACGGAGCATGGGGTCCGTGTTACTGCAAGGGCGAAATACTACATTCCATCTTGTTCTCCTCCTTCACAGCACATCATAATTAACGACGCATAACTACCCTAAACATCTTCAAAATACCGTTTATCATGACACCAAAAAATAATAATCTTGGACGCTCCCCACGCCCTCCGCAGGGTGCCACAGCACTGTTCCCCGTCGTATATTTTCCCCAGGTGGAGATAACTCTACCTCCGAGGCTCTGAGAATGAAGCTAGGACTCTAGTATCCCTAGTCTAGGAATTATCTAGGACCGCCGTGGCAGACTTGATCCTGCGTGAATGACAATGAGGATGACGGCAAGAGGCCAATAATATTGCGTACGATGGCGCGAGGTACTTAGGTAGGTGCGAAGAAGAGGAGGAGAGAAGATGAAGGCCACGAGGTGGTAAGCACGTATGTAGAACATTAGATGCTACGCTGAGAGTGTGGTGCATCTGGCCTTGGGCAAGACACTCTATGACGATGACCTGAAGGAATGGGCGTGAGTTGCATGAGCAGTGATTGAGACTCACTCGCAAGTGATCAGCAGGGGTCTAATACATGCTTTCCACGAGACAAGGACTAAACTGGCCGTGGGCAAAAAGGGAAAAGAAATTGCCCGACTGTGTTTATTTTAATTATAGTGCCTTGGAGAATTGAGGATGATACTGTATTGAGAGATAAGTTCAAGAAAATTGTAAAAGATGTCATAATATCATCGCAACCCAGTAAATGTCATCTCACCCTTGCCCTTCATCTTGCCTGTCTTGTAGTCTTGTTGAAGGCCACACTGGGTCGCCGACGTCAATGAACATGTGAGAGTCGCCGAGGTCACTCCGTCTTTGACCATTATGACCTCAACTGGAGCGAAGGGTGCCATGATTTGGAAGGAAAATTTGACAGTTAGTGCTGACTTTTTTCCACAAACAATGGAGTGAATGGGACGGTGGACAAAGTAACGCCATCGGTATCCCTCGAGTGTCGAAAGCATTGCCCGCAGGTTCATGAAGGTTGAATGCAAGCGCGCAGATATCGCGCCGGTAGCAGTTGGATTGGAGCAGTCTGGGACCTGGACCAATTAGTAAGGCTTAAAGCGTTTATTACAGTATTACTGAAAGCTACAGATGGGAAAGAACAACGGTCAACAACTGAAATAACCTTCCTCTGTAAAACCGAGAATAAGACCGGAATTTATGAACTGCATACAACTGTGGCCACTTAGAGCACCTTCAAGACCTCAATCACGTCCTCAACTGACTAGGCGATAGGAGGCCAACATGGCAGGGTTACAGAGATCGACCCTGATTCGTTCGCGTCAAGCCCTTCAAATCGAATCCCCAGGCGCTGGCAACTCTGTGATCCGGCCGATAGCTAGCAGGGGGGTCCCAGCAAAGCGTGACGTCTTCGCCTGCGCGGAACCGGAAACCAAGATATACCTTATGGTTGAGGTTGTAGTGCATAAGCGTGATCTTGGGCATATGCCGAGCAGCAAGACCCCATGCTATGAAAAGCCGATGAAATTACTCCGTGTCTAACACTGTGCGGCGGATGAATCCACCTTCGTAGTTGCATATTACCTCGTCCTCCCAGTTGCTGACCTCGTCGATTCGTTCTTGCTCCTCAGCATTAGGCAGTGCGAGCCATTGTCCTGTGTCACCAGCCAGTGTTCTACGTTAGTATAGGGGTTCGAGCCGAAATACCTTCAGGTAGGAATGGGGAGGCATTATCTAGTACCAATCGTTCAAGATTAGGCCAGCGGGGTGTGGTGTTGGCGGTTGGTCGCCCATCGTGATCGAGTGGACACATAAAGTCCATGGGGAGAGAGACAAACGTCAATCGCAGCTCACGAAGGACAAGACTTAGATCGCGAAGACTGATCGCCAATGGATCGACATCCGTCGTTAAGACATTTAACGCGGACATCATTGGTTTCCAAGGCTCTTCCCTGTGGCCGAGATAGTTCAGGACCCTCATATTCGTTGGCAGATTCTTTAACCCCTCCGCAACAGCTGGTAGACCGTTAGTGTTACTTAAGACGTGGAATATAAAGGTACGTACCAGCGCGTCGCTCGCGTATGTACTCCAAATGGTCTGGTCGCACATACTCGTTCAAATTCAGATATAGCTCAGTGAGAGTGGGACAACGTTCGAGTCTATTTTTGTCAGGCTACTCAGTGTTCAAATTGTTGAAGACGATGGAGTGCTTGAATAAAAAGACAGAAAGATTGTCTCTTGCAGAAAGAATGTTCACGTCTTCGCTGATAGTACCAGACATGGGTGTTCGAATATTTAAACGCTAGGTCCTCTGACACTCATCTTCTATTTTGTAGATTGTATATGGACCTCTTCCACGAAGTCAATCAAGCTATCTTCAAGATCTCATTCGTGACATCCTTGTATAGGTCCTTGAGGGCCTTTGCAGGCAACCACTCTGCCTTGATGTCAAAGTCCTTATCACCCACAGTGCCAATGAAAGTGAACATCAGAGGCTCATCCTTGACCAGGGCATGGGTATGGACCCCAACCTCAATCCTGTTGATATGGAAGACGGGAGAAATCTTTTTTTGAATCTCATCCACCACACCCTCCAAGGCATGCATTCCATCCTTCCAGCTTTCCTTGAGAGTCTCGAGACCCGCTTGCATCCCTTCAATCATATTCTTCACGTCATCATGAAGCTTGAGCTGATAGTAATAGTCCCTCGTGAGCCGCGCAAGCTCAGCATCTTCATCGAGACGTTTGATGGCCTCATCCGCCTCTGCAATTTCCTTCTCGAGTTTGGGTCCGTTCCTTCTGAGGATATCCTGTGCTTGACGAATTGCCTTTTGGTACGCACTGTTTTCGCTTTGCATTGCGGTTAGATCATCGATGGCTTTTTGAATCTTCTTATCTTCCGACTCGATTAAGCTCTTGGCAAACCCATAGAAGCCATCACCACTGACCAAACTCATTACTAAGTCTGTGGCTAGAGCGCGAGCCCTGTCTGTGTCCTGGATAGCCCTATACAATTTCTGGAATGGAGCGGATTTGAAAGTATCCTCGGCCACTTTTACGGCTTCAAGAAAAGCACCGGCGGCTGCTTTGACGATCTCATGGTCGGCTTTGGCAGCTTCGAGTCTTACTGCCTAAATTGGATAGGAATGTTAGTTACTGTGGAGGTTCGGATAGTTGAGAGTTTTGTTTGTCGACCTACCCAGTAGCCAATATTCCACCTAATCAGATACGAATTTAGTATCCTTTGCTTGTCAAATCAATGAAGAAGGGTTGAAGAAGAACATACCAGCTTGCCGCTACCTTTTGTTGATAAACCCATTGCACATCCTCCCAGGACTTTTTGATGGCCTCCTCCTTGAGACTAGCCGTAATTCTAGCATATTCCAGATTCATAAGGAAGTTTGCACCATACTGGCTCTCTTGTTGTCTCGTCAACTCTTCCAGCTTCTTCCTATTCCGTTCCTCCTCATCTTGGGCATTTCGCAGTTTGTCGTTATACTCCTTCCTCTTCTGTTGTACCATCGCCTCTTTGTGCGACTTTGCTTGGCTAACCTTTTCTTTGAGCTTCTTCTCAGCATCGGCCCTGTTGTTGCTCGCTTTCTTCACTTCGTCCTTCAGCTTGTTGATTTCATCTTTGCCTCTTACCGTTTCTTTTCCTCTTTCTCCATGTTCTTTCTCCGATCATATTGTCTTTCTTCCATCGTCTGTCGAGCCTGCTTCAGGCCATCGGCAAGTTTTTTAATCTCCGCTTCTTTCTCGGCCAGCTTGGCACCGATAATGTTTTCGACAGCTTCAATGCCCTGCGTGCCCAGCTCCTCAATGGAGTTGAGGAAATCCTTGATACTATTGCAGATTGTCTCAAAAAGGTCTCCCTCGATCTGAGCATGGAAATATAATCCCGTGCTGGCCAGGTCCTTGACTTCGCTGAAATCCTCGACTGTGGTATGCAACCTGATCATGAACGCATCAGTAAAGTTCAAGGCGATGTATGCATCAAACGACGGGGTCGTGGTTCCCATTTGGATGTCGACGAGGGTGACAAGTCCCATTCCAAAGCATGTCACCATCCCGTCCACCTTGATTACTTGTTGGTCCTTGGTCATGAGCACGATCATACTCGCGCGGGGCTCTCCGCTAGCAGAGCTGACCGCAAGGGGCCCGAGACTGAAGTTATCAATGTAGCCTTCGAAGTTTAAGCCAGCAGAGGCGATATTCAAATCAAATTCGGCGCTCTTGCCGAACGCAGTCAGCTTTCCACCCGCTGATATACCCCGAGGATATTCCTTCTTGTGGATGGTGCCACCTGTGGAGATGTACATGGATGCATCAGTGAACACAAATGTATCCTCATCACCACTGATATCCTTCAATGGCTGAATATCCGCCACCTGGCCCGCAACACGAATAATCTCGAGGAGGTCAACTTTTGAGAACTTTGCGATAAGAAGTTGGTTGTCTGGGTAGTGGCTGTAGCCCAAGCCAGCTCTAGCACGAAAGTCGGCGACCTGGACTTCTCCTTCAAAGCCAATCTGGCTCGGACCAAGTTCGAAGAAGGTAGCATAGGTGACTTCAAACTCGCCTCTAAAGTCGGCAATCTTGACCTCCTTGCTGATATTGAAAGGATTTACCCATGGTGATTGAGTCGCACTAGAAGATCATAAGTTTCAGCCTTTCATACGCAACGGATGGGCTTGAACATACATTGATGCTTTTGCACTGAGTATACCCGCTTTTACCATTCCTTCTAGCACCAGGGGATCCTGTCCTGATTCCATAAGAATGCTCAAAACACCTTCAAGCGTCAAGCCTGGATTTGTGCTTATCTCGATGCCGACTCGGATATCATTCAACTTGACCGTATCGCTGAAGCGGATCTGTTTGTTTTACCTCATTACAGGGGAATATCCAAAAAAGGCGAGTTACTTGCCTCACAAGCAGATGGTAGGTGGATTTGAAGTTCGAACTTCTTTTCAATTGTGGCGACTAGCACAAGCCCATCTACTTGCTGCCTGGCTAAAGTATTCAGCTCTTCCATGGGTGGGATGGTCGCGCACAACGAGAGTCCTATCCACATTAGTTAGTCACCTAGCACACAGCAAAGGTATCCATGCCCACCTCTCTTAACTGGATACTTGAGCAGATTCAGCTCCTCCACCGTTTTGTTTTCCCCTGATGCCGCAATAAGAGCAACGCTGCTCAGGTGCAGTTTACCCAACGGTTCATCTTCTGGCACGCCACATATCTTCGACAAAGGCAGATCGTCGAGGATACCATACAGAACCCATTCACGTTCGGATGCCGTCTTCGACTTGAGATTTGTCTCTTTGCGCCCAACCAACAACGCCACTGTCACAGTCTGGTCACAGTATTTGACTACTCCTTTGATGGCGAACTTGCTAGCCCGGTTGCAAGCAATTGTCTTTTTCGTGTCAGCGTCCTTGGTAGCATTCTTTTTGGTGAGATTCGTTTTCTGTGGCTTGTCAGTATCAGCTGCAGTTCCAACAGCCTTCTCCTTGTCAGTCGTCTTGGGCTTCTTTGCATCAGGCTTTGCCCCGATAAATATGTCGATGCTGGCTTCCTTGATGTTGATGTCGGTGTCTTTGATCTTATAGTTTTCAAGTCCACCTTTGAACTTCAGACCTGTGCTGTCGATCTTGGCTAGACCCTTGACACTCTTGACGTCGTTGAAGCTGACTTTGCCGGAGAGTTCAAATGACCACTTCGCCTCTTCTTCTTCCTCCTTTTCACCTCTTGGCCCTTTCTCAATTTTTGCGACAGACTTCTCGGTCTTTTCAGTCTGTTTTTCAGTCCCCCCTTCAGTCTTCTCTCTTTTCTTCTCATCTAAACTTTCGCTATCCTGATTCTTCTTCTCCTTTTTATCTCCTGTCTTCTTCTCTACCTTCTTCTTCTTCAGCTTCCTGCCAATGTTGAGATGCAACTCCTCGAACGTAAAGTTATGCCCTTTAATATCTTCTTTGGACGGTTGTGCTCCACTGATTTGAGCATAAATTTTCAGAATCGAGTCAAGCTTCAGATCTCCGACTTTCGCATCAAATTGATAGTCCTCTAAAGGAGGATTAGCGAACAAACTCTTGTCACAATCCTAGGGGCAGTACTCACTTCTGGAAAGCTGGCCTTTGACTGTCAGTGTAGCATTCTTGGGTTTATCTTCTTCCTTGTCTTCGCTATTGTCGTTCTTGGTCTCTTCTTTATCACCCTTCTTATCAGTTTCCTCTAGTTTCTTGGATTTGGTGTCCACGATCTTCTTTTCCTTCTCTTCTTCTTTTCTTTTCCCAGCCTCGTTCCTCTCCTCATCCTTCTTGTCGCCCTTCTTGTCAAGGCTCCCTTGTGCAAACTCGAGGGAGCCAGACACTGCCAAAGTGCAGGAGTCCTTGAATTCGCCAGGTTTGAAAAACGCCCGCAATTCAGCGCTTTTCATCTATCGATTTCACATTTCTTAGCACACAAACCTTCATGTCTCGAGAGTGACAACTTACACTCAGATTGGAGACACCACAGAAATCCTTCCATTTGCCCGCTTTGATGACCACTGCGTTGGGGTATGAGCTTCTTCTCTTTTGCATGGTGCTGGAAGTGACCTACATTCGTACTTCTGTCCACCTTTCTCTTTGTCTTCATCTTTCTTGCCACCCTTAGGCTTCTCCTCATCTTTCTTGTCAATCTTGTCAGTACTCTTCTCATCATCATACTTATGTGTTTCCCATTCCCCTGCCTTGACAACGGGCTTTTCTTCTTCCTTTCCCTTGCTTTCCCCTTCCCTATCTTTCCCCTTCTTCTCCTTACCTTCACCTTGGCCATCCTTGTCCTTTTTATCTTCTTTATCCTTCTTCTCCTTCTTTTCCGCCTTCCAGTCTCCCATTCGAATCCAGTATTTGGCCTCCAATGACTGCTTTGACTTGGGGACCTTTGTGATGTTCAGCATGCCAAAAAGTCCAAAACCTACTTTCCATTCCTTTTCTTCTTTCTTCTCCGGCTTGGAGGGCTCTGAGGAAGTCTTCTTTCTAGAAGTTAGCCTCATGGATAATTGCATTGGAATAGGATCATTTCACGTACCTCTCCCTTGTCCTTCTTGGCAACGACATCCTTCATCTCAGTGGATGATTCCTTCTCTGCAGTCTTAGTGTCCTCTGGAGCATTCTCCTGTGCTGCATTTTTGGCTGGTGCTGATTCGGATTCATCCTTGGCCTCAAACCCTTTTCCCTTGTCTTTTTTATCTTTTATCTTCTCCTTCCCTTCTTTGCTGTCCTTATGCTTCTCATCATCCTTTCCTTTGTCGTCCTTCTTTTTGGTCTCCTTCCTTACCGAGAGCTCCATGCCAACTGTCTTGAACTCCAAGAAATCCCACGCCGGCAAGGTCATATCACTGAAATAAGCCTGAAGAATCATCCCTTCAATTTTTGGTTTCTTGCTCCAGTCTCGGTTCTTGCCCAGGTGGGCGCTGATCCGCAACTTGGTGGGCAGAGGCGTGGACTTGCCGCTGCCAAAGACATTTTTGAAGCCATCCGAAACGAACTGAAGGCCGTCTTTAAGCTCGATATCACCTTCTAGACGAAGGCCTGCAGGAAATACATTGTCCTTTTCCTTGTTGCTGTACGTGAACTCCAGGTTCTTGATAGGCAGCTTCTGAATGGTCTTCTCTTCGATCTCTGGGAAGAGGACCTTGAGAGGCGACTCCATGTCCTGCAGTTTCACCTTTTCGTCGATCGGGGTGTCCTTGTCGTCTTTTTTGTCCTTTTTCTCCTTACCCCCTTCATGCTCTTTGATCTCCTTGTGGGCTTCTGCTCCTTTGTTTGTGGACCGGCATCATCGGGCTTTTTCTCTGTGGTTGTCCCCTTACCATCATCCCCGTCCTTCTTGTCCTTAGCCTTGTCATCCTTTCCCTTCTTGTCGTCCTCCGACTGGAAAGAGTACAACTTGGCTACCAGCCCCTGGATTCCAAAGAAATTCTCAATATCGCCACTCAACACATATTTGTCAACCGCAGCCGCCCCGACCTTTCCTTTAGACTCCTTAAGCTCCTTCTCGAGTTCCGGCAAGGGGACATGCGAAGCATCCTTCGAAAAAGAAATGTCCGAATTGTTCTTGGCTGCTAGAAAAAGCATTGGCTGGGCTTCTGGCTCTTCGACCGGCGCGACCAGAAGAGAACCACCTCCACCCGCGGCTCCAGCAACTGGGACGGGAAATACTTTCAAATCTCTATAGTGCTCGTCGTGGTCGCCAATAACGAGCGAGACATTCTTCAGCGAAGCGCCACCAACGATCAACGTCCCTGGGTCTTCTGTGACCTCCGCTGTAGTTGCGCATGATATCGCCGCCCATCGCTGTCCAAACTTGGAAAGACCAGGTTTTCTTGGCTCGTCCTCCGGAGAAGCTGTCACGGTTTTTCTTGGGTTTATGGTGGTTTTGGCAAGCAAATCGACCGAGTCAAGAGATGAGAAATGGCCGCTGGCGAGGAGGTCATTTCCGATTAACGCAAGCGAGACTGGCTCCTGGTCGCGTGCCATGCTCTTTTCGTGTTTTGTGGCTGTTGAACTCGTAAAGTCGCCTATTAAGGTTGTCTTGATAGTGACTGAGTCTGTAGACAAACACCCTTCGCACTGGTAAGAACAGCCAGATCATTTATAAGAAAAACCAAACGGCAGCAGGCAACTTCAAGGCTCCTACAAACCCCGCTATCATTGACACTCCATTTTTTGTCAGGAGTGGGCGGAGCTGCAGCTCCGCCCGCTCCCCCACTTCAGCTGAAAGTGCCATGCTGGTGGTTTGACGACTGTCAATCATTTCCTTATCTAGTGAACCACCAAGGACGTGGGTGCATGCTTGCCATGCTGCCCAATCTGTCATGCCGATATGTGGAGAATAGCCTTGGCCTGAATGTCAGATCGAGCCCGATCTCTCGGCACGGACTCTTGATAAACCCGTTAGAGACTTACACGTACCCGTGACCGATAGCTGATCACACCTGGTGGTATGGGTGAGGCAAGGACAAACAAAAAATAAGTTCCGTGGAGATGCAGAGTCAATACGAGAAGCAGAAGGCGCCCGCTGAGGATGCTTAGTATAGACACCCACCCTCAACGCGCTCTCCTTGGCCAATTCGGAAGCCAGTTTCGTCCATGGTGTAGATATGGATCTCTTGGTTGAATACCGTAGGCCTCGGTGACATTGGTGTACCTACCCATTCATCATCCAATACCACCAGGAACCTCACCTATTCCTTGAGTAATCTCTTTAAGCTCACGCACTTTTTGCTTGAATTTCGAATAACACTTTGGGAAGTTATGGGCTCACTATTTACTCGTGTGGTCGTTCTCGTAGAGCGGCAGTGGAGGATATCTTGAGCTGGAATTTGAATGCGCGGAGCATCCAAGGACGCCACTAGGCCATCAAACTTATGATATATACCAGTAAGAGTGCTTCCTGAGCATTATCAAGTCTCTTATTTTCGATCCAAGGCGCCTTGGATGATGCTCTGCTCCTAGTTCGTGCATAAAGGCGTTGAAAGTCCTTTGAATATCTGATTCTAATCTACTAGCAGTCTGCATCGTTGAAATTGAAAGCTATTGGTGGCTAGAGGAGTTGGTAGCTACCAATAAAATCTCTTTCGTTTCGGATGAGTGCTTGTTTCGCTGTGGCTAGCTGACCTATACGTCAGGGTGGAGATACAATCTGCTTGGCACTCTTCCTGCGTTGTGATTAATAGGATTATGCGACATCTGAGGAGCATTATTTAATCAACGTCGATCGAAATTCTCAGTCCATCAATTCGCATACAGATTACATGATAGAGTCCATGCTAATTAAATGAAATACGGCTGATACTGATACTGCCGTAGATGACCTTTCAGCCTGTAGGATGTGATTAACCTGACTATGGATATGGATATGGCGGGCTGAGGCTGCAGTGCGTGCGTGAGTCCGTTAATGCATGGGCCATAGTGAGTTGCAAAGAGGCTACAGCTGGTGCCACGACACATGGCCAAGAAACATCTGCGTCTAACCGGCTTGGTATAGTGATTAACAAGATCATGAGAGAAGCAGTTCTGTAGATCGGTCCGTGCGGAGAGGGTCCCGAGATCAAGCTAGCGCTGGGTGGCCATCCATCCATCTTGATTACAGGAGAAGAGTCAGAGGACTGAGAGGACTCGAAAAGGTCCGACTGAACATTGAGATCGATCATCGCGCTAATGCAAGATAAGTATGGTTTTGTGCATAACTGTTATGTAACGTATCCACGGGAAGCCGCGCGGCCCATCTCTTGCAGCCATTTCCCCTATTAACCTTACACTCTTCAACGCGTCACCTGTCACAGGCTATGACCTGGAATACGGACTCGGCCATGCCCTCACCCATGAATATTCTGGAACGATGATCAGAGAATGATGAAGTCAGGGAACTAGATAGAAGGCTCCATATCATGTATATGAGTAGTAGAAGGGGGTATAGGCTGCGAGGGAAGGGGTTTCACCATCTGAGGTATTAGCAAAGGCTTTTGCCTCAATTTCATTGTGTGAAGAAGCAGGTTCTAACTAACAGAATCGCCCCGCTTCTCGAAACTATGGTGTACATGGTTCATGAGGGTTTGTATACTGCTTTTTCCTTGTCCGTCACAAATACAAGGCATCTCCGCGGGGAAGGAAAAGGCTCGAGCTTCGATGTTTAGTATCTTTCCGACCTACTCTCCCTTACCAAGATATCGAATATCAAGTATAGTTCTTCCAGTCACTCCTGCAAGTTGCGGCCAGAGCTTTCTGTGTCACCCTAGATACTGTTCTCATCTTTTCGCCTAGTATTACTTCCCTTAACAACAACTCCGATGCTACGCAGCGAGAGAACATGGATAGATTCATTCTAATTGCTATCACTAGTCATCTCTCAAATCATCCTCACCAAGCTCATCCCAATTGGTGTCAAGGTCGCCCTCAGCATTGGACGTTTCTTTCCCCTGGCGTATCGAGACACCTTAATCTTGAAGACTTCCATCTGGCGATCTGTCATCGGCGGCTCGCCCAGTTTCCTCCGGTAATCATTCTCTAAGAACTCATCCCATTCGCCCCTTAGAATCAACTTCCTGCGCTGGTGCTGACGACTGGCGATACTGAGATCCACACCCCATCCCCCGTGGCCTGCGATATTGTAGAGAAAACCACCTTTCTTTTCCGTGCTGTGGCCATCCAAGAATCCTTCAACGACAATCTCTTCTACGCCATCTTCATTCCTGAATTTGAGGTCGAACCAGTTCCGTCCAAGAGAGCCGAAGAAACCTGTCAACCAAACGTTGGGAGAAGAGCCTGCCCAGGTGATCTTGGCATTCGAAGACCTCAACAAGGGCAGCTGGAAAGGTATGTCGTAGTTGCCAGGGCTGCCTCTGTGGATGCACGAAGAAAAGGTCCACTTATCGCCATTGATGAGCGAAAACACGATGGGTGTCATCTGATTCCCCTGAGCTTCAAACACAATCGTCGTGGAATGGAACTATGCAGCCGGTGGTGCACTTAGAAATTCTGATCATGCTGTGTAAGGGGCTCGTGGACGAGGTAGTATCTCACCGTTCGAGGGTCGTGGGGACCACCACGAGTGTCAATGCTGAACGCTCCATTGTTGTTGGAGACATTCATCTCGCTGAGCTCAAACTTGGTTGTCACAAAGCCACCATTCATGTTCCTGGCCAGGCAAGTCAAGTACGGAGGGTTACCACTAGAGAAACTGAGATCTTTGACGTCGCTGGTAACTCCGACCAAGCGGCCACCCCATTGAAGGATTCCTACACGGCGTTTAGCAATCAGGCAATGGCTAAACTCAGGAGTCTTAGATTGACGCACCGTATTCGACTCCTATATATTTGTTGAGGGAGACACTCGAGTCCCAATATTTGCCGTGCTGGTCAGGTAGCTTTGCGCTCAGAATGGCATCTTTGCTCTCATTATTGAATGAGATATCTTTTGCAACTTCCCACCATTTGGCCATTTTGGAAGGATAAAAGGTGTATAGGAAGGAAACGGAAACTTTCAAAGTGAAGCGCTGTCTGTCATCACAACCCACTCCGTACCTGGATAGAGAGCGCTTTAATACCCCTCCTGGTGCGGGGTTGCTACATGTACACATTGCAAGCGACGATCTTTTGCTAGCCCGAAGGGTGACAAGATGGCGGTGTGAAGGTGGCGAAGATAGTCATTATCGATTAGCATTTTTACACTTTTTGAATGGATGGAAATGATGCGTCTATGCTCGGTTTTCTCCACAGTTCAGCTAAGCCCCATACTCAGCTACACATGCATGTCTGCTAGAACTGCAGGGATCTCATCTTTTGTTCAATCAGCCACCCTTTCTGCAGATGATTTCACCTACATGATGAAAATAGCGATGATATCAATGTAGTTTGTCGAAACTGACCAATATAATGACGTGTTCGTCTTCTGTCAAGATTATCCAAGACTTATCTCTAAAAGAAAAGGGTCTAATATCTACTGAATTTTCACACACACTGCAAACCTTTTCCATTAAAGGCGTGCGGCACCACTTTCTACGTCATGTCTCCGCTTTAGACCTTTTTGCCATGCACTTCTGGTGAGGTCATACGATGTTGCGAACACGACTACTGGTACTGGAGTGATTTAAAAACTGACTTCCCCAATTGGGTGAGCTTAATCGCTCTTGTCCAAACCAATAAGGCTCCTTAGTGACTCAATGGCAGCGGCGCGAAATTAATGTACGGCGCGCAGGGCTGGCTGCGCACCAACTCATGAAACCACCTGAGGCGGTACAGCGAACTATGGTCCTCCTCCTCGTCAAATGGCTGCGGCTCCCGCGCGGTGAACCGCACGCCCGCAGGCGCGCCGGGCGACTGCCCCGTCATCGTCGCGGCCATTCGCTTCACGACGTCCGCGAGGTTCCTCGCGTCCTTGCATGCAGTTAGCATGGGGAGCTCGATGAGGACACTTACCTTGACCACAGGGACCGCGTCGGTGCCGGGGGCGAGTTGCCCTCGAAGGGCCGTCTTCTCACCCTCGGTGTAGTGTCTGATCCACATGTGGAAGCGGCGCACGGAGGCGGCGCCCTGTGTCGTCAGATAGGGCTCCATGAGGTCGCGGAGGTTCTCGCCGATGAGTTTGCCGCCCTTGTACGTGTCGAATGCCGTCGCGGTATCGAATTCCAGGGCGAGGGGCTTGGTGCCCTCGGGTTGGCGGAGCGAGTTCAAGGGGATGTATTCGCCGGAGAGCTTGGTGCTGCATTTGGACGCGAGGTCCAGGCACGTAGGGCAGAGTTGGGAGAGGTTCCCGCAAGGCATTTTGGTGGTGTTGTATAAATAGGGTGAGAGGGTTGTGGATTTCGTCCTGAGTGAGTTTCATGCTAGTGGGGGGAATCTCGTCGTATTTATATCTTCGACAGGATATCCAGCTAATTACAAAGCCGGTTACCTTGTTGAATTATAATGGCTTTCTCACTGGGCACAAACAGCAGCAAGGCTCTATGTTAAAAAGACTCTTAGCACCGGCCACTACCGCCTCCTCACTACTATACTCCCACTCCTACTTTAAAACCTCCCTCGCCTTGACATCACTTATCCTCCTCTCATGCCCTAACTCCAGGAGCACAAGCTTCACAACCAGCCACACCAGCGCAACAACCTGGACCGCAAAATTTAGCAGGACCATGATTAGTACCTTCCTTGCCCTTTGCCTAAATCTCCTTAGAATCTTTGTAATATCTTCTATCCAAAAACTCCCTTTGCTAATACACAGGAACCACTCTCCACCCACCACGGGCGTCGTCATGGCAAGTAGATGCATCCCCACGCAGTCACGCACATCAACAATCAGCTAATGCAGCTTTGGGATTCTGGGGGCGTTCCCCTGTAATAGCTTAATGAGCGTCTAGAGACTTGTCCTGTTTTCTTTACCTAGCGCGGGGCTGAAGATTGTTACAGGGTTAATAGTCATGAGATTAAATAACAGCGCCTGCTCCTAACTACTAGCATTAGCATTCTTGTTACTAGATATAGTCTCCATAAACTCCCACGCCGCCTGTTTAGCTAACGTCTTTGACTGCTGATACGGCAACACATGTCCCAAATCAAGATTCGTCCAATCCACTTCCATGAACCGCCGTTCCTTACCACTAGCCCCCGCGTATCTGTATTCGTGTCCATATACCACCGCCGCCAAAGAACTCGTGATCACGACACGCTTTACAGTCCTAGAATCTCTCGCGGCGCGGAGAACACGCAGTGTTCCCTCACGAGCAGGTCTAATAAGTCCAGCGTCTATATCCTTAGGGAAATGAGCGGGGAATGGTAATGCGATGTATTAGATGTGCATGGCATCTACGACCACGGCGGGCCAGTTGTCATCAGTGAGGAGGTCGGGTTGGATGATTTCCAGAGAGGAGATTTGCTTTGTGCTTTAGCCAGCTTCAGGCAGGCACGAGCGGATATAGGCTATGCGTGTGAGGTCGCGGACCATGGTGCGAACACAGTAGTTCTGCTGGAGGAGGAGGGTTATCACCCACAGGGCAAGGAAGCCCGTTCCACCAGTTACAAGGACAAGAGGGGGTTCTGGGGACATTATTGGTAATTTCTAAATAAGAATGGCTTTAAAACAGACGAGGCAAGTGGCCGTCATATCCCCTGATTCGAAACCCAAGGGCTTTATATGCCCCTTTTCACCCCTACCAGCCCCCAGGTTCAGCGAACAAGCTGCCCAATGCAGTTTAGCAGTGGCTGTCACCAGGTTGCATAAACTAACCCAGCTGGGGAAAGGCGTCTTCGCGCGGTGAGATTCATAAAGAATCGACATATACCTCTCCATAGTGAAAAACAAAAAGGGTCGAAAAGGACAAACCCGCCAAAACGGTTGCATCCCGACCTTGGAAGCTAATTCGGGGCCATACCCTCACCCTTCTGGTTCAACGGAATCCACTGCATGGGCAACACCCCCAAAATCGCCACCACGCTCAATGCGAGACCAGCATAAAACGAATACGTAATCGCGCTACTGTACCTTGCCAACACAACGTCCAAAACCTCTGGCTCCACAACATCCCTGAATCCCGCCGCCCCGGCGGCCACAACGCGGCCTACATCGACCCTCTGCACCCCACCCAATAGCGTCAGCAGCCGATTGTGAAAGAGATTCTGCGCAACGGACAGGAAGAGGGTGCCGCCGAGCGTCTGCATGAAGATGACAATCACTGTTGCACTCGGCGCATCCGCTGCACTCTCCACGCACGACTGCACAGCGAGGATCGGCTGCGTCATGCCCAGCCCGCAGCCCAAGCCGTAAAGAGCTTGGTAGCCGAGGTAGGATGCCTGCGATGAAGATGGCGTCAGTGTTGTGAGGAGCCCTGCGGCTATGGATGCGAGGACTGGGGCTACCACCATGAAGGGCATGTAGTGGCCAAAAACTGTGACGAGGAAGCCCGAGAGGATTGTGGATATGGCGAGTGTGCCCAGCACAGGGAGGTTGAGGACGCCGGACATTGTTGCGGAGGCGTTTTTGATGGCCTGGAACCAGATCGGAAGCTGAAATTTGACCTTGTTAGAGCTGCGAAGGGCAGACAGTAGACGGCAAGAGAGATATCAAGGAGGTGAGGGTTTTGCATACATAGTATGAAAATACTAGCAAGGAAGCGCTGAGACATAACCCGCTCAGCGACGCGCCCCAGATGTTCCTGTCGCTGAGGATGCGGGGGGGAATGGTAGCTTTGTCCTGCTCGTAGATTTGGACAGCGATAAAGGCCAAGAAAAGCACGCCAAACACAGTAAAGAGTGCTATCACTCTCGCGTCGGACCAAGGATACTCGGAGCCACCCCATTGCAGCGCTAGAAGCAGACAAATTATCGAGGGGAGGAAGAACAGCAGGCCAAGGGGATCCAGCTGGAAAAGCTTCTCCCGTACACCCGCAACTGACTTGGCCGGTTCCTTCGATTTCAGGAGCAATAGATTGACAAAAGCAGTAACTCCACCAAGGGGGAGGTTGATATAGAAACACCAGCGCCATGTTATGTGATCTGTTAACACACCACCAATCAACGGTCCTGCAACCCCCGATACCGAAAAGACTGCTGTGATGATCCCATTATACACAGGTCGCTGATGCATGGGCGCGTTTTCCGCAATAATAAGCATGGCCCCTGAGTAGAGCCCCCCAGCGCCCAGGCCCGCAATGGCTCGCCCGATAATCAGGCCGAGCGAAGACGGTGTCACACCACAGAGGAGGGAGCCCATTTCAAAAAGGGCCAGGGCGCACAGGTAAACCCATTTCACGGGGAAGAAGGTGTACAGTTTGCCGTAGAAGAGGCTGACGCTACAGTTTGTGAGCAGGAACGCGCTGCCGTACCAGCCAACGTCGCCAAGGGAGTCGAACTGCGCAGTAATTCGAGGAATCGCAGTTGCGAGGATTGAGTTATCCTTATAGTACTGTGCTTAGTGTCTCGGAGATATATGATGTGGAGACGGCTTGGAGTGAACTGGGGATCTAAAGACAACCTACAAGCGCGACCAGGGTGGAAGAAAGCGACAGCCCAACCATGATGGTTGCAAATATCCAGGTTGAAGGGTACTGCTCTGCTCCTGTACTTTCTGGCTGGTGGGTATCATGTTCGCCATTCACAGGTGCTTCGTTTATTTCAAGCGGCACGAGCCTTGTCTCGCTCTCCTTTGTTGGGATCGGGTCCTCCTGGGGAATGGTTTCTCGAGAGGTGCGCGGCGCGGTTGGCACCGCCATTTGCTGTAGACTGTGTTCCTCCATTTCTGTGTGACCTGGAGGTACAGACAGGAAGTAAGTCGCTTTCGAACAGCGTGCAGAATATTGGATGGGCTCTGGTTAATGTGCAGGATAGGGATTGGATATCAGGCCGTTTGGAGGTGGCGTAGTATGGAATGCTGGCACTCTGTCACTACAAGGGAGGTGCTTTGCTGGAAGAGATGCAAGGGGCATCGAACTGGCTGAAAGGAATCCACATGCGCGATGCCGAGTGCGAGCCACTTCTAAATATTTTCTTGCATCCTACCCACTTAATAGTCCGCCCCCCGCGGTAATTCTTGCATGGATCCAACACACTGAGATCTTCTCCCTAGACAGATCGAGTACCACCAGTGCGAGAGGATCCCCTCGGAATGGTTGATCGTCTGCTTAGATCCAAAGATAGAGTGAAGAACTGCTTGGACCGCAGGAGAGCCTTGCGGATGGCTTGGAGGGTCATTCCAAGGCGGACCAGGGGCTGCAGCTACCTTTGTGGAGGGCATCAACGAGGCGCTTGGGCCGTGGCTGCTGAGACAGGCAGAGACATCGATTGTCTCAATGGCCGCGGCGATGGAGCCCATAGTGGAGGTACAGCGCGAGTTGAGCAAGGCCTAGGTTCCTAAATCTGGTGAGGTAAAGGACGAAAACTGGAATCCTTTAAGCGGTGGCACGACGACGGACAAACTGAAAAAGCCGCTCACTTACATCAGGTCGCCGGTGCAGCGATGCTGCTTCTGCAGCATTAGACTCACTGCAGGATACACTCACTCACTCCTCGAGTACTGAGAGAGGAATGCCGGTTGACTCTTGCACGTAGAATGATCGTATTACTCTTATTCCTCACAGACGTATGGATCTGTAGCATGGTGGAGAATATGATTGGTTGCTCAAGCCTCCTGTGTCGACCTTTGACATGGTTGTGGAACAGTCCCACATGCTTGTACTACTGTATTTAGCGCTAATCGTTAGAAAGAAGAAGGGCGAAAGAAGAGATAAAGGATGGCACACACGCAAACGCAAGGATTTGTAGCATGTCACACAAGGTATTTGCCTGTTTAGCACTGTTGGCTTGACCCTCGACGTCACATATTTTACCGTGAAAGTCGGGCTTAGATCCTCCTTTGCAGACCGCATTTTGATGTGATGAACCTGGCAAATTATACTGCACTTCTCCTCTACTCCTCTACAACCCGTCATCATAAGTATCTGGAACCCGGACCATTAAGCAATCGGCAGTCCCTTTCTTGAATCATCTTCCCCCGAGAAAGACCAAACTTCATCCTTGTAAACATGGAATACAACACAACCGAACAGCCGTTTGTGCCTGCTGTCCAACTCCTCCACAAGGGCACCATCGGCACTGTTTCCGTGAGCACCATGAATGACCCCCAAGAGGCTACAGCAGACGAGACCGCCTGCCGCGCAACTTGGCTCGAGAAGACAGCCTCCCTCTTGGACAAGATGCTCTCCTCGGCAAACTGCCCAGCCCCGCACAAGGAATCCTACATGGCCTTCCACACTCAAACCTTGGTCCCGCTGATGGGCCCTTACCCTCAGAAGTTCCGCAGTGTTGTAACCCGCAGTGGCCTTCCGCTTGAGTTCAGCGCAAACTATACACAGCACAGCAAGGGTGATCCAACGTGGAGAATCGGATTCGAGCCTGTTAGCATGGCCTCCGGCTCGCCCGGTGATCCATACAACCAGGTTGCCATGAGCGCGTTGCTGAGTAGTTTGAAAAGCTTGAACCTGCGCGGCTACGACACGGGCCTCTTTGAGCACTTTGTGGCAAGGCACACGGTCAATCAACCGGAGCGGGACTCCCTGGGAGGGAAGCAGCTTGATGGAAGTGACATTAGTCGGTCCCAGGTCGCCTTCGGTTTTGATCTCAAGGATGGTCAAATCGCCGTCAAGGGGTATACCTTCCCGGCGCTGAAATGTAAGGTGACAGGGAAGGAGTTTGGCACCCTCTTCCGTGACTCGATTTATCCCCTCATTGGGTGCATGGGCGGAGACCACACCCAGGCCAGCTTCGATACCATTGACGAGTATATGAAGGAGACGAGCGGATGGAGCGACTGGTCATTCTTCTCGTGGGACTGTGTTGCGCCTGCCAAGGCGCGACTTAAGCTCTACAGCTCGACCAATCTCGTGAAATGGTCCAAAATGGAGGAGATATGGACGCTGGGAGGGCGAGTCGTCGGGGAATCGAACATGCAGGGCTTGACATATCTTCGGCGCCTGTGGGAGCTAGTGCAGATCAAGGATGGGTACCGTGCATTCACGGGCGGGTTTGACAATGACACTGACTCAACACCGACGCCCGTGCTCTGGAACTACGAGATTAGGCCGGGAAGTCCAGAGCCGCTCACCAAGGTGTATCTCCCTATCCATGGCGAGAATGATCTTATGGTTGTACGCGGGGTCGGTCAGTTCCTGGAAGAGATTGGGCTTGTGAAGACGGGGAGAAGTTATGTGCAGACAGTGAGGGACTATTAGTAAGTCCAGTGGAATTTTTCTATTGGCTGTTTTTTTTTTCGTTCTCTTTGCACTTTGTTGACGCGACTGACGTATTGATTACAGTCCTGGGCGAAATTTGAGCGAGACAGCGTGTTTGACCTCGTGGCTCTCCTTCGCGTATACGGAGGCTACTGGAGTGTACCTCACTGTATACTACCACTCGTCGTTTGATTACCCGTGGGCTGAGAAGGAGGAGAAGTAGGTGCGAGATGGTTTCAGACAATGTGTGTGGGCATGTGACATCTTCGGCAGGATATCGTTTATCTCAAGTCACAGGATACACGGGGTAAATGCTACATAGAGTCTAAGATCTCGTATTTGTATTGCAACGGATGATAAACGACACTTGACGCATTATTGTCATGTAGATGTTAGTTCCGTGTACTTAGAAGAGTAGCCAACTCTTGGACTCAAACTGGAATAGTCTATGAGAAGCCCTTCCGTCTACCTTTGGCATTGACCTGTACTGGTAATATCTTCTCTGCACGGCTGCCACCGTCATCTGTGTGTATATAATCTTGAATTGGAGTAAGTGGGTACCTCTAGATAGTCAATTATTCTGTGCTATCCTGACTTGTGACCACTTAATCGGTGACTCAATTGGGTTGATCGGCCATGCTCGAGCAGCACAGTCCAGTGCCTGGTTTGCCCAATGCAGTGGTTCAAACTATCGTGCAAGGACTGTGTCGTGCTCTCCTTTTGCTCCCTTGCTTTCAGCCCAACTTGGATTAACCCTTGGCGGCTCCACTGGTGCAAGGGGGCTGTGGTGGAATGAAGCCTCATAAAGCGTGGCACAACGACAGAAGAGGTTAGATCAAGTATGCGCTACCACACCTTTGCATACTACATTCTGTCCCTCAATGGGGCAGCCCACGCTAATGGAATTGCTGTGCTTATACTGCAGCTTGCCTAGTCACAAAGAGCATTGTTAATAGACTTGGAACTCCCAGCCTCCGTAGTTCACCTCGCGGCATGCACTCAAAAGACACCACTCATCTCAGTCAAGCGTCCAGAAGGACAAGCTTTGCCCATGTCCGTCACGGATCACTCCCTTCTACTAGCGGGGGTCTCTGGCGTCCTCGCCCACCACTTCTACTTCAAACTCGGCGAACACCATCTCTACCCACTACGCTCTTTGCTCCGTTATATTGTCATAATCACCGCGATCGCGCTGGCCCTCAGCCTCGGTAAATCCATATCGCTGTATAGCTCCATGAAGACAACAGCATGGATGGTAATCACCCATCTAGCAGGCCTCTACATTTCCCTAATCCTATACCGGGCCTATTTCCATCCACTCCAACACATTACCGGTCCGTACGGCGCGAAAATCTCGGGCCTATGGTTTTCATTCAGAATGCGCCGCGTTCCAGCCTATAAACTCCTCCGCGATCTCCACGCGAGATACGGACCCATAGTTCGGGTTGGCCCGTCTAATGTCTCTATTATTCATCCCCAGGGCGTCGCCCAGATCTACGGGTCCCGCTCGAGATGCTCAAAGAGCTCGTTCTATGACAATGGCCATCCGATGGGCTCCCTGCACTCCTATCGGAGCCGCTCAGAGCACGACCAGCGCCGGCGCGTGTGGAGTACAGGGTTCAGTGATGCGAGGCTGAGAGGGTATGAGTCTCGGATCCGCGTATACCGCCAAAAGCTATTTGACCGGCTGGTTTCTCTTAGCGGAGAGGACGGGCAGCCCGGTACCATCGACATAAGCACTTGGTTCAATTTCTACAGCTACGATGTCATGGGCGATCTGGCCTTTGCACGCAGCTTTGGCATGCTCGATACGCAAAGCAATCACTGGGCAATTGATGTTCTTCTCGCGGGTATCGTCCCCTTTGGGTATTACCTCCCATCGTGGGTCTTTCGTTGTTTGATCACTGTCCCCTCGCTCTCGAAGGACTTTCATCGCTTTGTAGACTTTGCGACGCAGACGCTTGTTGAGAGGATGAATGTGCGTCATTTTCCCCACTAGGCGTCATGAAGATCATTGGCGAGACTTCTAAGATTTGCATCGTTACTGACTTTCTATGTGTACAGACCACGGTGGAAATCCCCGACATCTGCGCATCATTCCTGGCCCCTCTCAAGGGAGAGAGGCCGACGCCTGACCAGTTCAGCCTCCTAATGGGCGACGCCATGCTAGTCATTACAGCTGGAAGGTACGTGCCTCTACTTGCATTTTCAGTCACCTACCATTCTGGAGACAACCGATTAGGACAACCGGCTAACGAAGGAGCTCTGCAGTGACACGACCGCCACATCCCTGACCAGCATCGTCTGCGAACTCGCCCGCCACCCAGCGCAAGTCGACAAGCTCCGCGCAGAGCTCGAGCCTCTCGCTGCAGACGATCCTTCCTCCAGCGAATACCTGCACAGCCAGATTGCGAACCTTCCTCATCTGAACGGCTTCATCAATGAGACACTACGACTACACCCGCCAATTCCAAGTATTATCCCGCGGGACACCCCGTCGGAGGGGATCACGATCACCGTTGATGGCATCAAAACCCATATCCCTGGTGGTGTGACTGTTTTCTGTCCACAGTGGGTCATTGGGAGATGTATGAGCCCTTATTTACACCTGTATATTTGCATCCTTCGAAGTTGTGGCCACTAACGAGGTGTTTCTTGTTATTTTCGATAATCCAGCGCCAGAATCTTACGTAGAGCCCCTTTCCTTCATTCCCGAACGCTGGTATGACCGGCCCGACTACATCAAGGCTCCCGAGGCATACGCACCTTTCTCAAGCGGTATGTCTATCAATACCCTGACCCACGTCTACCCACAGTCACATCTAGGATTCCACTCATAACACCCCATCAACAGGCGCATATAGCTGTATTGGGAAACCGCTAGCCCTGATGAATATCCGCACCACAATCGCCCGCCTGGTCATGACGTTTGACGTTTCCTTTCCAGAGAGTGAGAGTAAAGGCGAGAAGGTTGATCCACTCAATAATGCAAAGGACCATTTCTCGATGGGTATTGATAGCATGGTCGTCAAATTGGTTCGGAGGGATCAAAAGGAGAATCAAAAGAAGGCTAATTGAGTGAACTCTCTGCTTGGATAGCTAATAACTATTTCAAAACCTAGGTCCTCCAAAAGCGTAGATGTAGGCCAGAATGGCCTAGGTCTATACACCTTGCTATTCTTGGCATTTCAGAGACATCCGACATCATATTGATGGCCTAACAGCCCATCCGAAGGTGGATGCTTTCGCAGAAAGGTACGACTAGAGAATGACTATAGGCCTTCGTTTGAATGTAATCCTCTTTTTGCTTGGACGTCCTAGCCAGGACCAAGGTTTGTTTCACTCGAAGCTACACAGTCTGTCGTGATATAGGCAGCTAACTTAGGTGCAGCTTAAGAAATAATAGGATGGATAAAACAGATCAGTTACTGCGATAAGTAGAATTGCTGCGCTGGTACCGATACTACTAGGCTACTAGTAGCCATCCAGCGATCCATCACTGGACCGATACTGACTGTCGTGAACACACAATAGTCCTGACGTGGTCCATCTCTAAATGGTTTATATACAGAGACAGCATACCAGCGCTCCCAACAAACGTTGATATTGATCTATTGACTTCTGTTTCATTTTTTAGTTTCTAATATCGGCGACCTCATCAGTGTAACACTCACTGCCGCGCCAATAGTTCATCCATCATATTTGGCAGTGCGCCCCCTCTCCCCTGGGCCTCTATCCAGCGGTAAACTAGAAAATATTGGTAAACAAGGGCCATAAGGTCAGTGGGATGACAAGCCCACTGTAAGGCAGCGGATACTATTTCCGCGATGTCGAGAAGCAGTCGAACGAGGATATTTTCTTCCATTTGGAGTTCTTGATGAGGAAACAATGTTATATCTCTCCAGGTTGTGCATAGTCTCTTTTACGTCCTTTCTGGTTATTTTATATTCTTTTGTTTTACGCTCTTGACAATAGTTCCATTTCTTGAATCTTAATTTTATTTTAATTTGGCGAGAAAAAAAAGCTGCCGGAGTTGAGTCACTTTCCCCGAAACCGGTGCACTCACGATGTGTAACTGGGACCAGGATATGTCATCGCGCCTTTGCTTCAGTATAAATGACCTCCTGTCGGATACCCGGCCGCTGACGAGATGATTTACGAGACTAATCAAGCAGGAATTGATCGACCCTGCATCAGCGGCAAAAGAAGAATTGAGTGCTGAACGTCGGCTGGCCCGCTGGCATACCGAGACCGCAATCGAGCGAAGACCCCTTGCGGTTCTCACCTCGGAAATACCCATTTGGCATGAGAGCAGCTATACAGAGTTAAAGTAAAACCATGTTATAGGTAGCTTGTCCAATCTGATGGTTGAAAATAGTGCCTGTAACCGGTCATAAGCAACGATTCAGCAGATTGTCTCCACAAAACCGTGCAAGGGCTAAACCAGGTGGATCCTGAAAGGAACTTTGTGAGACCTCGACTGTGCCCCTTGAGTACAGAGCATCTCTGTGCACATTGGTGCCGTACTGGGATGGCTTGAATGTATCCAACCTGCAAGGGGGTGTGACGCTGGGGGCATGGCACGCCACAAAACGACCCATTCTTCGCGATGCCACGAATACCACTCCATTACACGGGGAGCAAGCTAACTGGCAATTGGTGAATATTTAGAATGCAGTTGCACTACAGTTGGTGGCGGAGCCGGTTTATGCACTAAAATGCCATTGGATGCGGACCAGGTGCGGCACAAATTGTATCAGATCTCAGACTGCTTTGTGGTACGGACTGAGCTCCTCGATATCCGTGCGCGCTAGAACGTATTATATACATCCTCCTCCCTGAAGAGTGCAGCCCGTCGATTTTCTGTGAAAAGCAAACAGTTCATGTAGGCTTTGACTCTCAATGCAGTTTATTCACCTGTTAGCAGCAGTGCTCTTGCTGGGCCATTGTTACTCCCTCGACCAAAGAACCCAGAGTTGCCGCTGTCGACCGAGCGATCCCTGCTGGCCGTCTCTGGACGATTGGCAGGCGCTGAACAGTTCTTTACGTGGACGCCTCTTTGCCGTTAGACCCACAGGGCATGTCTGTCACGAGCCTACGTATGATGAGACTGCCTGCCGGCACGTTGAGAAAATGTCGCCTAGTGGTGAGTGGAGGGCCGGCCAGCCGGGTAGGTAGTCTGAGCACGTTCTTTTGAGAGGGCACTTTCAAGACTAATCATCAATCAACAGGCGCCCTGCAAGACTACGGCTGGGAAAGCTCTCTCTCACGCAACCAAACATGCTACACCGGTCCAGGCAATATCCGCTCAGACCCCTGCGACCAAGGCCGGATTCCACTTTACTCGGCACTGGTGCAGTCGACGGCAGACGTGCAAGCGGCCATCCGCTTCGCTGCGGATCGCAATCTCCGTCTCGTTGTTAAGAATACGGGCCATGACGCCGTCGGCCGATCAAGTGCCCTTGATTCCTTCCAAATCGCCACGCAGGGTTTGAAAACTCTCACATTCACCCACGACTTTGCGCCTTATACCGCGGGAACGAATGTCACATCAGAAGGGCCGGCTGTCACTTTTGGGGCGGGTGTGCTTGGCAAGGATCTGTATGCTGCTGCTGCGGCGCATGGCTATACCGTTGTTGCTGGCGAGTGTGGAACTGTGGGCATCGCTGGGGGCTTCATCCAGGGAGGCGGCGTATCGACGGTTCTGGCGCCGCTGAGGGGCCTCGCAGCTGATCAGGTCCTGCAGTTTGAGGTTGTCTCCGCAGATGTATGTACAACCTTATCCTATCATTTTAAAGATCCCAGCCACTAAGAAAGAACCCACACCCAGGGCACCCCAGTAGTGGCAAACCAGTACCAAAACAGCGACCTTTTCTGGGCCCTCCGTGGTGGTGGCGGGGGAACATTTGGGATCGTGACCAGCGTAACAATGCGCGTCTTTCCCGACCACCCCGTGGTAATCACCGACCTGACCTTCGCAACGCCCACCCGGTCCCAAAACTACTGGGCGGGCGTGCGCGAAGTCATCGAGAAAGCCCGCGAGCTCGCCGTCGGCGGTGCCTCTGCGCAGTATTATATCGGACGGACGCCAGACGGGAGTCCCTATGCGAAGCTCAGCCTGTTCTCGCACTTTGTCGACGATCAGACCGTTATTGAGGACGCCTTTGCACCGCTACTCGCTTCGCTGAAATTAAAGGGAGTCCAAATGGTGGCATTTAATGCGACGAGGTATCCTCGGTTAACGGAGTACCTAGCGACCCCACAGGGCTTGTATTTCGGCGGAGTTGGATATTACCAGGAGAGTGTTTTGCTCTCCAACGAGCTGTATCATTCGCGCGAGGGTCCGGCGCAGATAGTGGACAGACTGTCGTCCATCGAGCTCAACCCGAGTGACGTCTGGGTTGTAAATTCGCTTGGCGGGCAGGTTAATGGGAACAGGAAGATGGACAGTGCAGTGCACCAGGGGTGGCGCGATGCAGCAATACTCCTGGTCGGAAATCGCCTGTTTGGTCCATCGCTGGAGGAGCAGAGGCAGGTCCAGAAGCGTCTAAATAAGGTCGAATGGCCGGTTCTGCAGTCTTTCGAGCCAAGACCTCTGGCGGTGTATCTAAACGAAGCGGACCCGAACCTCGAGGACTCGCGAGAGTGGTTTTGGGGGGCCAAGTATCAGCGACTCCGCGAGGTGAAGCAGAGGTGGGATCCTAGGGCCTTGTTTATTGTGTCGATGGGAGTCGGCAGTGAGGAGTGGGATGAAGATGGGATGTGTAGATATATGAAATGATTCTACCACAGGTGTTTTATTCTGATTGTTTATAGGGCATCGCATTATCCATGTCGGAGTTGCTTTTTGTAGCGACTGCCTTTTCTCCCAGCTCCTTAAAAGTGCGAGAGATACACACTAAGATACGGCTTCCCCTCTTTGTACGAAAACGAGACCGCTTCCTGGACATGCCTGGTCTTCGAAAAATCCTGCTTTGGGCTATATCCACCATCGTCAGTACCAGCAATGCAGTTTAGATAGAAGCAAGGAGCTCACTAGTAAGAGAACAGATTCTCCTTGTATGTTTTCGCAGCCTCTTCCCATCCCATTCGCACAAAGAACTGCGTGAGCGCTTCTGCAATCTGCATATCCGGCAAGCCAAACGGCACCAGATACACCTGCGGTTCGGGGTAGGGCTTGTTGGGGAGAAGGGTGTAGTTCACTATTACCGGTAGCAGTGACTTGGGCGGATCGCCTAGTTCCATGTGTTCGACCTTCATCTCTCGGATCCCTGGTGGGATCTGCAGAAGGTCCCATAACTCGCGCAGCGCCTCGAGTCCCTTTCCTTGCCTTCCCGTGGTGGTCGCCTCATTGGGAATCCGCCCGCCCAGAGTCCAGAGGTCGATGAGCCGCTCAAAGGTCACTTCGCTGTCGGACGCATACACTTTTAGCCGGGCCCGTGCTGGGTCAATCATGTCGCAACCCAGGTATCCCGTAATAAACGTGGATGCGGCACGGCTCTGTGTATAACTCTCCATCTCTGCCAGCGGAGCTGCAAGCTTCCCTGCTTGATCAACAGCCCTAATTGCATTGGCAATAAGCCGATCAGCCGAAATCCCCGTCGCCAGACTCTTCATCGTTGTAAAGAAGTACCCCTTCAGCATCGGCCGCTCGCCCTTCATATCCACGGCAAACTGGTACTGCCCACGTGCGGGGCCCCCAGGCGTAAACCCGGGCTGCGAGATAAGTTTCTTCGCTTCCTCTCTGGATAACAGGAGGAGGTCTGCCAGTTTGCGGAAGAGTGTCGTGTCTATGCTCGGGGTGAAGTGTGCGAGGTCGCCAATGACTGGCCCCATTTTGTCGACGTTGAAGGGGTCCGCCATTGTGCCAGCCTCGGGGCCGATGGGCTCGTACGAGTAACGGACTGTCAGCTCGGGGAAGTTAAGGCTGAATTCGAATGGAAGGCCGTAAGGGCTTAGGTTGCTTTTATAACGTTGCTTGCTGGGCTTGCCGCTGTTTATTTTGACAGGGAATTGGCCTAGGTGCGGTAGGACGCAGTGGTAGAAGAAAGTGAGCTGCTTGTACTGTGCGTCGCGTGAGTACTGCGCATCGGTCATGCTCTTTACGAAGACCGGCGCAGTGTGGTGCCACCATTGTCGCTGGTCCTCTGTTGCGAAGTTGAAGGACTGACTGAGGACCTCGTAGGATGTGTGGATGGCCATTGTAGATAGTTGTGGGAGACGACGACGACTGTCAATGTAGTGTGAAATGCAGGAGATAATATATATCGTGTGGTAAGCAATCTCTTGCGTAGGGTAGTTCGAACTGGAAGAATTCTCGTGTAACTCTTGTCTACTCGACTCTTCTGTCCGCAAGCAACGCTGCAAGGGGCGAGCTGGTCGTAATGGTATTATATTTGTTCGTACGTGTTATGGTTATCCGCGATCTTCCGCTGTTGATGCCATGAATATCTCCAGCTGGAGCATGTAACCGGAACTAATATTCCATTCAAACAGTAGTACTTGAAAGATATCATGAAACTACGTATCTAGCTACTTGACAGTTAGCTTAAGGCATGGGATGGGTGTCGAATTTGTTAGTGGACACACACCGTAAAAAGAGACGAATGCCCACGGCTAGCAGGAATCCTGAATGGCTCTGCACGGGCGGGGCCCTGTCGGTTATTCTCTCCATTCGTAACAGGAAAGCCCATAGAACTGGGGATATCTAAACCGCAGCCATGATCAACATATTCAGATCAAGCAGTATTAGCCTTAATAGAGATCTTTACTCTAGTCCTCAGGCCATCTAAGCATAACGTTCTCGTCCCCGTAGGTGATCAATTGCTTCCATCTGTTGCTTCCGTTTCCAGCCATCCATGATGGATATCAGGCTCAAGGATCTTACTTTTGTCTCGAAATTGTTCCTTATGTGGGGATCGGATGGACTTGCAAAAGACCAGGATGTGAGTTGTCTCTGATAAACAACAATGTAGGCCTGAGAGCTGCTGCAAGGGGAGATGGGAATGACTAGAAATCCTATGGATGTCTCTTTGTCTGTTTCCAGGCCTTACATGCAACAAGAATGTAGGGCAGGGCGGCATAGATTGTCCCAGTCCTTGCTTCTGACGTTGCACAGATAGCAAGTACCAGTTTACCAGGGTCTGGCCCAGAGTCCAGGCATCCAGCAAATATAGGCTAGACGGCGGCGCTGTACCATTTTTATCACTCTTCAAACCTACATCCACCCCAAGTTGTTCGATGCACGAGTAGCAGCCATGACAAAGACCGACGCCCTCCCGCAAGACCGTGTGCCTTGCGCTCCGCCCACGGTCCTAGTTATTGGACTGGGCATTGCAGGGCTCACCGCAGCGATTGAGTGCCACCGAAAAGGGTGCAAGGTGATCGGGTTTGAAAAGAAAAGAGGCGCAACTCAGCCAGGTGAGAGAATCCGGTTTCCGCGAACCTCGTAGTATTGGGACTTGAAGCTGATATACCGCCGTGCCGAGTAGGCGACATTATCGGGTTAAGCGGCAATAGTGTGCGAGTGCTCTCACAATGGAGCCCGGAGTTTTCTCAGTTTGCCGACGAGGAAATTACCTGCGCCGTGGAGGCCTTAGAGTTCTATGACCCAGCTGGAAATTTGCATGTCTCGATGCCATATAACCCCGCAAGTCCCACTCAGGGATATATGTTTCGGCGAACAGGGCTTCTGGAAAAGCTCTACGAACAGGCTATCCGAGACGGAATCGAGCTCAGATATGGGGTAAATGTCACGGGGTATTGGGAGGACGTAGGTAGTGCGGGCGTTTATATTGGTGACAGCAATCACAACATCGTCGCGGACTGTGTTATTGCTGCAGATGGTTTTCATAGTACAGCAAGAAAAGTGTTTACCAGCGAAAAAGATGCCCTGCAGCGAGATGAGTTCATCGGAGCGATCGCATATCGGGCGATCTTTGATGCTCGCGAAACAACCCACCTCCCTGAAGCGCAGTGGCTCCTTGACAAGGCGCCTGCAGCAGATGTTTTCCGGTCGTTCTTCGGCAATGATTTTATGTTTGTTACGGGTACTGCAGCCAGAGGACGGTACATACACTGGGCTTGTGCCTTGCGGGTAAGTCTGTTACGCTACGTTCCCAATTGTTCTGTCCTGCGGTGCTGATAACAGCCTACCCTCTAGGGTGAGCAGGCCGAACAGACCTCTCAAGCTTGGGTACAGCCGGCGAGCGCAGAGCCAGTGCTCGACCGCGCGCGTACCTGGCCATCACCCACAGGGAGCAAACTGGCCGCCGTCATATCAGCAACGCCCCCCGACGCCTGCTTTAGTCACGCCTTGCTCGCCAAGCCACCCCTCCGCACTTGGGTTTCTCCCAAAGGAAGAATGGTTGTGATTGGGGATGCAGCGCACCCCATCCTTCCCTACGCCGGACAGGGAGCTAACCAAGCGATTGAAGATGCTGCAGTGATTGCAATTTGCCTTGAACGAGCAGGACCGAAGAGAATCCCTTTGGCGCTGCGCGTATTCGAAAAGCTCCGGTGTGTTTTGGTTCTTTCCTTTTCTCTCCCCCCCTTTTCTTTTTTTTTACTTCTTCTTTTAGCGAGCATCAGAGATCTAACCACATTATGCCCAACTTGCATGCCAGACACGAACGAGTGTCACTAATTCAAGCGGGCTCAATCGAAGCCGAAGACGCCTATCTCAAGGCCAATTGGGAAGGTGGCGACGAAACCAAGAAGCCATCGGGATACCTGCAACAGCCATGGGTCTACGAACATGACTGCGTGGCGCATGCGCAGGCGGAGTTCGATATAGCAGTGGAAGCGATCGAGACTGGTCGGAAATATATCCCCACAAATGTCCCGATGGACGGGAAATACCGGTCGGAGCAATGAGGCCTTGTCATATTCATATGTCGTCCAAAAGATTGTACTCGCCGAGGACTGTGGATTTGCAAGATGTTGAATATGCGCAAACCTTGAGCGCCGAAATAGGCACTCCAACCTCGGATAGAAAAGTCTAACTAATTATAAGACGCTGGAGTGAAGGTTACATGCAACTCCCATATGCTGCAATGGATGGCTCGGAGTCAAGGTGGCAGCATCGAGCTTTGAAGAACCCTTCTTACGACCACGGAGAATACAGCCATTGAAGGGAGAAGGAATCTTGATAGTTTTCCTATTTAAGAAAGAAAAATAGCGAGAAGACTGTGAATTAATTTAAGTCCCTGAAGGCTCTGCACACGTCTCCTCGTCATCTATTCTCTCTCTCCCGATCCGACAGCGGGTCTACCAGCATACGAAGTACACAGCAGCCGTTCGAACTAATAGTTAGGAATTAAGTAAACGCCCACAAGACCCGCGAGGCGAGTATGGTTTTCAGTACTATCCAGCAAACTGCGCGTCATCTCCGCAGTCTCGTCAACCAAACTCTTGCACCCTCGGCGGACAGAACCCTGTTGGAACCGATAACCTCAATTTCTACCGCCCTGTCAGGGCCCTCTGCCCTGCTTAGGTCATCCAGACGTGACATTTTACTATGGATAGTTGGTTCTACTTGTATAGAACCTCCTTGATTCCCCATGTTCTGTATTTGGTTGAATATGACTTATTTCTTTTGATCGCTGCTTACAGTGAGGGAGGCTACATACTCCATGCTCGCATTCTTGCGCCTTGAATTATTAGGCCACCAGCTGGCACTGCACTACAGGCTAAGATAATTACTAAATAGAGATAGTTACACGTCTGCCTGCAAGGGGGTTAACCATGAACAACCAGCAGAGGAGTTTCATAATAGGGTTCATGCGTCCGCCCTATCGGTACGGGCCACAACCTTGTCATCCTGGTCAGGAGATAGAACACTAGCTGGCATCACACCACATGCTGAGACAATTATGTATTATTCTACACATTGGCCTGCAAGGGAGACCAAGGGCGTCCGGCAAGGGGCTTCGCAACGAGGTTCATGCGTCATCATCACAGTCTCGAAGCTTGTCGTCCTGGTCAGGACACTCCAGTTCCCACCCACAAGCCAAAACCCAGTGGTGTAACAGGTTTCTGATCTTATAAGCAAGGCGGCTTTGTAGTATTTCAACTTGGTAATTTTGCAGAACATCATCTTTGTCCTTTCTTTCTGTGTGCCTTTTGGCTTACAGATTGGTTTATGGTATTATACCGGGGATTATCAATTGGGGGTGGAGCATAAAAGTGAAACAGAGTTCTGGTAGCAAATTCAGTCTGTATCTGTAAACACATTACCATATGTATAATATATGTATTCGACTTTCTACGTCCCCTGCCTAGCAGTTGGGCCCAATTCGGTAAAAGCCCGGAGACTTCCAAGTGACACAATTGCACGAGTCAAAACAGTTATGTTTGGTTTTTTTCTCTATTTATTTTTTCCCCTCTTTTTCCGAAGGCAACACTACTTGAGGAGACTAAAAGCATATTACATCCCTGTATTAGTACTTTTATAGTAATGTAATGTAACCAAATAGATACTCTGCAGCTCAACAAAGATTGTCGTCCGGTTACCAAGAAAGCCAGCACTCACGCTCAGGCCCCCGAGACGGATATCAGGCGACGTACTGACGCGGTAAAAAAGTCTAGCATCGCAGCTGCCTGCTCCTCTGTACAGAATGAGTCCCAGAAGCGCATGTTGATTTCGTAGCCTCGCGAGGACAGGGCGACCGCAACGAAGATGTCATACTGTAATCCATTGGTTAGCGACTATATAGTATTCTGCCTCTTTGAAAGGGGTTCAAAGATCAAGTTGGATTGGTAAGTGTACGGTACGTACGTCGCTCGGATCATCGTCTAGGATGGTTTCGATGGTTACTGTGCGATTGCGACTCCTCGAGTCGCTGGCTGTCCTTCTCCTCGGTAATACCGGCTCTGAAAACGCAGACTGGACAGAGAGGCAGGTATTGAAGAACGGCCCATGTTGTTGCTGCTGCTGCTGACCGGAAGTGACAGCAGGGTCAGAGCCGGTCGTCGATCTCGGAAGCACATCCGCTAGAGAAAAGTGCTGGTATTTCACACGCTGCGCCATCTCAGCTTGATTCTCGCGGAGAGCGTCCATCAGAGAGGATGATGATGATGGTGGTGATGATGATGACGTGGAACGCTTAAAGTCGAAGAGACACGGAACAAGGTTAAAAAAGGGCCCGACGGTCTCGAGACTGTGCAGTAGAGGGATGTCGCGGCCCGAGACCAACGTTCCGAAGCAGACAGAGTCGGAGCCCGTGTGCGCCCTCAAAACAAGGCCCCACGCAACCTGAAATACGTTGGTGAGTGTCAGCCCGTGTCGGGAGCAGAACTCGTGGATTGTATCCAGATCGTCGAACCGCTGTTGCAGTACCCGAAGCTTTTGCGGCTGTTCGCGTTCAGTTGGGCCATTGGAATCTGCTGTTCGCATGCAATCGAGAACGCAAGGCCTTGCACGGGCCATGGCTGGCTTCCAGTACCGGACGAGCCCGTCCCGTGGTTGGTCTTGTAGGTAAGATACGTACTGGCTGTAGTGTGGGCCTGGCACGTCCAGCTGGATATTTCCTTGGAGAATCAAAGCGAGGTCGTGCAGAAGAATGGAGACAGACGTTGCATCCAAAACACACTGCTCAGCTTGTATCTTGCAGAAGATCCGACCATCTCGCGTGGAAAGGACCGCAAAGGAATGGTTTGCGGGGAAGCCCGTGGCTGTTGTCGTGGATGAGGATCCCAAGCTCTTTAGCGTCGAGATTATGTCGTTGAGACAGTCACCTGTAGTATCACTGACTTGCTGCTGCACTGGAATTGACTGCTCCAACTCCCTGAGCGTCACCCACAGATACCGCAGGGATTCGCTGCGTTGTAACGCAACAACGGTGCTTCGTAGAATGGAATGGCGACGGACAAGCTGACGCCATGCACGAGCCACGTTCTGGGGACTAAGCCCATTCTTCACTCCTTTCAACTCGAATATCAGGCATAGTTTGTGCCCGTTGCTCGCTCGAAGAGTCTGACCCTGGATCAGTCCAGTATGGGCATCCGAGCAGGGATATATATTCTCCACTGCTCCGAGCCCCTTATCGTCTCCGAACCACATGGACGCCAGACGCTGGATGTGAGCGAGGGAATTATAGTTCAGAGCCGCAAGGGGGAAGTCGGACAGGGTAGGCTGATTGGGTTCCAAAGTCGGCAGCACTTCCGCCGCCTCGATCAGAAAGGTTTCATATCGTTTTGCCCACTGCTGAATTCTAGCCTGGTACCGTGCATGCTCTGGATAGTACATCGTGACTCGAAGAGCACCATGGATTATCACGACTTCGACGTCAAAGGCAGCAAACCGCGGTGTAGCCGGGTCAACGTCCATGCGCTGGTCCGGCGACCAGGCAGGCTGGCGAAACAAGGCGTCGTGTGTCTCGAGCTGTTGGAACGCGCCTTCGTAGTTGAAGATGACCTCCATCGCGCCATAGTCGGTAAAATCGTTGGATTCTGAGGCGAAATACGCGAGGCCATTATGGGGGACAGAGCGGTAGCGGTCCTTGACCCGCCGGACTAGCTCTGGCAGGCTTCCAGAAGCATCAACAACAAGGGGCCAGATGGTGGTAAACCACCCCACGGTCCGCGAGAGGTCAATTTCAGGCAACAGTGCCTCCCGCCCGTGGCTCTCGATATAGACTGCTGGGAGACTGCGGTCTGGAAATGTCGCCGCAAAGGAATGCAGGAGGGCCGCCAACATGATCTCCTGGGGCCTTGTGTTGTAGGCCTTGTTGGCTTGTTTGATTATTGCCGCGGAAACCCCCTGCTTCAGCTTGAAGCTTAGAGATTTCATGCGGCCAAACGTGTTTGTCTCGGAATGTATATTCCAATAACAAAGATTGGGTGGATATACGTTGTATGGCAGGGTGCTTCGAGGCCCCGAGTGGTGGTGCCTTTTCAAATACTCCTTTTGCCCACGCACCCACTTTTCAAACGAGAGAGGGCAGGGTTCAATAATTCCCGTGCGAAGGAATGATTCCAAGTCGCGGAGAATGATTCTCCAGGAAACAAGATCCACGACTAGGTGGTGCGCAATGAACAACGCATGCGACGTGCCGTCCTTTGCAGTAAAAATGTCCAACGAAATAACGGGTCCCGAAACGAGATTTATCCTGGCCTGCGACTGTTCTGCAATAGCGAGAATCTCCTTTACCCCGCTGCAATAATGCTGCTGCACTTCCAAGCTTCTGCTGGGCGTTGGCTGTACGTGTACCTGGCTGGTAGTGTGCCCGTCACGACGGTGATGATCATGTTGCACTTGGACGCGAAGCATCGGGTGGACCATGGCAACCTCCCGCAGAGCCTCATACCACTTGGAGTGACCGATGTGTTCTGGCACCCGCAGGAACATGCTCTGGTTGAACCTCATCGTCTGGGGATTGGGGTTAAAGTGGAAAAATAATCTCTGGATCGGTCCCAGCTCGACGATTCCCGTGTCGTCGTCCCCCAAAGCACGCAGCAGCTCCCTCTGATGATCCGAACTTTTCGATTGGCTAACCGCCCCTAGGACCAGCGCGGGGGTATTGCTGTCCAGAAAGTCGGCCATGCCGATTAGAATATCGCGTTTCCTGAGCGATGCCAGGACCTGCATGGCAGAAACAGAGTCTCCGCCCAGCGAGAAAAACCCGTCGTCCATTGTTATTGACCTGGCATCTAGAGCCAAGGTGTCCGCAAAGATTTGGCAAACGAGTCTTTCTTCGTCCGTTGCTGGCAGTCGCTTGACCACAGGGTCTTGGTCTCCCTTGCAGTCCTCAATGTATTTTCTGTCCAGAGTGCAAGCCTTGCTCCTCAGGAGCTTGCGGTTCGCCTTGCCACTTGGTGAAAGTGGAACAAATCCGAGTGGAATTATTGCGTAGGGAACCATGAATCGAGGCAGGGTCCGAAGGAGGTGCTCACGTACAGCCGTAGTGACTAGTCTGATTGCCGGAGAAATGGGAAGAAACAAGCTAGCATTCTTGCATGAAGTGCTCGAGTTGACGTGTAGAAACATCAACAGCTTGCCCGCCGACACACTATTCTTCTCCGTCTGCACAACGTCTGCAATGGCCATCGCCCCGCCGTCAAGGGCCCTTTCGGCTTGGTATTCAAGCTCGGCAAGCTCAATCCGCTGCCCTTGCAGCTTCACCTGCATGTCCTTGCGTCCGAGGTACTCCAGGGTCACCTTGTTGCTGCTACCTTTGACTACCCGCACAAGATCGCCCGATTTATAAAACCGGTGGTGGTGTTCGCTGCTGGTGCCCGATGACTGACCACCTGCCCCTACTACCGACCACACTGGGTCTCGGATGAATGCGGCATTCGTTTCTTCAGGTTTACGCAGATACCCCCTGCCAACAATTGGACCGCCAATGACTAACTCTCCGACCGCGCCTCGGGGTACGAGCTGGTGATGATTTTCCGGGTTGACAACCCAGCAGGTGCCCGCCGCCGGCCTGCCAATATCGAATGGATTCGCGCCCGGTTGGATCCTTTCCGTAATCGTCGATAGAAGCGTGCATTCCGCCGGGCCGTACCCGCAAATCAGGCGTACGGCATTCGCCCACGTCGCCACATCCGAAGCGGACATGGACTCCCCGAGGAGAAGGACGGTGCGCACATGAGGGATCTCGGCCGGCCTAAGCAACCGGATTACCGAAGGGGTCAGGATCACGAAATTTACCTCGAGCTGGTTAATGGCCCCCGCGAGGTCGACCAGGCGCTGGGTCTCAGAGGGGATGCAGACGCAACCTCCTGCCACCAGAGGATAGAGGAGCTCCATGACAGAAATGTCAAAGGCCGGTGACGCGAAGAATAAGACGCGGGAGCTCGCAGATAACCCCATGTCCTTTTTATAACCCTGCAGTGAGGCATAAAACATACCATGCTCGATTGTCACGCCCTTGGGGACCCCCGTTGAGCCAGATGTGAATGCAACATACATGGCATCAGAGGCACTCGCCAAGTTCCGTTTGTGGTACAAGTTAATCTCCCCTGGAGTCATTCTTGTAGCATCTTCTTTACTCAGATCTATTACTCTCTGTACGAGACTGCCGCACAACTCGCGTTGTTTTTCCGTCGTCAGGATGAGCGGCGCCTTAATCTGGTCGCAAATATAACGGAGCCTCTCAACCGGGAAGGACGGCTCCAGTAGTGCAAACGCTCCTCCAGCCATCATAACTGCCAGTGCTGAGACGGCCTGGAACTTGGATCGCTCGGTACAGATGGGCGTGATGGTCTCTAGGCCGACACCCTGCAACTGCAAATAATCCGCGAGGGCGCAGGCCTGTGTCAACAGTTGTCCGTACGTCAAGGTTCCGTCCCAGGCGCGTACAGCCTCCGCATTGGGTCGCGTCCTTGCATTCTCGACAATCAGGTCGCTCGCGCACAAAAGGTCGCCGGTGAAGCAGGCTGCGCTGTTCCACCGTTCCATCTCGCTGCGCTCGGCCTTGGTACACAACTGGATGTGACCTATCTTTAGGTCAGGTTGCTCGAGGAGGATCTCCAGTACGGATTCTAGGCCATTTAAGAGACTGTCAACTTTGTCGGGCAAAAGTATGGCTGAATCGAAGAACGCCGTCAGGTTTATCGAGTCGTCTCGTTCCAATTCGACGACAATCGTCAACACATGTGAGCAAAAGTGGCGAATCTCCTCGTGGTTTCCGGGCACACTGGTCATAATTTCCGATTCAATGCTCATACTTTGCGGTTGGATGACTAGGAGGTTCTGGAAATCACAGGCCAGTGCTGCCTCGGAACTGAACGTCCGGATGCGCTGCAGACCCGTGTGCTGATAGGGCACTGCCTCGATGGACTTCCCGGAGAGGGCGCGCAACATTCCATCCACCGACATATCTGGCTGCAGGTTGACTCGAAGCGGTACCGTTGCGATGGTAGGTCCGGTGATCCGGTCGATGGCTGGAACTGGGGCGTGGCGGCCGCTCTCTACCACTCCGATAACAACCTCGTTGCAGCTGGTCTGCGCGGAAACAACCAAGGACCATGCAAGCTTGATGGCCGACGGCAGCCTGTGATTATTTCTACGGCCGTGGGCTGGCAGGTTTATCCGCCTAGTCGTCCTGGAAAACTCCCCCTCGGCTCGCCAGCCGTCTGGTGTAGCAGGGTATGGGCTGGCTTTAAGATGCGCAAACTCAGATGTCCAGAATCTACAAGTGTCTGCAGCGTCGATATCCATGATATGCTCAATAAAGACCCGATATGGCGGCGCTGGAGGGAGCTTTCTTCCGGCGTACGAGGTGCCTTGGTCCTCAATGATTTGCAGAAAGCTCCATCCATCGAATATTGCATGATGCATATCGAGAATGAACACAGCCGACGGTTGCTCTCCGACAATGGCAAATTGTGCCAGTGGCTTTCCCAGTATGGCTCGATGATCGCGGTTGAATCGCTCGTCCACCTTGCTCAGCTCTACCTCCATGGTCCAGTTTGTCTTTTTTTGCTTTAGCACAATCTGCCGAAGCTTCCCATCGTGGTCTTGGGCGATCCGCGTCCGCAAGATTTGGTTTGCCGCTACAACCTCCTCCCATGAGGTCTGGAACCGGGCTATCGGGACGGAAGGCGAAATTTTGAACATGAAACGGCCCGTCATGGAGATACCTGGCTGCAACGAAAGAGCCACGAGTGCTTCCTGCGTGGGAGTGCAGGGGAGGATCTCTTCAATATCGGTGGGCGGGATGTCACTGTGCAAGTGCACCAGGTCCATACCCTCGGCTCTGCTGCTATTGGAGGAGGAGGACGACGGGGTGATTGTCCATGTGGATGGTAATGATGAAGTTGTCGAAGCGAGGTGACCGAGAGCAGCGATTGTCTGAAGAGTCAAAACGTCCCCGGCCGTGACAGGAAGGCCAATGTCGCGAGCCCGTGACGCGAGCTTGATCGCTTTGACAGAGGATCCCCCGAGATGGAAGAAGTTATCGTCTGGCTTTATAGTGTCCATCGGGCGTCCTAGTAATTCACCAAAGAGTTCTTGCAGAGCACTTTCTACACAGTTCAGCCTCCGACTACATAGCTCGGAGCAGGTGGTCGCCTGGTCTTTAGTCAGTTCAATATAAGCCTTGCCGAGCTCCTTCAGCCTTCTCCTGTCAACTTTTCCTGTGGCAGAAAGCGGCAAATGGGTGAGAGGGATGTAAAAACAAGGCAGCATGTACGGAGGAAGGGTCTTCTGCAGCCACAAGCGGACCTCAGACCCGGCCCTCTGCAGGCCCACGTTTCCAGGGTCTAGTTTCGCGGGTGACAACGTTTGCGGGGCATTTGTAATGGCCTCTGTCAAAAACAGCGAAATGGAATTTGCTTCACCATCACCATCAACACAGACAACGTCAGCAGCGACAGCCAAGCCCAGCTGCATTGCCGCGGCTTGGATTTCGATTTCCTGAAGGTCGATCCTCTGCCCGGAAATCTTGACCTCTGTATCGCGACGTCCAATGTAGCGTAGGGACCCATCCGGTGCATACTGGACGAGGTCGCCGGTGCGGTAGAAGTGGTTCTGCTTGTGTATGTTGAATGCCGCAGCCCACCGGGGACTCTCAATAAAGCGGCGCTCAGTCGGTCGATTCAAGTATCCCCGACCGACGATTGGTCCCCCCACTAGCAACTCGCCAACGGCCCCAATGGGCGCGAGTTGATGGTAGTTGTCCGGATCTACTACCCAGCAGGTCCCACTGTAGCTCCGCCCTATGTTGGCCGGGTCTGACGCGTCAACTGCAGGTTGGATGGTGGTGACGACGCTGCATTCAGCTGGTCCATAGGCGTTGACAAGATGGACGTGATCAGACCAGTATTCTATATCCAAGGGGGTCATGGGCTCGCCGCCCAGGACAAGGGTCCGAATGTTGAGGGCGTCCCTGCGTAGTAGTCTCGAGACAGAGGGGGTCAGTTCTACCCAATTGACGCGTAACTGACCGATGACCTCGGCCAGGTCACCGAGCCGTTGTTCTTCCGTCGGGATGCAGACGCAACCACCCACAATCAGCGTCGTGAGCACTTCCTGAATGCTGATATCAAAGGCGTAGGATGCGAATTGAAGCACGCGCGAGTGCACGTTAAGATCTTGGAATCTGCTGCTCAGAATCGCGTTAGCGCAAAATGCCCCATGTTCCACGATGATCCCCTTTGGCCGTCCGGTCGACCCGGAAGTATACGCGATATACGCTGCATCCTGCGGGGTAGCATTGTATGCATCGGCAGGGGCAGGAAGAACAGGATTGGATTTGTGATCAAGGTCGTCGGGAAGAACAAGACAACGGCTTGCTCCTAGTCGTTGCGCAATGGGTGCCTGGAGTCTGGAGGTGATGATGACCTTGGGCTCGATATCGCTACACATGTCCTGGAGCCGCGCAAACGGGTGCGAGGGGTCCATGAGCACAAAGGCGGCTCCTGTTCGCAAAACACCCAGCATGGCGATTCCAACCCAGATGGATTTCTCAAAACATATGGGCAACGCATCGCCCCGGCCAACGCCTTGCCGGTGCAGCCATCGTCGAACAGCCTCGGCACGTCGATCCAGTTCGGCGTAGGTGATGCTCCCGCCAGGGCCGACCATGGCCTCGGACTCGCTCCGGGAAACGCATTGGCGAGATATCAGGGTATGAATCTGCTCGTGGGGCTCCGAGAGCGCGCCTATACCATTCCATTCTGCGACTGTTTGTATGTAGCCCGAGCCAAGCAAGGCCACATCGTCCACTCTTGTGTCAGGGTATCTTGCAACCTGCCCAACCATCGAGGCCAGTGTATTGATGATTGCTTGGGAGTACGGTCGGCAAATAAACGAAGGGTTAAATCGTAAAATAAGGCACTCTGGTAATGCCGGACCGGTCGCGGTGGGATGTATGACAGCCACATCCGTGGTAGAGAGCAAAACCCCTTCTTTAGAGTCGGACACATGCTGGTTGTTCCACTCTCTGGGAAAGACTATGGCCGTGTTAAATTCGAGGGGTGCGTCTAGCCACTTTTGACCCAACTCTCTCCGCTCAGCGTCTAGGAGCTTGCTGCCCGCCCGACCACGCAACAGCCAGTGCTCGACACGAATCATCGTCGATGGTATATGATCCTTCTCTGCGCTTCCACTCTGCGCGATCCCAAATATGACACTGCGGCTCTCTGTATATCGGCCGAGTAGTGTAGCCCAGCATGCGGTCACAATCCGTTGCTTGTCACTCAGCTGTATGCGCGTCGGCAGCTGCACCTGGGCAGAGACCTCCTGCCGGGTCGGTGTGTCGAGATCTTGGAGGTTCCCCGTCGTCTTGTTCAACCGGGGAAACACTGTGGGACACGGCTTATTCCCCTCGTCCATGTTGATGATGTTGAAGCCTAACTGAAATTTTCGGGTAGTGTTCAGCCGAGACGTCAAAGTCGTTTCAACCTCATGTACGGCATGGACCTAGTAGTATGAGCGCCGAGTAATATGTACCCCTATATGTCCACTCAGTCATCGGATATACCTGAACCTTGTCAGCCAGCGGGAAGGGGTCAGTAGCCAATGGCTCGGTGGCACCCTGCACCACCTGCAAGGGCGCAACCAGCACACGGTATGTTTGCACTACACGAGCGGATTCTGTACCATATCTTGGTTACGTGGTCTATCTTCCGATATTCCGGTGCCCTATTCGACCGTTTTGTGATCCACGGAGACATTTTCCTACCTTGTTACTCGAGGTATGTAAGGGAGTCTTTAGGTTCCTTGCAGAACAGAGTAGCACAGTCATTCCAAGATCCGTATGCTCTGCGCTCGTTCCCTAAAAAGGGCCTGATCAGATGACCTAGACCCATCGAGTCATGTCAGTCCTAAGTACGGACATTGCAGTTTCCTGTTTAAACAGTATGATATGGAGCCTGGCCAGCGATGGCATTTGCCGATCAACGTAAATTCATTGGCATTCTGATGCCCGCCTTACTTGCTGACGGCATCATGGCCCGGTTGAAAGCGCACCCCCCCC